AAAACCGCCTGTCCCTCTAATTGACAAAAACCTTCTTTACGGCCGAAGTAGATAACACCACATTCTATTTATTTTATTGAAAAATAAAACTATTTAGTCCACTAGCTGTATTCATAGTAGTTTATTTATAGTAACTGTAATAATCAAACTAGTAAACGCAATCATAGTTGTATTGAATAGTTCCTTATTTCTAAATTCTGATACTATCATGAAATAAATTAGGCTTCGTTGTGATTACATTATTGAACCATGTCAAGTGTATGTATACAGTGTAGAGGGTTATTTTTTCAAAGGGAGTCACATGTGTGGGTGAAAATGTGCATTATTGTGCTAGCCAGATTTCACTTATAATCTTGGCATCTGATCCGTCTATTATTATTATTATTATTATTATTATTATTATTACTGTTAGTTAATTAGATAGGTGTTGCGTCATTATTATCGTTGTTATGATATCGTATTAGTTATGTAAATCATGTGTTGGCAACTTGACATGACATCAGTGATTTACAGTGGATTTTATCCGTTGTGACGGAGGATCACTAATGATAACACCTGAAGTGATTTCCGAATGTCTTTATCCCGTACAAGGAAGTAGATATGGGACCTGTGGACAATACTAAAATTATATTCTCTCAAATAAATCTTTTAAAGACAATAGAGGAGTAGAAATTCACTTTCATTTCGTTTATTACTAGGAGCAGAGAACATATACACACATGCACACATGCACATAGGGACATCCCCATTGACAGCTTTACGTTTCGAGTTATACTTTACTGTCCACTGTTGTATGGAGGTTTGGAGGTGTAGCTGTGTTGTAATATGGATGGTACTAAATTTGTTGACTCATTATGTTGTTACTTTAATACACAGTGATCAACGATTGACCACTCGAGTACTATTTCCACATTGAGGAGGTACAGAAACTGGGCTGTCTGGGAATGCAAATATTTATTTCTTCATGGGGGAAAGAATTTTACTAAAAATGACAGTTATTCATGTTGATTATCTCATATTACCAACTAATTACCAGTATAAGGGGTAAACGCTATGTTTTGATTGGTAAGCATGTTAATAAGAGTTAACTGACTTAACTCATAATTTACTTTAGCATCAGATGTTTGGTTTACAGGTGAAGAAGGCAATGCGGTATGATGTATCTCCTCCTGTTCTAATAGGCGTACTGGCACAAGCAGTGAGTTTTGCAACCAATGAAGCTTGAATTTGAATCCCACTCCACCTATTCCAGTCTGAGAAACTAGGGAGTGTCGTTCGTTCTCCTACAGTTAGTGTTATTCATAGCCTTGTTCATGAAACTTCTGTTCCGAGTAAAGGAGATCGAGTGAAACTAAGGGAGATCGAATCAATTGCATAAATTGAAAAGTCTTCTCTAGCTGGTTCAAAACATTTATGCGTGTTTCTTGAGAGAAGTATTAGGGTTGTCGAGGTGCGTAAAGAATTACTGAATCGTTGGGTTTGGGTAAGTTTTACGTAGTTTTTATTGTTTCTTTACCTGATGCCAGGTCGTAATGAGAGGTAACATTAAGAAACTGTTTGATTTAATTTGTCTGGTGGTGAATGTTCGTTAATTCCTTTTAAATCTGTAGGTTTGCATTCAATGTTTGTTAGACTTCATTTTATTGAAGCTTATATGACATTTTCACTTAGGTTATTAAGAAGAAAGTGTCGATGTCGCAGCGACGGTTTGGTCACAATCCAAACATGTGATTCGTGATTCGTTCCGTGGCCGATGCTCTTTTTTACCTCACTAAGCTGGCAGTAAGTCTGTTAAAGAGAGAAGGCCGGGCATGAAGCTAGGAACTCCATTCCGTAAAGGTAAACATCACTGCTACCGAAGCTTCAGAGCTCGAGTGTGACGCCCTTTTTTCCACTGGGAACGTAAGTGAATGAAAATAAATTAAGAAGACATATCGTGAGATGATATTTCGTAGTGTCTTTACGGTCGGTTTACAATTAGAGTATATATATATATATATATATATATATATATATATATATATATATATATATATATATACAATATAAAATGTATGAAGAATTATTCAGTTATATAAAAGAAAAGTGTATTCTAATTAACTGATCTATGGTAAACAAATTTTACTGTCTACTGTTCACATAGTTTTCCATATATGTGATCAGTCCAAATCGCTTTCACCACTTTTAATAATCACGGATTGGAGTTATGTGAAATAATGGAGAAGCAGTCATTGATATCCATTTTATGACAAGACATTAACAAATGCTTTGAAATGGATGATGCTGGATCTTTATTCAGATTAATTGCATTTGGATTTCCTACGTGACTTAACAACCATTTCCGACGACACCGGATCTTCCAATTGGTCCTACCAATATATATATATATATTAAAACAATTAGTCCGTTTGATAAATTTGAACAAGGCATTAAGAAGACAAATTTCGCGAGATGATATCATTTCGTAGTTTCTTTACAACCGCTTTACAACTAACATGGTAAACAATGATAAAATAAAGTTCATGAAAATTACTCAGTTAAATAAAAACAAAAGTACATACTAATGACCAATCATATTAAGATAGATCATGCAGTCCAGGGTAGGCGAAGATTGAAGTCTATTGATTTTTGTACACACAGTTTAGTCTGTATGTGATTAATCCAAAGTGCTTCCATCACCTTCAATAACCTTGAATTAGAGTTATGTGAAATAATTGTGAAACAGTCATTAATACTGATTGATTTTGTGACCTGACATTAATAAGTGTTTTGCAATGGATGATACTGGATTTCTATTAAGATTAATCGCCTTAGGATTTTCGATATGATTTATGGTCTTCCGAAGATCCACAAAACTGGGAACCCACTGTGACCCATCTTAGACATGTCAAATTCTCCTTACCATAAAATCGCCAAATGGATTACAGAGGTCCTTACGCCTGTAAGAGACTCATTATCAAATCATTCTGTAAAAAGTTCATTTGATCTTACAGAAATGCTGGACACCTTGAACATTAAGGAAAAGGTTATGTGTTCAATTGACATAGAATCTTTATTCACCAATGTTCCCCTTCATGAAACTGTTGATTTTATTTGCGATTACATCACAAGCAACGGCATAAACTTACCCATTCCCGTCACTTACATCAAAGACATAATCTTAATGTGTACAGAAAATATTAGATTCACATTCCAAGAAAAGGCATAAAAACAAATCGATGGTGTTGCGATTGGGAGCCCTCTGGGGCCCCTGTTAGCAGATATATTTATGTCGAAATTAGAGAAACAAATGCAAGGTATGCTTGGAGGATTTATGCTGTATAAACGTTATGTAGATGATACTCTTATTATTGGTAATAATAGTAAATCTATTGAAAACTTCATTACTCTATTTAATCATATTCATCCAAATATTCGAGTGACTTCCGAACTAGAATCGAATAACAAACTCGGTTTCCTGGATATTACTATGATTAGGAGAAATGATGGAACGATTCAGCGCTCTATTTTTCGTAAACAAACATGGACTGGACAATATCTTCATTTTACCAGTTTTGTTCCTATCCAGTATAAACGTTCCCTAGTGAAATGTTTGTTCTCAAGGGCCCGAAAAATATGCACGAGTGACACACTGATGGATGAGCTTCGACATGTACATTCAGTTTTATTAGCTAATGGTTATCCGGAGAGCTTTATCACTTGTCACAGCAAAGAAAAACCACATCTCGAAAAGACAGCTTCTGTACCAAAGAAAGCCATCTTTATTAATCTACCATTCAAGGGCGACCAGATTATGCAGTTGACAACTCAAAGACTTCGATCAGCCATCAAACGCACATTCTACGCCGCATCTCTTTTTCTCACTTGCCGAACATTTTCGATCCCTGTTCCTACGATTAAAGGACGAAATTCTGTGGACTCTACTTCAAACTGTATCTACAAGTTCACCTGCAGCTGCGGTGACACCTATATAGGTAGAACTAACAGAATGTTCCAATGTCGTCGAAAAGAACATATTCCAAAATGGCTAGTAAATCATATCGAAAATCCTAACGCGATTAATCTTAATAGAAATCCAGCATCATCCATTGCAAAACACTTATTAATGTCTGGTCACAAAATAAATATTAATGACTGTTTCACAATTATTTCACATAACTCTAATTCAAGGTTATTGAAGGTGATGGAAGCACTTTGGATTAATCACATACAGCCTAAACTGTGTGTACAAAAATCAATAGACTTCAATCTTCGCCTACCCTGGACTGCATGACCTATCTTAATATGATTGGTCATTAGTATGTACTTTTGTTTTTATTTAACTGAGTAATTTTCATGAACTTTATTTTATCATTGTTAACCATGTTAGTTGTAAAGCGGTTGTAAAGAAACTACGAAATGATATCATCTCGCGAAATTTGTCTTCTTAATGCCTTGTTCAAAATTAATATATATATATATATATATATATATATATATATATATATATATTCCACCGCAACTGCATGTGAACCAGATTATTACAGTATGAAGTGGAATCCATAGAATTTCATCCTTTATTTATAGACTCAGGAAGCAATAATTCTGAGGGTTGAAGAAAAAGGCATACAGCGTATGATGTACTCTTTTTACTTAAGAACAAAGTGGAATAAATAGTTTCAAATGCATCTCTTATATTGCACTGTAATTCCCAAAATGAAGCATTTGACAACTGACTTAATTTAGAAACACTTCGCAGTTCGAAGGTATTCTTTCAATCGAATTGACTCTTTCGCATATAGGCTGAAATAATCAAATTCATAATATCTTAACTTCAGAACGAACAACGTAAATCATCACTTCACACTATAAACTTTAAATCTGCTTACTTTCAAAATTATCAGTAGTGTCCAGTATTTAGCTTGAATTAATCCACAGCAAAGTTTATTGTTTCCACATTCATTAACTGGATTTCGAAATGATATAATTTCCGTCGTCTTTTCTTTTTCTATAATTTTCAGAGAAATGTTATCAATATCCCAAAATCAAGGCATGTGGTCAATTAGGAGTTGATATGAAATCACGCGGTGGTTGGTATTTTAATCCAACGGAGATGCAATGTCAATATACATCTGATTGTATTGTAAATGATAATGTCTTCAAAACCAAAGAGGAATGTTCTGAAACCTGTGAATATTGGAGAGGTATGATATGCAGCGATCATGTTCTCCTTTTAATTACATAAAATCTCTACTGTGTGTGTATTATTCACATGAAGTATATGTAGAATTGTAGAAATTCAAATGTTTTCAAGTCGTCTTGAATGAGGAAATCAGTCAGGAAGGTAAAGTCTAGTTGGACATCTAGTTAATCTCATTACTTTGGTAAATTGGAAATTCGAGAAAAAGTGCATTTATAGATTATTACAGCTTCTGATGATGGATATGTCCATCTTAATCTGAAAGGCGGACGTTTAACTACCAGCTGATCAAACTTCAAACTTGACTTATTCATACAACTTTTGTATTTAAATACATTTCTCAATTATTTTGAAAAGATAGTATTTATCCCTCATGTTTACAGGTCTTTAGCTTAGTGTTGACTAATAGCAAGGAACAGTTATGCACAAAACTATATAATACTGATTAATTCGTCCAGATGTGCCTTCCAGGCAGATCGAAGTGGTCTAAACACTGGATGACCGTTTCGCTCGATTAGAGTCGAGCTCATCAGCGATGTACCAGGTTTCACTCAGTTCAGAGAGTTGAATTAGTTCCTGATTGACATTTATGCTATCAAGCAGATCACAGACTGTGATCGGAATAATTTAGTTTCCGACGGAAACTGTAGTTACGAAAATAAAAGATAGTTCAGCGAAGACGATTTTCTTTATCGAAGAAATCATCCTCCGAGGCTGTACAGTCGCATTCATACTTACCAAAAATGTATAATTGTCTATTCTTGAGTAAGAGGAGATGACATAATTGATATAATTACTTAGAAGTGGCTTTAGGATTTAAAATAAAAGTTGTAAATTGCGTAGTACTCAATGGTACAAAGAGAGAAAGCATTAGAAATTTGATAAGGTTACAGGATTTCATCATGAGCTAACATCGGTTAGAGAATCATTGGAAAACCTGGAAGTACTGGATAGCTTTCTCGTCCTATTTTGGGTCTCTTCATCAGTACGCACCCACCGGTGTCAGCTCATGATGAAATCCTATAACCAATCAATGAAATCCCTAAAAACCAATACTTGAAAAATTTGATAAGGTTAAAATTGTTACTGAGTGAGAAAAAAAAGGTACTTGAGTTTCTATTTAACAAGTGTGAAGAGGGTGAGAAAATTTAATATCAGTAAAAGGTTTGAGCATTGTGGATTAGATCAAATAAAGTATAATTATATTTCAATATTTTACATACAATGATAAGTTTTGTTATTGGTATTATTCCGGGCAAAATTACTGCCCGTGTTCACACCACTGTTAGAATAGTTTTATTCACACATTTATGATTTGTACTCAAATATATAGTTCATTTTTTTTGCACATTCATGTTTTGTGTGTGTATATGTGTGTTCAGAATTATATTCAACATTCATTCATGTTGTTAGTTGTATAGCGGTTGTAAAGAAACTACGAAATGATATCATCTCGCGAAATTTGTCTTCTTAATGCCTTGTTCAAATTCATTCATGTGTTTGTATTTAGAATTATATTCCAAGTTGTTGATAGTTGTACTGAGTCACCCTTGTTGCATGTATTCGGTGTGGCCTTAATGAATATAGATTCTGTTATAAGTCCAAATCACTCAAAATAAGAGTGAATGAACATTAACGCCTAACCAAAGGTCAACCAATAGGAACATGAATGAGCAAAAAAAAATAATAATAATGAACTATATATATGAGTACAAATCATAAATGTGTGAATAAAACAATCCCAACAGTGGTGTGAACACGGGCAGTAATTTTGCTCGAAATGGTACCAATAACAAAACTTATCATTGTGTGTAAACTATTAAAATATAATTATACTTTACTTAAGGGCGAGAAAAGGTACGAAAGGAACATATGAAAGTAATAATAGTGAGTTAACTATCAAATTAAAAGCAAACTAAAAGTAAAATTGAAAATTAAAAAATAAGAGTCTTACAGGGAACGACTAGTGAAGAGATTAAGATCATAGTAGAATAAGAGACTGTACAAACTTTTTCTGTACACAGAGTTCGGGGTTGTATTAACGAGGTGCCAGCGCCTCCGCTATACACAAATGCTGAAACCTAATACCTTCTGTACCACTTGGTCTTACTTTGTCGACAATCTTGAAAGACGGCTGTAGTGAAAATTTCATCCCATGAACTGTGAACACTTCAAATTACTAGCCAATTTCCAGATTGTAAATTTGATTTGAAAAGCATTTGTATTTCGAGTGCTTTCGAGTATTACTCTGATGTAGATACAGTATTCGGCTACCTTTCAAGTGATGTGATATGTGACCACTGAAAGTGAGAGATATGAAGAGACTAGATATCTTTTACAACGGACGTTTGCCTTCTGTCTTTCGAGTTAATTGATACAATATGGCGGGTAATGCTGAGGCTACTCATTGAGTTTTAGGTGAAGAGGGTAAATCAATCGACGAGTTTGTGAAACTCCATCAGGTGAAATGACTATGACACGCGCTATGCACGTCAAGCCATCGCCCTGCTTATAGATAAAAACCAGCTGACATTAAATTAGTTTACGGAAGTGTTAGTGGTAACCAAGTCAAAACTTGGCATCAGTCCATGAAGTCGTTGACTGTCCATTTGACTCAGACACGTATGGAAGTGTATACTGGCTGTTTGAGATGTTAGGGATGCTAAGAAGAGATGCCTAAATACTGTCTGCTATATGGTTCAAAGTTAATTTGTGTGGTGCAGATGCATTTACTTTTCATGACCTCCAAGGTTCATCAAATCCTCATTATCCTGAATATACTTATTTTTCCCTCCGTACATTTCCGTTCATTATGGAGTTTGTTAACTTGAACTGGTTCGCTTTTGTGTAACGTTCTGCATTGAAAACTCACTCAGATATTCAAGTTATCAATGTAACTGCAAACCGGATATTTACTCAACTTTTTATGACTGATGAGATGAATAATGTTTCCATTAACTTAACAATAATCGTGTTTAAAATAAATCAATTTAGTGCAGTGAAATTAATAACAAAATAGTGGGTGTAAACTTTGTCTTTTTTTGTTTGTTAATTTCAGGTACTGCGCGTTGTCTAGCCCCACCACAAGCTGGGCATTTTCGATGTTCTGCTGTTAATACAGAAAGAACAGTTCGACCAATTTTAATGGTTTATTTTGATAAAGTATCTGGAAAATGTCGTTGGTTCACATATTATGGATGTGGTGGTAGTGCAAATCGTTTCACGTCGATTATAGAATGTGAAAATACCTGTGGAAGTCTAGTTGCATATAAAATTCTACTTGGTAAGAGTGTAATGTGACGAAATATGTACTCAATTTTCTTTTACAAATTTCTAACACTTCTGTACCATTTTCTCTTGAGTCTGGACAGCCTTGTCAGTTCCAGACATCATGCGGACATTCCTTGCCCGTAGGCTTACTTTTAATAGGACACACATTGAAAAGACCATTGAGGAACATTGCACATCAGGTACTCAAGTGGAAGCCGAATGAAAAGCGGCGAGTTAGATCCTAGTCTGTGGGTGACATGGGAGAAATTGTGAGAGGATGGGATAAAAGGTGATGGGCAGCCTTAGAGCCAGGTAAAGATGACTATAGAGGAGTGGATTAATTGTTCCACTGGGAACCCATTGGAATCTTAATGATAAAATAGTAATGTTTACTTTTGCTCGCATCGAAATAACACACGTGAGCTGACTGGATCTCTGAAGGCTTTCACCAGCCGGAGTCATCTCTTTTCGAACTGAGTAGTCTTTCTAATTCCATTGGAGAATAAGTTTATTTCTGTCCGTGCTTTGCAGTTCCAGTAGTGGCGGTGTTGTTTCTTTAAGGGGCTGGGTTTCTAGTCTCACACCCTATATTGCTGCTTAAGATCGGTTGACAAATTAGGTGAGGTAATTTGGAAATTAAATACATACAGTTCAGAACTGATCCGATCTTGCTCTAAGGTAAAATAGAATACAGAATTGATTTTCTGCACAGTTACTCAATATTTCGTTGATGATGTGGCAGATAGAATAAATAATTATGGTACACAATATCTGGTGTTATCAGCTAGTTTGCGTATGCACAAAGGTGTGGGCGTTATAGTATGCTAAGTAACCAGTCATCTCAGTAGTGCTCAACATACTTGACAAATAAGTGACAAATATTATTTGCATAGTAGTACGCACCCACTACTCATAGGCGATCAAAGCCAGGACCTTTAGGTTGCAGAATCCGACAAAATCCGACGGCTTATGATTTCTACCCTTAGAGACTTCGTGATCTAACCGGAAATCAATCAAATCCTTGCAGAAACACTAGAAGTTCATCTGCTGCTCCCTAGAGCTCTAGGGAGAAGTCGTAGCTAGTGGGATCTACCTAGTCAGGTGTCAGGACAATGTTTCTCTAACTGATTTTCAATTTCTAAGCACATTAGAAAAAGTTGTTTAGTATAAAATGGGTTTGTAAAATGCAGAATGCTGATATCTTATTATGCAGACTGCTTGATATCGTATCTACGGATTATGTATGCTAACGCTAGTATTGCAACTTACTCATTACGTTTTCTATTACCAACCTGTCTACGTTTAAATCTCTGACTATTATTTTATCTACTTGAATTAATCTCCTAAAGTACTATCTTCTTTTTAAATTGGTATGTTTTACCAGACTGCTTGAAGGGTGATATCTTAGGACACCATATTTCTTCGGTTAGATTTCATCATCATCAACATTATTCTCATATAAATTTCATATGAAAGACAGTTGGAACGAAGAAAAATTTTTCTTTTCGGCGAAGTTATGCACTTGGCTGTAAATTCGTAAAATCATAAATATGGTTTGAAAAAGTTGCAGATGTACTTCTAATCAGAGGTCGGAACATAACCAATGACAAGGTGAAGTTGCGAATTACAAATATTGACTTAAAAATATGAAAATATCTGGGAAGTTTGGGTAATAAATACGATTACATAATAGTGATTTACTTGGAAAATAGACTACTTACTACTACTACTACTACCTAGCTGCTGTTGGATGCATAGCACTGGCTTGAATGTTTAGATAGCTAATATTTCTGCTGTACCGAGATTTCTTGGTCTCACGTCCTTTAACATATGTGACAGGATCTTTTGTTGCATTTTGGGGGATTTCTTGAAACGCGCTGAAGAACATTATTTATCAAAGGGGAATGGAAGCATCTTTACTTCGTTAACAGAACACCTTGTGAACTGAGGAGACTCATTTCTGTTTGAGAAATCTTTCAAAGCCTAATATAAGATCCAAATAAAAAACTTTCAATGGAAGTGTGAATAAGAAATTTCGACATGATTGTATCATTGGCCATCCAAAAGTTCAAACCGTCTTTTTGCATCAAAGGAAAGTATGCTTAGCCTTTGTCTTTGCTAATGGCTATCATAAAGATTCTTTTTTCTAAGGAAATCACTACCGCGGAATCATAGTTATTATCTTACTTTTTAAATCTCTATTTGTGCGACATGGCCTCCTCTTGTTATTCACCATATTTTGACTTGTGATCTGGCGTAATTCTGGAAATTTCTTATTCCATTTTATGTGTTGATGAGTATACACAGTAACTAGTGACGCTATATAACAGGAGAAAAGAAATATACATTAGCGCTTAAAATCATGTCCAGTCAATTTCCGGAAAGTGTGATTTTTTGATAGCCTTCTTGATATACATTGGACTGAAGTATTTAATTTCTACCTTCGATTCACACAGTAATTCTTGCATAATAATTCGTCAGGCATTTAGTAAAGATAACTGACGACTGGTTATAGGATTTCATCATAAGCCGACATCGGTTCGAGAACGATTTGAAAACCTTCAAGGAGTACGGGTTAGGAAGCTGTTTCGTTCTGGTTTGGGACTCTTCAACAGTACGTGCCCACCGCCAGGTTTCTAACCCAGGACCTTCTGGTTACAAGGAGAGCTAGCTCGTAGACCATTAGGCCACTGGGAACCAACCCAATGGTTCATGAATTGGTTGAAGTTAGAATTCATGGGCCATTGGATCGGACCCCATTGGCCTGATGGTCTACGAGCTAGCTTGCCTTGTAACTATGAGCTCTTGGGTTCGAACTTCAGTGGGGTGGGTGCGTACTGACGATGATTCCCAAACTAAGACGAAACAGCCGATTGCCCAGTACTCTGTGAAGGTTTTCTAATCGTTCTCGAACCGATAACAGCTCATGATGAAATCCTGTAACCAATCAATAAAATCACTGCAAACCAATACTTGAATAACTGACGATATTTGTAAATTTTTGAAATAGTTGAAACAGTGTTTCATTTAAAAAAATGTCACCCCTTCTCTTTTTAGTGGCTAATCAACTCTGTCAAGTGGCTCCGACTACCCGACTATTCCCACAATGGTCTAGAATCGATATAGATACATGGAGTCTTATCAATCAAGAGGATCAATTCTATACAAAAGAAACATCTGAACCAATTCTTTTTGACAATCTTACCTATATTGATGCAATGCGTATTGAACCGGAATGTGCAAATATGGGTCAACAAGAATCACGTTGGTATTTAGATGTTGAAACAAATCAATGTCAAGAATTCGCTTATTCACATTGTGGTGGATCATCAAATAATTTTTTAACTCGTGCTGATTGTGAACAATTCTGTGGTGCTGCAAAACCTGATGCATTAAGTAAGCTTATCAGAATACTGTTTTTTGCTAACTGGAAATATGTGCAGAAGAAATGCTTGAATAAAGGAATTCACATTAGTTGCCCTATTAAAGTGTTGAAGTGATTTTCGTAAATAGCATCCTAAACAGCTTTCATAGTCACTTCATGATTTCTTCTTGAAAGTCTCTTTAAAAAGTCTATGTTAAGATTTTCAATACGGTTAATCTGAGTGATCTGAGTAAATAAAGTCAGACAAGGTAGCTCTATGTCACCAGTTGTCAAAGAAAAAATCCTGCCCAGGTGCCTGAATAGCCAACGAGCTCGGATTCGTAGCCTGCAGGCTCCGAGTTCGATTCCGGAAGGACTCACAGATGTTTGTGAATGCCGACAGACGGCATCGGCTGGAGGCACCCCTGTATCGTGGATAGACAAGAATTAGATGTCGCCGATCATAGAATTCCAACCCAGTAGCTGGATAGTCAGTGACCTCGACCCATTACCCAGAGATCTTAGTTTCTATCTCTTATGAGGTCAGGGATGCCCCATTCCGAAGAGTCCCAGGCTAGGACAAAACGGGTATTCAGTGCCTCCTCATCCTAAATAATTCTCTAATTCAAGCGTTGGTGGCACAGTGGTTAGGACTCTCGCCAACCATGAACATGGTCCGAGGTTCGAATCCCTACCGACGCACACCTGATATCTATGGTCGGCTTACGAAATTCGGGCTATCGATATCCATGCTGAAAATTCCATACTTGTACCAAAAATACAGTGTGGAATCAAACTGTAATCAAAAATAATAATAACGATTCGTGAATTTGTGACGAGAAAAGTCAGAAAAAAGGAAATATAGATGTATCTGTTGTTTCTAATTTACAGCGATTTGCAAGTTAAATCCTTCACCTGGAGAGTGTACAGACTACAAAACTATGTGGTATTATGATCCCAACTGGTTAACAAGTGTTGATGGACAAGATCATCAGATGATTGGCGTTTGTAGACAATTTAATTATTCTGGTTGTGGTGGAAATAGTAATCGTTTTCCAACTCAAGCTTCATGTGAAATGATGTGTCAATTTAATACAAAAATTGAACTACAAATAGATATGGATTCATCAGAAGAAGCTTCCAATGTAACAGGACAAAATGATCTCCATGATGATGAAGATGTGTACAGTGATCCACCATCAGTGTCTACAACTGAAACAAATAAAACAACACAAAGTAACTTGAACAGAAAAACAACTAAGCTAACTTTGATGAATATTGGTAAGCCTTTCGATGCTTCTCTTTCTTTTTGATTACAGATTTACATTCTTTTACCTATGGTTATATCTAACAGGCTGTAGACTTTGATTAACACCTGTGTTCGTTGATTCGATACTGAATATTAGATAGCCAGCTAAGAAGGGTAACCAACAAGCAGCTCTGGATGGCAGTGAACCAGAAGACGCCCTATGACTGGTTCAGCAAATATTCAGAAGAAAATGGAATTGGATTAGATATCCGCTGTGGAGACGGTAATCCAAATGATATCACACTGTAGACAGGCCATAGAGTGGAAGTGAACTGGAAAGTAGCTAAGGAGGCATAGTTTTGATAGTAGACATGAAGGGGATCAAATAAGGAGAGGTGGAGTGCTTGTGGGCTCTCATGCGGCCGTCTGAAAGCGGCAGCAAAGGACGGGGTGGAATGAAGAAGTGGTGCTGAAGCCCTGTATTTTGTGCATAATTAAACTTAATTAACACGTCGCAATTAAATGGATTATACTTTATTAGCCAGTGGAGTCTTTAATTTTATCTATTTCTGAAGGGTATGCAACTAAGAAGACGTAATGAAGCACATTAATTCCTGACTTTTAGTTTAAATCAACCAGTTCAAGATACTCGCGATTATAAACAAGCAACGCAGTATAAGTGTTGACTGCTCATCAGGCCAAAATTATCAATCTCTGTTATTTTTCCACACCTAGATCTTGAACCATGCCGACGACATCCTGTATTCGGTTTTTGTCGACCATTGAACTGCTCAGAAGAACAAAAGCGTAATCAGACTTGTCAGTTTTTAAATTTTCAAAGATGGTTTTTCAATGCTCATACAAGTAATTGTGAAGCTTATAGTTACAGTGGATGTGGAGCGTCTGAAAATTCATTTGATGATGCTCAAGCTTGTCAGGCGGCATGTAAAGCTAGAATTGTTAGACCGGATAGTAAGTTTATAATTTTTTCCCTGATTAATTGAAGTGAATTTATTCCTCTATGCTACAATTATACAAAACTATTTCGTCACGAATTAACATCAGTTAGAGAACCACTGAAAACTAAGGGGCAGTGCACAGCTGTTTCGTCTCATTTTGGAAATCTTCAGCACTAAGCACCTGTGAACTTGCCAGGGGTCGAACAAGGGACCTTCAGATTATAAGACCAGCCTGCTGACCATTCAACTACTACTTTAGTATTTGATGATCTGTACATGCTCACAGATGATGAAACGGCTATACAGTACTCCTTGATGTTTATCAATTCCCTAACTACCGTCTATTCATTACGATTGTCTACTTGCTCCCATGAAGCTAGGTATATAGACGGTCCTACATATGTCCTTTCAAAATGATTTAGAGAACTTTATCTAGGATGGACACAAAGAAGTGACACTGATTCAGTCAAAAGTGCTATAGTTGAAAACCACGTCAGCATCTGTCACAACATCCCAACTGACTCATCATTCAGAGCTATTTACAAAGTAAAGACAGAAATCTGTGGAAGATAGTATGCTTCCAACTTTGTTAGCACTACAGAAGCCGTGACCATATGCCTGAAGAAGCCCAAGCTATGTGTTCCATCTAGTTTAGTTTGGTTTCTATTAGAATCACTACATTAGATTCTTTTTTGACATGACCCAGGTTATATCTTAAGTGTTTGTCTTTTATTTTCAACAGGTACATACACAGGTTTGTGCGAATTCTGCAGTAGTAAATACTTTTAGCACTTCAATTTGTGTGTCAAGTCACTTTTCTTGTTGTTCGTTTTAAACAGACCAGTAAATTCCTTTGAAACTATGAGTTGTCCTTTTATAGAACATTTCCGTAAGATCTCTTTCTAACGGTGATTTGCAAAACATTGAGGCTCCGAAATACAAATGAAATCTAATGATTTGTATATTCGTATGGAGAGTATTGGTGAGGTGCAAAGACGCTTAGCATTGGTAATGCGTAAAAAAGAAATAATGTTACAATTAAACTAAGTGTAACATTCCAAACTGGTAAACTTTAATAAATACTTAGACTTTAACTCATCCCATTCAGAATTGGTTAAGACAGGTTTAGTTAAATGTCTCTATAATCAGGTCAAGAGCCTGACTAGTAAGCTAGAAGAATTAAACGAATAACCATCCACCAGAGTTCATTCGGAAATGTATGAAGACCCACAGAAAAGATAAGATTAGTATTGGAAATGTTAAAAAAATAACAGTAATATAGAATTCGAAGCCTCTGTAGTACTGGTGTATTAGGAAGGAACATCAGAGGCCTTACGTAGGATTTTCAATGAAGTCAGAATTAGGATGGTACTTAAACAATCCAACTGCCTCAGAGATAAACTTTGTCGGATTAAAAACCAAATAGATCCAGTATAATATAATTTACCAAATACCATGTGATAAGTGTGATGTCAACTGCATAGGTCAAACTAATAGATCGGGGTCAACTAGATTACTGGAACATACAAATTTACCTAGACCTATAATGATTGACCCTGCAAAGTTAAACAACCTAGGAAAAAGCTCAGCCATTGTACTGCATTCATCTGCATGTAATGACAAAATAGGTTGGGACTGGATGAAAAGTAATGTAGTTAAGTGGACAGAAAGAGAGGCCAATTACTGAAGCTTTGTTTATCGATTCAATACCGCATACCTGCAATCGGAATGATGTAATGCCTATACCAGAGATATGGAAGGTGGCGTCAAACAACAAGGGGGAAAGAGAGAGGGAGAGAGAAATGGAGGGAAAATTACAAAAGAAGTCAAATTATGAAACTGTATACCTAAATTGATACGATTATGAGCAATAATTTGTGCTGGAAACGTCATCCAGTTAATGATACTGCATGAATGTGTGTTATTTCAGATAAACTTGTCTAATATGAAATCACATTCCATCACAGTTCCCAAGTCCTACACTTACATTAAACGTTACACTATCGAAATTATTACAGTGTTTCCCTAACCGTATTCCTATTTAGATGTATCTTCATAAATCGGCTTCATTTCACATATATATTTACACAAAAATTCCGACGAAATAGTAAGATGTTGTTTATCAGAAACATGTAATGTACTTATGCAACACATTTCAGACATTTTGATCACACACATACCTGTTATGCACATCCGTATAGAAGGCAAGAGAACACGAATTATTACAATACAGGTGAAACTGTGTACATGTTATCACAACGGGCGGAGGAGGGAGATGACGCAAGTGTGTGGGGTAAGAAAAAAGAAGGAAAGGGTGGGGATATCACTAAGTAAATTGACCATGGTTTCTAAATTGGATTACCAAGACAGGAATAAAGTAATAACAAATAATTTCTGGACACCTAAGAAAGGTTTAAGCCTTTTTTAATCAAGGCTTCAACATATGAGTTTAAAGGCACTATTGAAATCAACCTTGTAACCCTTCTGTATGGTGTGCTTCACTATAGATGATGTTGAACATCTATTTCCAGAATCACTTGTATCCGGTGATTTTATTTGTTCTTGAAGACACTTTGGAATATGTTCTGTGACCCTAACCTTCAGAGACTGATAGGGAGGACCTTTCTATGTATGTGTGTCCACAGATGCAGGTAAATTGGTAAACACAGTGATATATGACACTATCAATTGGATTCTGTGAGGGTTTACGGGAAAGCATGGATCTCGCTTTGTATATGAAGATAAGTTTGGCTGCAAAGAAAGTTCTATTAATTGACGCTCTGAGTTTGATCGGAATGTTCGAAATGTGTTGCGCAAATACATCACACGTCTTAGATAAACTATATCTCATTGTTTTGTCGAAATTCATAAAGTGAACTAATTGTTCTGTGCGAGAATTATTTAAGGGATACGAAGGGGTAATATTATGCGGTATTCACTTACACGACCTCACTATCTATAGTTATTATGTGGCAAGCGTACAAGGCATTTTAAGTGATTATACCATACGCTGTTAATCAGTATGCTGTTTCGAAAAGGGAGAAAAGTTTGTCCTGACTTTAGTACCTTAGTACTAACATGATGCTAAACAAAACACCAAGACCGATTGACTAACTGAGTTTCAAGACAGAAATTTGCACAGAAGTGCAGGAGTTCAAGTTTCCACACTCCATATAGACATTAAAAAACTATAATAAGCTGAAAGGTGAAAGAGAAGCATGACTGTTTGGTGGATATGGGAGACTACAAAGAGTGAATACCTCTGCTCCAATGAGAGCAATTTTGAACCATATTACCAATAGTCTCCAAAGGACTCCAACTTGGCAGGCTATACCTCCCTTCGTCGTTCAAACTAACTGTCAAGAATTTCATGGATTGATGTCGTATTTTGGTTTGACCGCCTCTAAATCTCTTTGAAGCTAATCCTATGTCAACTAACATTGCCTATAGAGAAAGGCTATAGCCTGGAATGTGAGACACGTGTCCTAACCATATCAGTCGATGTAGCTTCACTACACCATCGACCAGCCTACCCTCCTTACCTAACTTTCGACCCCTAACTTCAATATCACTTACCATATTATACCAGTCAATATTCATCATATTATATCTCTTTATAATGTTAAAATCAAGCTTTACTATTTCTAATAACCATGTTTAGGAGATCAACGCTGTGATTCAAATCCACACTCTAAAAAGTGTTACAAACTATCTGTTAGTGGTAATCAACAAGATGAGTCTACAGAAAGCAATGTCATTGCATTCCATTTCAGTATTGTTAGTGCAACATGTAAAGCTTTTCATTTAAATACACAAAGATCTGGTTGTAGTATGGAGCATTACTTTCCTAATGGTTATGATTGTCTACGTGCTTGTGTAAAATCTTCACCAACTGAAAAACATTTACAAAGTAAGTAGCTTAGTTATTATTGTTTCATTGGTTTTTAATAAAATTGGAGAGAGATTTAACGGGATTTAATTTAAAATGCACTTCAAATGATGGGTTGATGACAGGTGAGTAATGTGTATTACTAGTGCGAACGTTGTGGAAGTTTCGGTATAACATGAGGTGTGACTTCTACGTTTTAGACAATGGAGAATAAAGACTATAAATAACTGGTGTTTGTTAAAACTCCACAGAATTGTGGACCATTCAATAGACATATATCTGAACTATGAAATAATAGACAAATTAGGTTTTGAAGAGTTGGTTTGTAAGTATTGAATTTGTTTTTACGACTTTGACCACGGATTGATAACAGTTAGAAAACTATTGGAAACCAGCTGGGAGTACTGGACAGTTGTTTCATCTTAGTTTGAGAATCACAGGCAGTAATTAGCCACTGTCAGGGTTCAAACCCAGGACCTTATGGTTACAAGTCAAGCTAGCTCTTATTCCATTCAGTCACTGGGACCCCACCCGACTCAGTGGCCAGAACATGGATCCTAACTTCTACCAATTCGTAATTTGGCCCGAATGGCACCAGCCAATGTCATCGGTTGGACATCCATCCTCACACTTGACTGGATGGACCTCACTGGTCACGATTTCTCACTAGAACTCCGGTGAGGTCCAATCAGTCAAGTGTGAGGATGGTTGGTGGTGGCGCTAAATCACTTATAAATTAACAGGGAGAGTGAAACCGGGTGTGTTATATTTCATACAAGAGAAGCCTCTGATATATTTTGATGAGACAAGGAAGCTCAAATTCGCGGTAACTATAAGGTCATCTTAGTTCGGATTTAATATGCTGGTTAATTTATTCTGAATCATTTCTAAAATTGTTTTATTAGTGTACTACACTGAGAATGAGAATTTGAATAATGCTGAACACGAGTGACATTTTGCTATACCTAATAATGAATGACTTGGAGTACACAACAAACAGCACTGAGATAATACAATTTTAGTGCGGAATTCTAGCCAGCTACCCAGGGGGTCCGAAATGGGCCATCGCCTGATGTATTCCTATACTTCATCTAGGCTCTTGGTTGGCAGTAAACCCAAAATTGAGGGAAGGGTGGACCTGAGGCTAGCAACCCTACCCCATAAAAACAATATCACTGCAACTGGAAATTCAAAGTTCGAAGTGCTTTTAAAGAATAGTTCAGTGAATCCTAAGAGTTAATTTTGGGAGAGTAATCGTATCTAGGAAGCCAAACTCAAGAGTTACTATTCTCCTGTACTAGGCCTTCAGCAGAAAATGGAGAAATGTTTGGTCTATAATAGAATTGTTGTTATTGTGCCAGAGCTTCAGTTCATTGTGCTGACTGACAACTTTTGAAACAATGAAGATTTGCAGTTCAGATGGATGTTTTTGATGAGATTGAGTTCTCTAACCTTGGTGAATTAATTGCTGACCATCCATTCGCCTTCTAGGCAAGATCTCCACTTCACATAAAACTAAATACTGAAAGATTTTGCTTCAGAATTCAACCAACCGGTTTAGAGGACATAAACACATCGAAAATAAGTGACTGCTTCTGTATTTTCGTCAGAAACGTTTAAATGAAAATACTAGAATGAACACGGTTATAAACTGAAAGAAAATTCCCAGAAACATGGAGCTTCAACTCACTAATGATCAACCGGTACTTAAATATTCACCCTGTAAGGTGAATATCAGAGAGAGAAAGTGTGTGTGTGTGTACAATAACGAACTTACCAAACACATCAATATTACAACACTAAGTCATTCTCAAAGATCATACGATTACACAATAATTTGAGGACACAAAGATGATCTCGTGACGGAAAGACTACCTGCAGCTAAAACCAAGTAAGTAACATCAAAGATCAGTAACTTTTCTGTTTGAATGTTCATGTAACTTAAAACACTATTTAAAACCTTGGAGATGTAAGTGCTTATAAAGTTACCATAACTTGCTGATGAATTTATTTTTGACTAACTATAGTATTTTCCATATAATGCCAAACACATGTAACGAATTTTCAAGCATTGGTTCGTAGGCATTTTATTGATTGATCACAGGATCTCATCATGAGGTGACATCGGTTAGAGAACCATTGAAAAACCTCCAGAGAGTACTGGACAGCCAGCTGTTTCGTCCTAGTTTAGGACTCTACACAGTAGGCACCCTCTGCTAGGGCTCGAACCCAGGAACTACTGGTTACAAGGCAAGCGCGTAGACCAGTATCGAAGAGTCCCAAACTAGGACGAAACAACTGGCTGTTCAGTACTCCCTGGAGGTTTTTCAGTGGTTTTCTAACCGATATCAGCTCATAATGAAATCCTGTAACTTTTCACGAATGGTATTTCTTTATTAATATAATATTCCTCATCATAGCAAGGCGGAAACACTGTTTTAATCTACATTTAAATGTTTTATCTAATCCATATGTATTGTGTCCGTCTCTTGAAGATCGCTGTTTTGCTCGAAAGACTCATATGTCATGGAATTGTACAGATCATAGTACCAAAGCCTATCGTTGGTCATATCTACCTGAAATAAACCAATGTGTACGTTTCTCAGAGTGTACTGATCCAGATCAAAATATGGAACAACCTGGAAATAATTTCGCCTCAAGAAGTGAATGTGAAACCACGTGTATGGCAACAAGTTTTGAAGGTTAGTCAATTTACTGAAGGACATATTGTCAAATGAACAAGAAACCTACGTTTGCTCCTGTATTTTTTTGTATACACATATCAGAAATTAAGGATTTTAGATAAAATGCTGGGTTCAGTTATTGAAGGTGCGTAAAATATTGAAGGTTTTTCGTCAGTCTGTACCACAGGTCCTAGTCACCTCAAGTTTATTAGTATCACTTAACCTTTATGTCATGTCAAGACGAAGCATTGATGAGGGAAGGTCTATATCGGGCGTTCACAAAGTTAGACTTCAGGGGTCTTTGAATTCCGGCCCAAGTGAATTAATGGTCAAGAACCTTGGTTTCGTACCCTGAAGGTCCTGGGTTCAATCCCTGGTGGGGTCGTGGAGTTACACCACCCGATGGTTCCAGGATTAGACGAAACAACTGCTCAATGCTCCTTGGTTTTCCCTGGTCTCCCTAAATGATGTTAGTTCGTCAAGAAAATCTAACCTGTGTTAATTTCATTCTATGGAGAACTGAAATTTCGAAGGTTGACAAAATCCAGAAACTTACTTTCTCAACTTCACAGAGTCTGAGTAAATAAATTTTGACGATTAATTATCTAGATAGTGTTTGACTTGCAGAGTTTTATTAGAACATTGGTTTTATATCTTCAAAAATGTCATGGTTACAATTTAAGTGTGAAAAGACTGCCTATTTTGTTATTACTCATTATTTGCCTTCGCAGTGGAAGGTAGGACTTCAGCGAAATATCTCAATTGTACTGTTTTATCCCCGTCACTTCCAGTTGACTGCACAACCGTTGGTCAACTTTCTTTTTCCTCCTTCCGCATGCTAACTTCCAGCCTATGACTAACTCATTGCTTATGATTCGGGTTCCACATTGAGGCTTCACTGGTTTGTGATGTCACCTGAGTGTTTGTGTAGCCGATGCATCCAATCTGTCCCCATTTCCTTCTATATATTTGTTGATCATTAAGTTATTGACTGGATATCTGTCCGAATTCTTTGTTGTTTTTCGTTTCTGGCAGCTAATCTGATCTTCAGTAAAGACAGAAGAAGACTGTTTCTGAAAATCTTTAACAGGATGTGGGAGATGCTTTTGGTGACCCTCTCACTTAGTCTCTGAACTGTTTAGAAGACTGCCTATTGACTGTTAGTCAGCACCAATCTGCTCAGCTTAATCAGATACAGACTGCATTTACGAACTTATCTTAGGTGTTGAAAAATGAGTAGTGAAAATGGAATCAAGGAATACTGAGAACTGCTATCATATGAGCATCCACGTGGTTTAGTAGAATAATACTTGATATTGTATTTGACGATACTATTTAAAGTGTATTACATACAGGAACGCACAATTCATGCATGACATTTCACAGACCATACTACTGTGGAGCAATCACATCGTAAATTTCTAATGAAGAAAGATTACTTCATATACATACATTGTTATCTCACATAAAAGGTGATGAAAAAACAATTATCCTGACTGTTGGGTTCGATACTTCTAATGACTACCGATTACTTCTGAGTCCAGAGCCCGAGAAAATAAAGATTGGTCACAGACTGATCTGTGGCAGTGAGAACAATTCCATCTTATCACACAAAAATTTATTATACACAAATATTACGTACCTCGGGAAGTCAAACATACAAATAACTAATTGCATTATTTACCTAGGATGGAACCTCTAGGTCACCCAGCTGCATTACGTCAAATATTCTGCCTCCACCCTACAGATTGATTTCCGCACTCTGATTTAATCCTGTCTGTACCTGTTTGAGTTGATTTCACCCCATTTATGGCACACATACTCACTGTAACTTAAAATAGTTGGTGTGATAATTTTGATGAGAAATTTGTTAAGCTATAGGGTCACTCATAGTTGATTCTTTTTAATATATTGTTAAAGAAGGTCAGTCTCCAAGTCTGTTAATTATTAGGTTATAGTAATTTGAGCTTGAATAAACTAACTTCAATTTTCATCGCTTCATATTTAGCCGAGAGACAATTAGCTAAAAGCCTCTTAAATGATGTTTGCTACACTTAGTAAGCAAAAACGAGGCAGAATTTATAAGGACAGGAGTCTGGCTTTCTGTTGATTCATAAATGTTGAAATTAGGAATAATTATTCCTTACTCCTCTTGGAATGTCCTCTTGGAATACAGTACAGGAAGAGAGAGACAGGGCAATGAACTAGAACAGCACAACACCAATTACTATTGATTGATTTATATGAGTGATTGGACACTATTAGTGTCGGGTAGTAGTGTTTACTGACTCTATCTGAACATTGGAAGGCCATTTCCTTTGCTTGGGACCGAAATCGTTATCAATGTACCCCATTTGACTCATCTCAGACAGCCAAACCACCTGAATTCTGGTTGAAGGTTTTCATAAAGATGTTGAAGAAGAATTTCATGATACTCCTCTGTGAAATATAGAAATTTTCAGAAATTCTTTCTTTCTATTTTAGCAAACAATGTGTTATGTCATTTCAGAGAAATATCAGAGGTTTTTTGTAGATCCTCCTATTGAAAATAAATTGCCCTTATCCACTTATTTGCATTTCATCAGTGGTAGATAACAGCAGTTTCCTAATGACTGACGAACACCTGGGTTACAATGGATTATGAAAAGTTAAAGCTTACAGATAACTGATATTAATTTTGTTTGAGTGTTCATAAACAAAAGGATCATACTCAATCTAAGGTTTGGTGACAATGAGTAGTTGAATGCTGAAATTATTTCATATTCTTGGCTATATAAAAAGCATTATAACTTCACATCCTCCAAGCTATTACTGAATGGTTTTGTAACGACAGAGGACAAGGGTCAGGCAACAGATCCTTTGTTGAAAAAATCAAGAGATATTTAGAGATTTTTATGTACATTATTATTCGTTATTGTTAGCGAAGAAACATCCTCTTCTAATTGGTTGTTTTCTTGCTGAAGGTTATTCCGTAGTGCTTGTGACCATTTCTCAGAAAGTTAAACTATATACTTGCGAATCGTATTTTCACATATTAAGTCTGCTATAAAGGGTTTGTGAGTTCCTCAAGGTTAAGTTTTGTTATTGTTTTTTCTTATGACTCTGATTCGCGACGTAAATATTGACGTAAACTGTTGCCTGCAATTTCGGCTTGCAAACAGTCCTCACCACAGTATCAGTAGAATGAAAATACCTACACTATGTAATACAAGAACATCGAACACTTAATTCGGTTGTGTGTCATGGTATTCAACAGGAATTCGACTGTCAGAGCTTACATTACCTCCGTCTGTTTCACTAGCCGCATTAGATGCTGTGAATAGGTTTAAACTATACATACGACTTAAAACTATACACTAAAATAAACTATTCTCACAAGTGTTCTAATAAATGCCATGTCTAATGTAGAAATATTAACAGTTTGGTAATGATTAAAATCTATTCATTCATTTATACAGAAGTATGTCAACTTCCAAAAGATCCTGGTCCGTGTACAAGTTTTCAAACTCGTTATTTCTACGATAGTAGTGCATCAAAATGTCGAGTGTTTTTATATGGAGGTTGTTTGGGCAATTTTAATAGATTTTTGTCAAGAAAAGAATGTGAACTAGCCTGTTCGCAGTATTCAACGCATCTTCTGAGTACAAATAATCAAACTAAATCTTCAGAAACCTTGCAAGAAGAGAAACTATTGAATCATGATGAACCACCATTGTTAAGTGCCCAGGTGTTTGAGAAGATGAAACAAACTACTCGGCATCATACTGATCGTTATCGTAAGTTTGATTAACGATAAGCTGCTGGATAGATATTTTCATTGGAAGTTATTATTATCGTGGTTGTGTTATTTCCATTCACATAAAGCTCCACCGAATATTCATACTGACTGGAAAGAAAGCTTTGATTATAGGTAATAATTTGAGAAAACTAAATCTTAGTTTGCTATTATTCAGAACTTCTCACCTGTGATCTTATTGGTGTTCAAACCCATAACCTTCAGTCCAAAACCCGACCACGTTACCTCTAGGCATCCCAGTTGAGATCAACACATCTGTCAGTCTCAAATATAGCCTCCCCACTATCCTTACAGACACAACACTCAAAACCTATTTCACTACTCATTAGCAACTGGCATTCGGGTGGAATTACTGGAATTCCAAAATACTCCATAAATTTGGTCGTGATACTTACCACGGTGGCACAAATATATCACAAGTTCGTGGAAGTTAAGATTCACAGGCTACTTGGTTCCAACTCACTTGCTGAAGGAGAATTGGCCCCGACTGTAACCTGAAGGTGATGGGTTTGTTCCCTTTTGAGTTTATGGATGTTCCCTGGCTTTTAGTGCTTCTTCGACTGACTTTGTTTAGTCATGAAATATGCCTCGAATTATTGCAGTTTATCACTTCTGGATCTCGTGGCTCAGCAGTAGCGCGTCTGACCCCAGATCAGAAGTCTGTGTGTTCCAATCACGTCGAACTCAAGGCTTTAACAGTCATCTCGAAAAATCAATTGCAACAACACTGCTCACAATCTTCACTGACCAACATCGTTTTGTGTGTTGGTGGCATAGCGGTTAGGACGCTCGTCGACCATGCACATGGTCCGGAGTTTTATTCCCGGCCGACTCACTCCTTTTCCTTGTTAAGCCAGAAATAATGTTGGTAACGAGGAAAGGTTGGGCATGAGGCTAGTAACCCCATTCTGTAAAATAAATACTGCTACAGAAACTTCAAGCCACTAGCTTGAAGCCTTATGTTCCACTGGGGAACATGAAGGAAAAAAATCACTTCTGACACTAACTATTTGCGTTAAAATGAGCGCTCTATACTAACTGAAGGGAATTAACACCGATGATAGCTACTTGTCTATATTCAAAATTCATAAATATATGCCTTTCAATAAGAAAAATTAGGCCTACTACGTACAGTTTGAACCCGATACTAACCTACAATAGTATTCACCCTTGAAATATGATTTACTGGAGTTAAGTCTTTGGATTGCACATTAGTTACAACCTATTGTCTGATCAGAGTATCCATTAAAGTCCTACAGGAGGTCGACTGCGAGCCTGAATAGCTCAGTGACGTTTCTGACTGCAGCAGTGGATGAAACGGATTCGAGTCTCACAAGCAATGTAATTTCCTTTAAGATTGTAGATACGACTTACTGATTAGCACCAACAAGCGCAAAACCTGGGTCCAAAGCTTTCAGACGATTCCCTCCAACCATCTAACAAAAATTAAGTCTGCCATTATTTTGAGATATCAACTTCCTGTAAGATTTCAGTGATGTAGAATGAGTTCATACTCTGAATATGACACATTCATCAATATTTTGGCGTTTTGATATTCTTCTTTTAAACCTTAAGCTTTTAAAATCTAAATATCATTTCAGCTTGGGATATTTGTTTGGATAGTCACAGTTATGGAACCTGTTCATTATCTGGTGGTCAATATCAAACAACAAGTGAATATCCATACGTCCCGCTGACTCGTTATTATTATGATCGTCGATTAGGCCAATGTCAGCCTTACACTTATACTGGTTGTGGAGCCCGTGGGAATCATTTTGATACACTAGGAAGTTGTCAAAAAGTTTGTGAAAATCGACTAAGAAATCCAAGTGAGTAACTTTTCTGTGTGTGCACGTGTGTGTGTGTGTTTGTGTAATAACATCATCTGTGGTTCATTGGACTAAACACTAGGCTTTCTATCAATGGGTCTCAGATTCGAATCTTTGTCTATCGACTTCAGTCTACGCTACTGCTTGGCATATATGAATGATACGTTCAGGGCAAGTGAGTTCAAACAACTCACAGTTTAATCCCTCTTTACAGCTGACTAGCAGAAGAGGTAAGAAGTACATGACTTCATGCGATGATAGAGACAACAGAGGTGTAAAGATATCTAACTAACAGCAGCAACTACAACAAGCGTCAGTTACAATCAACAGGAAAAATCTAACGGAAGTCACTTCCTTCGTTTACTTAGATAACGTCGTTTCAAGTACTGGCGGCGAGGATCAGGATATAAAAGGTAGGATCAAAAAAATAAAATAGGCCTTCATTCATCTGAAGTCAGTGTGAAAGTCTACTGAGCTCAGTATTAGGAACGATGTCCGAATGTGCACCACTAGTGTCAAGTCAATGCTTTTATATCGTCCGGGGACTTGGTGCGTCACAAAAAGTAATTCTAAACTGCTACTGGAGACTTTTATCAACAACTGCCTACGCTGGCTCGATATTGCAGATCAGATTCCCAGAAAGGATAAACATAAAGAAATCCTGACAAAGAAGCAGTCAAGAACATATCTCCTAGGTATTAAGCAGAAGTAAATGGAGGCGGATTGGACATATGTGTCACACCCTAGAGTGTGGAATCCAATTAGGAAACGATGAGTCTAGCGTCCACGAGTGCCATAAAGAAGATCGTGCGAAAAGGAAATGAAAGCTTTTGGCCAACTGTAAAGCCAGCCGAAAGGGACTTCAGAGAACAGAGTGAAGTAGAGGTTTGATGATACTGGATAGGTGGAGACAATTGGCAGGAAGCCTTGGACCTAGGTTTCGTGCTAGTTGGCACTCATCAGCAAATCATCATCAAATCAATGTACGCCGTGATGGCGAGCTACCTAGAATCGTGGCCACATTGCAAACCTTACTGACAGAACTCAGTCTGCACCAAAGAAAGGACTGGACACGTCACACTAGTTACTAGTGTCTAATCGAAGTAGAGGTTTATTGATGAAGCCCTATGTGCCACTTTATCGGATATGATCTTTTTCAACAATTTAGGCGCCGTAAAAGATCCAAAGTGATATTGCGAACAGGTATTATATTCATTAGAATTCTTAGAAAAGAATTTGACAGTTTAGCGGACACATCTTGCTTACTTTCTTTACTAATTCGAAAATGATTCAGTTATAAAGAGATTTTAGCGAATTTAGCTTAACCACTACACTAGAGAACATTTCACTCGCTAAGAAACAAAAATAGATAGTCTGCCATTTTTATAATGTAGACAGAAGTGCCTTTTATGGTTACTCCACACACCTATACACCCATATATCATTCTGGCGTCTATAAGAATTATTGCTTCCTTCTACTTGTTTCTATTTTGTATTTAATACGTCATTGTATAGTTTGTATAAAATGTTCGTTTTCATAAAGTAACGAATAAAGTTTTGAAGAATACATTCCTATGAAAGGATCCTTTAGTCTCTGATCTTTAAAGTAGCCTACGATTAATCCAAATATGTTTTTTCTAAAGCCATTTGAAACATTCTACTTTGATCTAATTAATTTAGATGTTGCAAAATATTGGCGATTTGTAGATTGATTCGTGATTTGGTATTAACACAGTTCAAACAGGTGAAATTTCACCACAGTTTCCTTCGGAAAGCGGAATTATTCAGATCACCATGACGTATGATCTGACTGACACAACAAATGACAATCAGGAAACCAAGCAGTGGCTGCATAAAGTCTCATTTATGGGCTGTCAGAATGATTTTATAGAACATTCTGTCACAAGCAGAGATCTATATAGGAACTATTATTCTTTTAAATAGCATTAAAATCCCCATTGAGTCATATGAGAAAAGAGAAGACGTTCAGCGAAGAGACTCTTTTTGACAGCGAATTCATTCACATAGCTGTACAATCGCATTTATATATAATTATTTGTGTGTGTTTGTGTATATGAGGTTTGTCAAGTTTAGATAATTAATCAGGTAATAAAAGAATAATCTAGTATAGAAAAAAGGCTAATTAGACAGCAACTAAAGTAAGATTGAGTTAGTAAGTTAGATGACGCAATATAACTGACTAAAATGTTTCAACTTAGGTCAGGATAGCAACAGAGGTAATTACAGGTAGAGACTAAATATAGGTGGGGTAGGGAATAATGCCATTTTAATTAGGAATAAAACCGAGTAAATAAGTTGGGTAACGTTATATATTTTTAATGTTATTATATCCTTTGATTCCTGGAGGAACATAGGGCTTGAACTGTGCGTCTCCATTGCCTTCGGTTTTCTGCCAACTTTTTCACCCCGTAACATAAATGACTAGAAATTGAGCGTTAGTCGAGTAAGTAACAGTGGTAATGAAGTGTAGGAGTTAAATCGGGTGGGGGTAGAGAACAGGAAATTTGAAAATGTAAAATATTGAAATTGAAAACACAAAATAACACTAATGAAGAGACAGAAAGAAAGAAATATAATTTACCTGTCGAGTATTAAGATAGATTACGTCCATTGCAAGTGTACTGACTGAACGAACCTCAGAACATAGCAAGTGAATCGCCACTGCTTCTGCATTTTGAAGAAGTCTGATTCGTACACTCTTCGGAAGACTGCTTCGTATTCCGTTAACGACTTTGAAGTTTGTTTATGGGTGTAGCTTGGTGTCCGGAATCTATCAGGTGTTCTAAGGTAGAGCTGTAAAATTATGCTAGTAAGTGTTCGGTGATATGTTTTAAAAGCGAACGCTCCCTTTCCGTCTAAGTGGAACACAGGGCTTCATCCTTTGAAGTCTAAGGAGTGGTGATTTTATTTCTACTGGTTGGGGTTGCTAACCTGGAGTCCAACCTTCTTTATTTTCCTGTTAGACGAAGTTTAGGAGTGCGGTGAGCTAAAATGACATCTCTGTAATATCCTGTGTGTCTGATAACCGTTCTACCAATTAACTTTCGACGCTCTGTTGGCCTGTCTAGGTAGCCTAACATTTGATAACTGTTTGTTCATAGTTTAAGACTCTTTAGTGGGGGTAATTAGGTTCCGAGGAAAGCACTTTATTACCCACGCAGATGCTCATTATGTCAATATCAATATATTCTTTAATAACTGGCTGTAAAAATAATTTTCTGGAGTCCTAACGAGATGTATTGGCCAGTAGAGTCTACTAAATGCGAATTTTAACCAGTGATATTGAACTGTTTTAAAGTTATGTCAAAAACAAACAGGAGTTATGACTAATCGAACACTGAATTCCAATCTGATGACTGACTAAGAAAATGATCATGTCATGATCTCAACATTCCGAGTTCATCACTATAGGGCAGTCGCGAAATAAGCCGACACAGAGAGAGATACATTGTTACTTAGTTAACAAGTACTTAGCCAAGGTATGCAGGCCTAAGTTAGGTTCTATCAAAACAGATTATTAGTACTTCAATTTGCCACGAGATTTTTGTTCTCTGAGACTACTTATTTTTGTAACAAAACACCAAAAACTTCAAATCCACCAATAATATTAAAGGATAAATTCCATCAATGTTAAGTCAGTCAGTCCTTCAATATAGGTGGGAAACTTAACCAACGCGTCATGAAAAGCATTTTTAACAGCCTACTGAAGACTTTGATCAACAGCTGCCTTCGCTGACTGCATATTGAAGATCAGATGATAGGCCAGAAAAAATTATCAACAAGAACGAAACAGGCAAGAACCTATTGCTCGAAGAATATTCTAAAGGAAATGGAGACGGATGGGATGTACACTAAGGAGACTTTCGGGTGGCACTGCGCGACAGGTTAACTCTCAAGTGAAATCTAACTGGGAAAAGATAAATTGGGCATAGGTCCATGGAGGGGGTAGATAAGAACATGAGAGTAGGAAATTAGAGACTGGAAGTAATCAGAAGGCTGGCTAAAGAGGACCTCAGGCGACGGGATTTAGTGACGATGTACTGCTGAAGCCCAAAGGGAATAATATTTATATAGTAATCATAATTTTACTGATTTCCGAATTCGGTAACACATTAAAACAACTTACTACAAGAACAATTACTACTACTTCAAATACTATTCAAGTGCACAATAGAATAAGGAATTTGTTTTTACATTCAAAAAGCAATATCTATCTAATTTGTTTTTATTAATTTATTTATGATATTTTGATGTACTTTTACAGTACACTGTTAATTTTCATTTGAAGAGTAGAATTTTGATAAATACACACACACACACAGGCGTATGTTGTATATATCACATGCTAATTTCTGTATAATACGAAAAGAAATTTCTAGTTGAAAAGGTTTTATTTAATTGTTTAAATAACTTTCTTTTGTTGTGAATACTATACTACACTTATTCTACTTCTACTTTTGATACTTTCAATGTAAAGCGTAAGTCATAGAGAAAATCATTCTGGATGAAGTAAAACAAAGTGCTTTCTTTGTAAAGTGTGCACCACTTTTCACTCGGAAAGTTTTTTATGCCTCAACATTGTAGTAGTATATGTGTTGTATATATGTGAACGAGTGATGCACTTAACGTGTAAGAAATAGTTGAAATTTTGCTATTCTAAAATACTTTCCACTTAAATCAGATCATGAACTGATATTAGTAGTTTAAAAATGTATTTTTTTGGGAAAGATATGATGATTAAACTTCGAATGGTTAACTTTTTATTGAATTCAACAAAATAAACGTCTGTATGTTCTCTATTTTTTGAAGTTAGATCACCCAGCTAGAGAATACTTGAAGACCAAGTTGCTCTGTGTAGCTATTTAGTCCTAGTATTGGACTCTTCAGCCGTGTACATTCATGATCCTATCCTAGATCGAATGAAAGACGTTCTGGTTACAAGACCAGTTCATTAACTATTCAATCGCTGAGTTGGAAATCAATCGTTCATGAATTTTAACTCCTGCTGAATTGGGATATATAGTGTCACCGGTAGCCATAATCATCAGCGAGCATCTGTTCTAACACTTGTCTTGGTGGACCCCGGTGACCAGGTCTTATCACCAGAAGTCCCAGCACTTGATCCCGTATTTGACTGCTAGTGAGCATCAGACTCACTTTCGACTGGGTTTGCAGCGAACTGACCAATTGTATACTAATTAAATACCCAGACATCGTCGAAGCATCTGCACAAGAAGCCGACATGTCAACCTGAGACCGAGCACTTCGGTCCAATCAATCGACGGGAAAATCAAAAAAAAATTCAATTCAATAATTAATATGACCCGTTGCACAAGAGGTGGCTCTCGTGGCCCAAGTGGTCTAGTGGATAACGCTTTGGCGTTCGAAACTATGGGTACTGGGTTCGAGCCTCGGTGGTGACATCATCACTCACTGAGAAATGCAGGTACATCCAGCTGACGAGTCCCAAGTAGGACGAAATGTGCATCCTGGATTCCACTACTAGCCACCATCCACCAATTGTATACTAATTAAATACCCAGACATCGTCGAAGCATCTGCACAAGAAGCCGACATGTCAACCTGAGACCGAGCACTTCGGTCCAATCAATCGACGGGAAAATCAAAAATTCAATTCAATGACTCAAAAGTTGTTAGTCGTTTAGGGAGATAACCTTAAGTATTTCAGCGTGATACTCATGACATGAATTTGAGTGAAACACGAAAGAGTCAGTATCACATTTTAGCTTACCAGAACCACTCGATATAAAATATATCTCATGTGTATAGGGACGTATACTTAGGAAATATGTTAGCATTCCAGTCTTGCGTATATATATATTTCGTTCCTTCGTGTTCTAAGTGGAATATAGGGCTTCAAGCTTCACCTTTGAAGTTTTAGTAGCAGTGATTTTGTCTTTTACAATGTTAAGTTGCTAGCATGGTATCCGTCCTTTCTTCCTATCTGAGATTACTCCAGGCTAGTAAACTAGTTGAGGTTTAGCTGCAAATCGCAGCCGGACCACATGGATGGCTGGTAGTCGCCTGAACCTTAACCTGTATCTACGTCAATACCATTGTACAGATGGAACTACTGAAATGTACTCTCAATGTAAATTATTAAATTCATTGTGATAAAGGCTTCATTCAGTCATCGGATGATGGTAAATAATGTTGTCTTACAGTCGTCATACAAAATGTCTTTATGATGAGCGGAAAAAAAGAACATTTTCTATCCTATTCTCAGCTGAATCGATAGCGGTAGGTAGTGAGGGTCATTCATAGTAGGTGAGAACATGTTTTCTTGATAATAATTACAATTTTCCAAAGTTTTGTACAGGAGGTAATTAGTTAAAGGAAAATCTTCAGGGATATCTTTCTAAAATATTTAATGGAAGCCACAACACGCCTCTACGCATCATAGATTAGAGGATATCATAAAAAACAATATGTCCACTATTGTTAAAATTCAATGAACCAAATAAAATCTAACGTTCAAATAATCTTTTCTGAAGGTGAAAGATGTTAAAGTAGAGGCAATGTGAATACTACTGTCAGTAATGCCAGTCTCTTAATACAGAAAACTAACACGCGATGGGCAAGAGAAATAAAACTTTTTCCTTAATCTGTGAGTACTGGATAGCTGTGGTCTTCTTAGTTTGGCACTGTTCAGCAGTACGCACCCACTGGGGTTCGAACTCAGGTCCTCCTGGTTACAAGGTGAGCTCGTTTATCATGAAGCCACTGAGACCCAATCCAATGACTCATGAATTCTAACTTCTGCCAATTCATGACATAGCGCTATTCCAGTGGCTTAACGGTATACGAGTCAGCTTGACTTGTAACTGGAAGGTCGTGGGTTTGAACCCTGGTGAAGAGTCCCAAACTAGGACGAAACAACTTTCCAGTACTCCCAGGTTTCCCAATGGTTCTCTAACTAATTTCAGCTCATGATGAAATCCTGTAACCAATCAAATCCCTACAAACCAACACTAGAATATTACCTTAATGTTTCTTTTGTAATTATTGTAATTTGAGTATCATTTGTTAATTGTAGTTGTCGTCTGCTGTATAGATTAAAACTTTGGTTCCACTTATAATATTTAATGTCATTGCTTCTTGTTTATCGATTTCACTGAAAGAATTCGCTCGCTGTCATTTCAATCAGTCAATTAAACGATGTCCTGGCAGTGGAATTCAAGCATGGGCTTATAATCATTCTATCGGTGATTGTTACTATTTTGAAATGTGTGAACCAGATGACAAACCAATTGAATTACCGGTAGCTGAGAAAAATTCTCATTCCGTTTGAGAAGAACAAGTCAATGGCTTGGTGTTTGGCAAGCTAGAACTGGAAGTCTACCTGAAGGAATATATGCAACTCGTAGTGCTTGCCAGTATCATTGTTTACCGAAACCGCCTAAAGGGACAGATACACAAAGTAAGAGAGACTTGTTGTTGAGTACTTTTCATCTGAATTCTAATAAATCTTTTAACTGTATGCATTATAAATTGTGACTTAATAAATTAAGAATGGAACTGCTTTCAAGCTATAAGCACTTGCTTTACCAAATCATTCATAGAACGAGGCTGTTGAATTTCGGCAAATAATTGAGACTGACTGTTACATATGGACCGAGAACGCTTATCAGAATTCTTCTTATTGATGAGGACTTTTTGAGGAATTTGAACCAAGCTTACCTTAAGCTATTAAGACTGGATTTGACTCCTCAGATAATGGAGAAGCTTTTGATATTGTCATGCAGTAATTTTATTTTTAACTGCGTGAATTCAACTTTTCGATACATCCTAAACTAGGTGCTCTTGTTTGAAACTATCAGTGCTGAGTTGGAGTCTCTGAGTAAAGGGCAGGTACATTAAGCTAACGATCCTCAAGTGCGATGAAATGCACATCCTGGACACCAGTACTAGTCAGGTAACGTCTTACAAAATACATTTATAAGGAATGTACAACTGTGATTTATTTTGTTTCCTGAACACCCTAAAATACTTAAATATGATATGGAAAATGTATCCCACTTGATTCGTATTGATTTAAGCAGTTTTAAAACAACCTGCACGTATTATGATCTCTATTGGATTCTCTTCCTTTGTGACACCAGAATGGATTTACTCTTGTGTCCGAGGACAGATATAATCAAGGTGGTAATTTATCGGTATCAGATCATACGTCTTTATAATTAATTAGTATTCAATTCGACTTAAACCTATTCATTTTTACATTTAACGAAGTCCAGAGACATTTTATAATCCATCATTACGTTAAAAAAGAATCTTAGAAATAACATTCCATTCAAGCATTGCGCCTCAGGAATTTCACTGATTTTATGTTTGATCAAAAACTAACTTCCGTTAGAGAACCATTGAAAACCAGGTTGTAATGGCCGGCCAATTCATCGTAGTCTTGATTTTTTCAGCAATAAGACCCCGTATCCCCATCGGTTGTGATATACATCGCAGATTAGCAGATGATAGAATTTATGAGCCACTGGATTCGTCCCGCTGCTTGAATGTTCGCTGGTTTCATCTAGTAATCTGAAGGTCTGGAGTTCTACCGACGGTGCGACCGAGGTAACGTGCTGCTGAAGAGTCCCAAACCAGGGCAGAAAATTTGTCCACTGGTCCCCAGTATTTAGTCTTTCTCTATTAGATGATGCTTCGCGATCAAATTTGAAATCAGTGCTGTTTGATTGGTAAGGTGGGGAAATGAACAACACAAGTCGTTTTTTTGATGATTTGTTTCATTTCTTATTTCAGATGTATGTCATATGAACCCGATTGTAACTGTTCCATATGGTTGTAATGCAATGGTCACTAGATGGTATTTTGAACCAAGAGAAACTCAGTGCAGAAGTTATATAACTTGTCCTCAATATGGAAACAATTTCCCTAGTCATAAAGCTTGTCAAGATGTTTGTACTCCAGGACATCCGATAGGTATGATTTAGCCGTTGTTTATGTAATTTACTTATCTTGACTCAATTTTCATGTATTCACTCGTAAACTGCATTCATGTTGATTACTTGGCTATCATTGAAATACATGTCTTAAAGAACAAATGTTTTAAGATTACATCGATCATGATATCCAAGTACAAAAAGTTTGAAAAGAAAGCGATAAGAAATTTACTTACACATAGTCAATATAACCAACCAAGTTTTCAAGTGGGCTTGATGACTATGTCCGTGATAAAGTAAATTTCAAGTTTGATCACGGATTGATATCAGTTAGACAACCATCTGGAGTGGGGAAAAGTACTCACCGATGACACTGGTTGGTGCCAGTCACACTGAAATCACGAATTGGGAGAAGTTAGAATTCATGTACTGGACATTAGATTGGGTCCATCAGGGACTGAATGGTCTACCAGCATCACTTGTAACTGAGCTTGAACCCTGGTGGTGAATGAGTACTACCGATGGGTCGCAAACTAGGGCGAAATGGCTATCCAGTACTCTTAGTTGGTTTTCAACAGTTCTCTGACTAATATCAACCCATAATCAAATCTGAAGTAAATCAAATCCTAACAAACAAACTTACGAAGAGTAACTTTCACCAGAAATTGACAATTGAACACGGAAATAGTAGCGAGTCCATATCGTTGTGGAACGATCTACTTGAAGTAGTCTACAATTAAATCGAATAATAAACATAAGGACACCTATTTCAGCCCATAACACTAGTATGAATAACTCGAATAAATAAACGAAAAGAATACTGATTGATCTATATGAAATCTTCTCTTCAAAGTAGTACAAGATAGTGAAGTATTTTGTTCACAGATAATGAAAATTCACATTATTATATAAAATCTGAATACTATCCATTTCATTTTCTGAGTGACCTGGAGAATTTACATCTTGGCTTAAAAAATTTAAAAATCACAAAATCACAAGATCTAAATGAGATCAGTGTCTTTGAATGCTTTTAAAGCAGGACCACATAGAAGGTTTGATAATCGAAATTTCATGTAAGAACTAGTAGGGCTTTACTGTCTGAAAGAATTCATAATCTGAATTCAGTAAATCATATTTTAACTGAGGCTAATCTAATGAGGAAGTCTGATGGCATACCCTAGTGTTCTACGCTAGTTTTTTTTTTACTTTTATAAACTAGATATCATCAAAATCATAATGTCAATGATTAAAAAATCTCAGAAAAGTGAAGTTTGAAAGCTTGAAGAGTTTTATTAATTCACTTGTAGAACTAAAATAGTTGTAATCCTTGATGAAATTGCCTAGTTGTTTATAAATCGTCGATAGTTTAGTATGCTCACTATGCTATTTTCACCTACCTGTAATAAAAGTCACTTTGAAACTTTTAACACATAAACCTGGGCATGGAAGTTAGGTGAAAAACATAAAATAAGATTCACGATAAGTGGCTAAAGTTTAGTGGTAGTAGTGTACCGACAGAAGACAAGAGCCAGGAAACAGATCGCTTATTGAGGTAGTTATAGATTTTTATGTACATTTTCATTTTCATTATTGTTATCAGAGAAGCAACGTCTTCTGACTGGTTGTTTCCTGACTGAAGGTTATTCTGTACTGCTTGTGACCGTTTCTCAGAAATCTAGGCCATATATATCTGCGAATCGTATTCGCACACGTTAAGTCCGCTATGATTGTTCGGTGAGTTCCTTAAGTTTGAGCATTGTTATTGTTTTTTCTCATGACCCCGATTCGCGACGTAAACACTGACGTAAACTGTTGTCTATAATTCTGGCTTGCAGCTAGCTATCACCACAGTAGTAGAAGCAGTCATAATTTCTGTATTGTCTCACAATAAATTTAATTTCCCTTTCTTGTAGCTTAATCCATTGCTCTGCTACTAATAACTCTTGAGGAAGACGTTACAAATATAATACCAGTTCTTGTCAGTAACACATTCATCCTTCTTTGAAGAGTCTTGAGCTGAGATTTCCTGATCGTCTTGATGCTACTCCCTTTGTTGTCTCTTGATCCACAGCATCCATCTTCGAAGTTGGCTGGTGATAACGTTTTTATGTTTTTTTCCTCTTCTGACGGTGAAAACAGGAAGGATATCGTCCTTCAGTGACTGTGTATGAATCTTCCCACTCTAGAAATAGTCTTTTTGAACCCATCCTAAAACTGTATTTTTCTAATTTTAACTTGTGCGTCGGTGGCACAGTGGTTAGGACTCTCGTCGACCATGCACGTGGTCCGGGGTATGAGCCCACGCCGACGCACACCTTATATCTATGGTCGGCCTGCGAATTTTGGGCTACCGATATTCACGCTGAAAATTCCACACTTGTCCCAAAAATACGGTGTGGAATCAAACTGTAATCAAAAATCAAAATTAAAAAAAATCTCCGACTTCAAACTTTATATATTTCTCCTTTTCCTTCTGTTAGAATTTCGCAGTGTCAACCATCTGTTTATGCTTCAAATTTCTAATTGCTTACTTCTATTCTATTTCCTATCTCTTCAAGCTCTACTGTTAGTAGCACACACACGACATTAGTAGGGATAGTGTAGCAGTTACCACAGTCAGACGTACTATGAATTCGGCAAAAGCACCATAGTAAGAGCACAATCAACGGAGTACTTTGAAAGACTTTACATTTTTTGCATCAAATTCAATCTGACATTAACTTGCAAGTATTATCTTTTAAATTTTTAGATGTTTGTCGTCTTCCACACGATCATGGCGGTTGTTCAAACTTTGAAAAACGATGGTATTATGACATGGATAAACGTATGTGCATGCCATTTACATATGGTGGATGTTTTGGTAATTCAAATCGCTTTCTAACTAAAGCTGAATGTGAAGGATTTTGTATGGGAAAAGATATTTGTAGACTACCCTTACAGGCAGGTTCTTTTTTTCGGTTAATTTAAAACTTATGGAGTACACAATCTCCACTTAGTTTTAAAAATACCGTTTTTACGTTTTATTGCTTTTGTATTAGACTGTGTATTATGTTCACCTTCATAGGTCTTATCTACAGGGATGGATGCATTTTGGTCATCTTAATTTCCTAGTTCAACCAGCGTGTTCCAACAATCTAACCTTAATTTGGGACACCTTCGTGTGGTTAGGGGAACCATGAAGTACCTTGAATAGTTAATGAGGGTAGGAGTAAAGAGTCACAGTATGAAAGGTGTGTGCTCCACGGCCATCAATGAGACTCTAATGGACTCAGTAATCCTAAAGTGGTACTCATAAAGGCATACGAATAGTCCTACGAGGTCTATTGCAGTGAATCGATGTGTATCAATAATGGTTTGGTAGTGGGATCATGTATGCAGAAGCATTTTAGGATGTCTGTATTGCACATGCACAACCAACTGAAGAAGCCGTGGAAACGTTCTGATTCGTATAAGACGACAAAGGGCAATTGTGGTGTGAAACAACTCGCCCTCTGACGCTCAGTGTATAAGTGATTGTGGATACATCATAACAAACAAAAGGGTGAATCACATCACTACTCCCCACTAACCAGTCGACCTAGTGCCTTAAAATCAGGTTGGAATGTATCACTCAGACACTTTCTACACGCTTTTTTCTTATGTACACTTATACATTCCAGGACTCTAAGAGTAGAAATAAAGAATACGAGTTATAATTTTACAGAAATTTTATCAACCGAATTCCCAAAGTGGTAAGTCCGACGACAGTAGCAAAAATAAGTGGACGACCATTTTACAAAATAGTTCAGAGAGAAACCTATGAAATATTTCCAGTGCAGAGTGTTTTACTCAGATTGCTGATTCTGTGGAAAATTACAGAACTGAAATTAAACACTTTTCATTTCTTTTGCCCAACTAATGAATAATGCAAAACTCAATTGTTCCGTCAATGTCTTCAAAAATCATCGGATGAATGTAGAATAGTTTACAGTCTTTTTGTACATTTTGATAGAATTAATGTCTTTTTCAAAAGTTCTGTATTTTAATTTTAAAAATCTTTTATATCAATGCATCTACTAATTCTAAGCAATAATCATTCGATTCATAAAGTCAGGACTCATATAAATCCCTTTGAACGGTGACCAAGCAGTGTGACTGGTGACGAGTGCTTTAATGCACCTACTAGTTACCAAATAAACTTATATTCATTTTAATCCCGATATGCTTTAAGTGATCGTAAAGGCACAACAGAATTATTGTACATTTTTCAACCATCAAGGATAAGAGAAGATTAATCTGAGACAACATCAGTTATTCGGATGATATTAGATGGTTGGAGGCAATCGGCAGGAAGCCTTGGACCTAGATTACCTCCAACCATCTAATATCATCAAATCAATGTGCGCTGTGATGGCGGGCTACCTAGAATGGTGACCACATTGCAAACCTGACTGAGGGAATTCAGTCTGCACCGAAGAAAGGACTGGACACACTCCATTAGTTACTGGTATCCAATCAAAGCATCATTTATTCTACTGAAATCCACTTAGTCTTATAACAACTTTTATTATGTATATCTATTTATTTCTAAGTTTGTTAGGTGTTGTATCATGTGAAAAGCTGGTCAAGTCTTCTGCATGAGTGGAGATTTTTGTATTTTAGATCATATGACTAGCTGAAATCGACTAGAGAACCACTGAAGACCAAGGAGTCATTGATATATGTTTTGTCGTGCTTCTAGACTTCTCATAAGTAAGCAACCATGACCCTTGTGAATCGAACTAGGGAATTTCAGGTTACGAGGCAGGCTCATAGATTGTTTTCAGTGATTCTGTAACAGATATCAATTAGTGATGTAACTTTAAGATCCTGAAATTTTTGCAAACATTTTGTATTTAAAATCCAAGCGATCAACAAATGTTCAAGAGTTGGTTTGTGGGAATTTGATTTTTTTCTTGCTTGGTGATGGATTGATATCAGTCGGAGAATAGTTGAAAACCGATCCAATCCAGTGGCCGGTTCCTGAATTCTAACTTCTACCAATTCATGATATTAGTGCGATTGGCACCAACCAATGTCATCAGCTAGTATTTGTCCTCACTCCCGACCAGGTGGGCCCCACTTGTCACGACCGTTCCACAGAACTCCAGTTAGGATAAAACAACAACTAGTACACCCTCGTTTCCAATGGTTCTCTAATTGATATCACTCAATGATCAAACACTAAATAAAGACCTACAATCATAAAAAAATATGTTCTTCATCTTTTGTTTTAATTTAGAAAAATTCCACTGATCCAAGTTATCCAGAAAGATTTTATTATGATCAGTCAAAGAAACAATGTCTTCCATTCCGTTTCACTGGTCTATTAGCGCATGGAAATAATTTCCCATCTTTATCTATATGTAATGCCACGTGTATTTATGTACCTGACATAGAAGTGATTGCTGAGAAAAATGTGGCGAATTATAATTTAACTCTTGACAAAGCAATAGACAAAACCAGTAAAACACTTGGCAAAGAATCTCAACTGAAAGATTCAATAGTGATTGAGAAACCAACAGAAAATGATGATGGGAATAGTGTACACATAAAAACTTCAGACACTGGTATGTAAAATTTGTTGAATTTTATAAATTTACGTAAAATGTTTCCACTTGAAAAGTCACATATACTGACTGTTTGAGATTATAATATTAACTTCAAATTTTAATCATTGAGCAACTACCTTTGAAGGTCAAGATGCTAGTCACCGAAGTGACAACCACCAACTAGCGAACAGATGGTATTTTTTTGATTGGACACTAGTCAGTAAGTATTGTGATGTGTCTAGTCCTATCTTCGGTGCAGAGTGAATTCTACTATCAATCAAGCTTGCAATGCAGCCACCGTGCTAGGTGGCTTGTCATCACGCCTTGCTGATGAGTGCCGCCAACTAGCACAAAACCTAGGTCCAAGGCTTCCTGCCGATTGCCTCCAACCATCTTATACGAACAGATGGTATTCAATTTTCATTTGTTGGTTTGAAGGGATCTGATGGGTTATGGGTTTGGTCACGAGCCGACATTAATTAACAGACCACTGAAAAACCTAGAGAGCACCGGACATCTGTTTTATTCTAATTTGGGACTCTTCAGCAGTAAGCACCTGACTTTATAAATCATTCTGGTCACGATTTAACAATACAATGGAACGTAACCTACTGATGAAATAGTCCAAATGAGGCAAAATCTTGGTTTATAGAACAAAAGAAATGAAACCAGTCGTCCAGAAAGACTTCTTTAATGGTGACTGTAAAATTTGTCTGATGAACACCATAGTGGGGATAAATTTACAACTTTTTTGTTAAGACAGATGCCTTTTTACCCAATGGTAAACAGCTACCATTCTTATTTTTTTGTAGTTTACAATCATTTGTCATGAAAGCTGTTTTAGATCTGATGTGAGAAGATATTCGTGTGCGTGTGTGTGTATGTGTGCGGGCAGCTCAGTAGAGGACTTTAGAGATGAACCTTTCACTGGTTATCAATTATGAAATATTAGTGTTTTTTAAATAATATCAATTTGTAAAGTATTATCAATGCATTCACAGTTCACTAAAAATACTTAAATTATAATAGTAATAAAGATATAATAACGAATAGGATATCAAGTAAAATTAGGGAAATTCCACAAAAATTCAGGATTATTCAAACCTGGATGGTCAAGGTAATGATATCTGAACTAACTTCTTTTGGATGCGTAAATTAGGCTAGTTAATATGGATCACAACAGCCTCAGCAGTATTTAGTAGTCGAAATCTTAAGGCGAAATTGAGTTTCGTAGGTATGCCGTAGATGACTATAAAAGCTTCGCTAACATCAACCTTGTGTTCTGTATCCACAAGATGAGACAGAATAGCGCTACGAATGGATTTTGTTCGTCCTTTACTTAACCATTATGCAGGGTGATGTTCAGAAATTCGACGAGAAACACGCCTAATTGTGCGGCCTATGTAACTGGCTCCATATGCGCAGTTAAATTGGTAGGTACACATGGAAGAGGCGAAATTAGGCAGTTTGTCCTTTACTCCCGAACGCAGAAGAGGAGTGGTTTTAAAGATTCAGCTTGATTCAGCAGCAGGAAATGCTCTTTTTACCGCCTAATTTCTAAGGCGCTGTATTAGTATCTCGCAGATGTTGTCCCCAAGGAACTGCATCTGTAAGAATAAGGCGTTGGAACTTTTGGTAACTTTGGTTTCTTTGATTTTAGATTCATATTCTTATAAATAAACTTTTCAGGATAACCATTTTCATTTAGCAAACGTTTAATATTATTAAGTTCCTCATCACGACATTCGTCCGAGCAAATCGCTCTTGCTCTGTGAACCAAGCACTTTATTAGCTGAGAAAATGTGTGTACTGACCCGTTGATGTAAGTTTTCTATATACACTTCTTACGAAATATGTAAGTCGACCTTCTGAAGCAAAATTAATCCACTGAGAGGTGTTTTAACTTGCATAAACCTGCTTGTACCATTTAACTGTCGAGGCTAAATAACCATCAAACAAGCATCATTTAAAAAATGTTGATGGATGAGTACACTTAGATTGGTCGATAAACTTAATTTATGCAGAGTTGAATGATACTTTGCTCTTATAGAAACTTCACACAACCGAGATCAGACACTCATCATTCAGGAGAATACATTTTACTGAAGTGGATTGGTGCTATATACTATTTATTGGTTGATACGAGTAGTCTGAAACCACCCACTCACGTCAAACAATAGTACTTACCATCCAGAAGGAAATGATCTGAACACCGGACGAGCCTTTCACCCTATAATTTCAAACTGATTAGTATTGTACGTGGTTCAACTCAATTTAAATAGCCTAATCAGTTTAAATTATCTGAATTCTGGATAGCTATTTGGCCTATGTGGTGGTAATCTGTGGAATCAGATACGTCATCTCTGGGTATTACTTCTTGATGTGAGTGGTTCCCAATTGCTTATATCTGTCAATCAGTAATATTAGGCCCTCCCCATTACTTTGATTTAGAAAATGAAATCAAATTATCGCTTGCTACGAATAAAGCCAGCTCATTGTGGTCTGAACTTAGGGAGCTGATCTCTGAGTTCTACTGTATACCTGACAAAAACACGCACAGTCTCAAAACGTCCCAAGAACAGAGAAAAGACCATTGTCCGTCGCCGGAATCTGTAGTTCTATTCAACAATAATAGCATCGAAAACTCAGAATTACTTCAAAAGTGCCGTTAGGAAGCTATACAGTTCCGTTAATTTTCTAAGTCCAAAACAAGTACTGCAGGCCGAAATTAGTTAACGAAAATTTAAACGAAGGAAGTGCATTATAATCACTTAGAATTTTGCCAAAACGGTGGAACCAAAATTCTGTCAGCAAGAATCACACACCAACAATTCGCGATGACAGTCCGAGATCAGAATCACTTGCATTCATGCAAACAAACTCACACAGTGAAACAACACATTATCAATGTATGACGCAAACACGAAGAGTAGCATTAAAGTTAGAGATTAAAAAAGGACAAAGACAGATAATGAGGATCAAGTCAGCATATGATATATACATTTCAGAACAATGATATACAGTCTAGGAGAAAAACAGATAATGATCACAAAATTAACTGAAACATCCAAATAGGTGTAAATATTATGATTAAATCGATCACGAGGGATTTTATAAACAATCTTCCTCCTACGTCGATGTCAAATAGTATGCTTTGAACTTTTAAATTTAAAAAAAAAAAGATTTTATACATCACTGAGTTTTAGCCTCACTTTATCAAACAGTAAAATCAAGCTTTCAGGGGTCAGGAATTAAAATGTAATGAAAAATGAGAATGCATGTAAACAGTTTACATTCACAAACATATATATATATATGCGTCTGTTAGCATCCGTTTGAAAGCGATGAAGTCATATTGTGGTAAGAACTGGCTGCAAGCCGAAAGTTGTAGATAGCAATTGACGTCAATGTTTAAGTCCCGAATTGGGGTAATCAGAAAAACAATAACAAAGCTCAACATTGGGGAACTCACCAACCAATTACGGCAGACCTAATGTGTACAAATACGATTCGCAGATAAATGGTTTAACTTTCTGAGAAACGGTCACAAGCAGTGCAGAATAACCTTCAGCGAGGAAACAACCAATAATGCACATAAAAATCTATAAATACCTTTCGATTTTCTCAATAAACGATCTGTTGCCATGCCCTTGTCTTCTGTTGGTACAATATTATATTTAGAAAATAGTTAATGGAGATTAGTAAAGAGATTCATAGTTATGATGACCATCTGGTCAGTAATGGTGGAGTAATGAACAAGTCATAATCTTCATCATAACCATCTGCATGTATTTTCAAGTTACATTCTTGATATGGTAAAAGTAGCAAACAGATGTTTAATGTGTGCTGTTATTACCCACTGGAAGACTAGTTAGACCATTAAAATTTCCTAACATTTTCCTTATTTTGTACAAAACTGGATTATTATGCATATAAATCCAGTAAAAGCATTGAATATGCATAGGAAACTAGGTAAGAACTCACGCAAATAACAAAGTACCAACAATTCTGATATAATCTATCTTCACCTGTAAGTCAAATTCACAAATCAGCAATATACCCTGGTTACACTATTAATAAGCTCAGCCGAAAACGAGCCAAACGACAGTATGGTGCTTAGACTGCCTAGATTTGGCTGGAAGACACTACGGGTTGACTTTAGTGACATAGAACTACTCATATGAGACAATCAGTAATATATAGTTTGCCGCAAATATACTTGCTTTCTTCTTACCCTTTATTGTATCAAGCAGATGAGTGAGTGGTCTGAGTAATTCAGGTTTTCATAGGAAAATGGGGGGAACTAATTTTCAAACTGTGAATTTAGTTTTCGGTATCACGATGTCACACAATCAGCTGGCCAGAAATTGGGTTGTTGGAATTCATTTCGCCTTGTTAGCTAGATCAAACCAGGCACACCGCCAATGGACTCAACCTTTAAAGAGCGAAATGACCATCCAGTGATTAGGTCATTTCAATATGGCTAGTTATTACTAATTGTTGATATGAGCCGTATGCAACTACAATCATGGTAACTAATCAATAGTGTATAGTTTTATGCATATACGAATTTGAAACAACTGAATCTGGCGGATGAATACAGAGATCGTTTGTTTATTTATTTACACTGAAACAGCTATCCAGTACTCCCAGGTTTTCCAATGGTTCTCTAACTACTGTCAGCTCATGATGAAATCCTGAAACCAATCAAATCCCTACAAACCAACACTTGAATCTAAATATCAATCTTTTGTTAATTAGTGATTGTAAGGTCACTGTTTAGAAATCCAGGTCAGAGGTCGTTGCCGGAGGGCTTTGTGATTCTGGATGTGAAATGGACACCCATAAACAGTACTGATTAACTATATAGTAATATAGCAAATAGTCATAAGTTCAAATTCATAGATCATAAAATTTCACCCCACTTGTTGGGTAGTCCATGAATTCACCTCATGTCTTGAAGGTCGTGGGTCCAGTCTCCGCTAAAGAGTTCAGACTAAAGCAAAAAGATTATCCAGTGAGCTCCTTGACCTCAAAGGATTATCGAGATGATTTCGATTCATGATGAAATCCACAATGTAATTGTTCAATTGAATTTCAGATTTTCCCGTCGATTGATTGGTCCGAAGTGCCAGGTCTCAGGTTGACATGTTGGCTTCTTGTGAAGATGCTTTGACGATGTATGGGCATGTAAGAAGAGGTTAATTGGTGGATGGAAACTAGCAGTAGAATCGAGGATGCTCATTTCATCCTATCTGGGACTCGTCAGCTATGGTCACTGGGTTGGAGCCTCGGCGGGAACACCATCACTCACCGCGGAATGCAGGTACATCCAGATGATGAGTCACAAATAGGACCAAATATGCATCCTAGATTTCACTATTAGTCACTATCCACCCATTAAACACAATTTAACTCATCAAAATTCATGCAATTTATGCCTAAACGTTCAGAAAACTTTATAACTATGACAATAAATGAAAGAGTTTGGCCGTCAATCTCACACCCTCCGACTATGCTGATATATCTACGCTAAATTTTTTTCTACAAAACCTTCATCATTGAAAATCTAATATAGGTTACTTCTAATATACATTTAGCCATTGAATCAGATTTTCAAATTGAAAATACACAGTTCTCAGTAAAGCTTTATCACAGCTACTTTGGTAACTAACACACATAGACGCACTGTCGATGGAGGCAGTCCGAAACGAGTGAAACGGGTGCCGGGTGTTAACATCATTTTGATCTGATCAGTAAGGACTACTGGTGACGTAAGCGTGTTCCAGCTATTCATATCAATCTCTAGTATGTGCTATGACTGACTGACTGGTTTCAATGTAGAACTTCGCACCGATGTGCAGCACTATGAATCGCAAAACTCCATGTAGCACATAAAGCAAGAGAAGAAAGTAAAAAGAAATGCACAACAGAGATAGTAAACAGAGATATGAGACAAAAAATACTAAGATAGAGGAACAATATAGTTTTATTGGACATTATAAGTCACAAGGAGTGGATGTATTTGCACCATCCATAAAGAACGATTTTGAGCCATATCACCAATTGTCTCCAGCCTGAATTAGTTTTTACCGTCCCGAGGACCACAACCAGGAAGACTATACTTTCCTAAGTGGCTTAACTAGTTGTTATGGATTTCATTGACTGATAAAACCATGTTTTGGTTTCACCACCACTAGTCAACTCTTTTCCAACCTGACCCTATGTTAGCTATCATTGCCTGTCGGTCGAGGATGGAGATGGCTAGGAATGCGCAACACATATCATCTCAATCGATGTAACTTCACAGCTTCGTCCACCGATTTCCTCTCGTTACCTAGCACTCGACGCCTAACCTCAATATTGCTCACACTTTTATACCACTTCACACAGGAGATAGAACGCAGGCACCTGTGATCAAAGACAGCTAGTCTTTTCAAGCCTTTAACTCTCAATAGGCAGGTCTCACAGCTGTAAAGGAGGATAGAGCAGATTGTGAACAGTACATACGTCCTTTGAGTGATAGCTGGATATCACGTCTACTAAACCCGAGATGGCGTAAACTGGCACATGCTAAACAAGCCTTCTATATCCGTTCAGAGATTCCGTCAGTGATCAACCCGCTAGCGTTGGCTGATGTAATTTCTCAAATAAATGAAGTAGTCAACACACTCAGCTACGACTTCACTCTCAGTTTCTTAGCTAGGAGTCAATGTAGTCCAGTCCTGTAACATCACCTTACATGTGACGGAAACGAACTGCATCTCAAAAAACGAAGGTTACTGTTCAAGGTGTTCAGAAGACTCTGCATTTTGTCAGATTATTACCTAGAAAAACAATACCGTCTGTATATTCTAAATCAAGGAGATTATTCCCTGGTAACAGGTCATTCCCTGAGTATATGCCATGATGCAGTGTTTAATTGTCCTGAGTACACAAATACTTTATGAATTAAACTTTCAATACGACTTGAATCTTATAACCCACATATTTTGTTATGAAAATTACGAATCATTATTCTGTAACTAATTATGGAGCTGAAGCAAAGGAATGAACACGAATTTATTGTTCATTCTTGTTATCTGTATGTTGATTCCTTGGCGATGTACTTGTAAACCCAGTGTTTAGTTTGCCAACCCACGGTAGGACTAGACGATAGGCAAGATTTTTCATGAGGCTAGCAGCCCATCCCCTAGAGACAAACATGAGACTTCTAAGCCTACTACAAAAACAGTTTGGTTTGGTGAAGATATTATGAATTAAGATTTATAAGTGACGCCTTTCAAATAAAATAACTCATAAAAGTATGATCAGAAATACATTCCATGCAAATAAACACATTTTTACTTAAAACAGCTTGGTTTAACAAACTTTTTTCTTCTTTTTTATCAAATTTTAGACAATGACTCTACAAAATTTCCATGTCTACCATTTCTAACGGATAGTCAATATGACGAGATGACTAAACAGACATATTGTAATCCTGAAGATATAATTCATGAATTAGGTTATCGATTTCAAGTAACAACTAGTATAGGTGAAACAAATGAAGTTATTGATGGTATTTGTGTACCAGTATTAGTGCCTATTTGTTTAAATGAACCAAAAAGTGTCTATGGACAATTTAATGTTTTTGAAAGTCAAATGATTGGACGTGTTTTTAAAACAGAAGCACAATGTGAAGCAACTTGTCTACTTAGGAGTAGATTTAAAAGAAGTATTCAAGAGGTAGAATCGCAAAATTTACCCAGAAATGTTCATCAACTAATCGCGGATATTTTGAAAAAGAAGAAAATATTAACAGGTGAGTTACAATAATAACTTTTAAAAAAGTATTTAGACGTGCTAAAAGATACTTTTCTGAAAAAACTTTATTAGACTAATACGACAATTTGTTCATCTAATGCTTACATCATCAATCTTTGAGTATATCCACTACAGGAAGGTGTTAAATGTTCGGAAAAATCTAGTTCATGGCTTTTGCAACACACTTAAATAGTTTTAATTAATTTAATATTAGTGAAAGGGTTTCATCCTGAAGTGACATCAGTTAGCGAACCATTAGAAAACCAACAGGGAATATTAGACAGCTGTTTCGTCCCAGTTTGGGACTCTTCAGAAGCATGTACCCACCGCCAGAGTTCCAACCCAGGATCTTCTGGTTACAAGGCGAGCTAGTACACCATGAACTCTAACTTCTGCCAATTCAGGATATGGCTGAATCAACAGCGAATGTCATCTTTATGTACAAGTCATTGCAAGAAACACCTCGTCAAGAGCTTACGTCATCTAGAGAAATACTGAAAACTGGGGAGTGGTGGATATCTGTTTCGTTCCATTTTGGACTCTTCAGTAGTTTGCACTCATGACTTCACTTTAAGGTTGCCATTTCGTTATAACATTATTTTTTATTCCTTTAAGTTCCCAGTGGAATATACGGCTTCATGCTGGAGACTTGAAGTTTCAGTAGCAGTTTTTTTTAATTTTTCCGGGATGGGGTTGCCAGCCTCATGCTCAGTCTTCCCCCCTTATCAGTCTTATTACTGGCTAAGTGAGGTAAAGGAGTGTGTCGGTAGTCGGAGGGGGATCGAACTCTGAGCCATATGCTCGGCTGGCGAGCATTCTACCGCTGTGCCACCGACGCACTTTAATATTACTACATCATGGGAATTACCTTAGGTTCCAAGTGGGACATACAGCACCAGCAACACACCTCCACTTAGTCCCGTTTTATGCTGTCATCTTTAATTGGCTTCACGATTGCTCATAAGCTCTGATTCTGTTTCACATGATCTTCTCCACATCGCTCCTTGACCCACACCCAACTCGTCGTTTCTTAATCAACTTCCAGTCAAGCGACAACCTAGCATGTGGTGTCCTTCAATGGTCCTCTCATGGTGTTTCCGATTCATCTACATTTCTTTTGACATTTTTGTTGGGCAATAGGCTCTTGGTTGAGTCATCACACTACCAGAGTTTCTTATTGCCAATCTTTTCCAGCCGGTCAGGTGTTCTTCAGTATGGAGCGAAGGCAGCTTCTGATACAAGTATGAAGCAGGCTGTTCGAAATGCTTTCGGTGGACGGAATCAAGTACTTATAAAATACAAATAAATGAATGTCCGAGTGACATTTACAATTTTAACAAACTGTGTCACGGATAAGTATAATTACACATCAAAATTCAAATGTTCATAATTGTATAGGGTTTGTGCAAATGTTATTGATAATGTGACTACAATCTTACCTGTTATCCAGTACCTAGGATTGGGACAAAGAAAGGAGTCACTAATTTTCAAAATATCCAATCGATGCTTACGAGTCATTTAAGATAATTCGATTAGTAGACAAATAAATCTTCAGAAAAATGAAGATTTAGTAAATTATTTCAAGTTTTTATTTTAAAAATGTCATTCTTTATTCTCCTTTTCCAGTCTTTATGGACGTAATACCTATTGATTATGAAAAATGTGACCTTGGCATTAGAAAGTGAAACAGTTTATAAAATTATAAACAATTTTGCATGATTCAGACTAAAGTTGACTGCTTTTGTTTGTTTACTCATCTATTTCTGCATGTTTATTCTTTCTAAAGAGAGTGGATCATAGAGAGATGGGTAGAGAAGGAGAGAGAGGGCGAGAAAAGTGAAATTCTATTTGGAAAGTTATTCCAAATAATTTTGTTTATACCCAAGACTAGGTGTATATGTGTGCATGTGTCATGGAGAATTGTCGACTGAATAGATGATAAATTTAGTGACTAATTCATATTGATGTTATTGATAAATGCAAGCGGCCGCTTAATTCATGAATAGTTTCCGGTTTTAGGCTTACTAGTGGTTTTAATCAAATCGTAGTAAATAGAATTCCTCTGATTTGATGATATTAGGTGGTTGGAGGCGGTTGGCAGATAGCCTCGCCTGACCTAGGTTTCGTGTTAGTTGGCACTCACCAGTCAGCAAGGCGTATCTGAAACCCTGAAGGAACTCATGTCCCTTCTGGGATTCGGACTCGCATCACCCAGTGCTGCAGTCAGAGACGTTACCAGTTAGCTATTCGGGCTCTCGATTGACCTCCTGTGGGACTGTATTGGATACTTTAATTGGACAGCAGTTACTAGTGTCCAATCAAAATATAGAATTCCTCTGAATGTCAGACTAATGATTTTAGTTTCAGGCCTGATCAAGACTTGTGTAGATTAATGTCAACGACAAATTTGTAGGGAATAAGTCGAATATTACTTTTCTTGGTATTAGTTTCCCTCTTAACCATGGTTGCTCATCTCATACCTTGTTAATTCCTGAAAGATCTTTCTCCTAACTTACTACATAAGGAATTTGGGACTTTCTCCTTACAATTTATTAATTCATGTACTCCGTCCATTCTTTTTTTTATTGTTCCCTCTTATACTTCCTTTGGCTTCTCAAAAAAGACTATGCCGTATTACCTAGGACACTGAAGTTTCTAAGCAGAATTAGTGGTGTATCTTTGACTCAGTTAAGTGAAATTGTTGTTGATAAGCATTTTAACTCCTGTAAGCAAGTAGCTAAAGTCACTTTTTCGGATACGGAACATGCATTCACTTTGGCTTTGTAATGCCCCTGACAGAAAGCTCCCCAAAGAGTTTGAATTGAAGACTGAACTAAAGTAAATCTTTCTGCTATTACCCATGCTCTTTCTGATCAAAGCTGATTGTGTTATGTTGCAGACCATAGGTAGTAAGAAAGTGGGCATACATTAGATAAGTGGAGACCCAGAAGAACCGAATTTTGAGGGTGATTTGTGCCTTATTTATCTCAGAATTGAAGATGGCATAAGCCAAATCGCACATGAGATCAGATGAATATCGACAAGACAAAGGTGACGATGAAACCTTACCATTAAACAGAGCTGGATAGCTTATTATCTGAAATTCGCACGGAGATCCACGGTATACAACAAAAGAAACAAAATCTGACTTTTTAACACTAAGAAGAAGTCATTCATCGCTTCTATATGGTTCAAATAGTTAACTTCCAAAAGAACTATCACAATACCATACAAAAAATGGTACACAAGAGGCAATCGAAGAAACCTCAAAAATATTGGGATTCACACCACGTTTCAGCCGACGAATCTAATTAAAAATAAGACAAATCAACTGAAAGATTCCATAAAAATGATGGATGAAAACAATATAATTTATAAAATGTCTTGTGCTGACTGTCCGACTAAATATGTGGGTCAAACGTCCAGATTATTCAAAATAAGAGTGAATGAACATAAACGCCTAACCAAAGGTCAACCAACAGGAACACAAGCTTACAACAGTTTCGAAAAATATTCGTCTATAGTTGCACATGCATGGGATAAATTTCAAAATGTCGATTGGGACAGTGTTTGTATTCTGAAAACTAATATGAATAAATTGAAAGAGAGACTTATAACAGAATCTATATTCATTAAGATCACACCGAATACATGTAACAAGAGTGACTGAGTGCAACTGTCAACAACCTGGAATGTAATTCTGAATACACAAAAATGTATGAACAAAAAAGAACTATATATATATGAGTACAATTCATAAATGTATGAATTAAAAACAAAACAATTTCAACAGTAGGTGTGTTCGCGGGCAGTAGTTTAGCTGGAAATATTACCAAAAACCAAAAACTTATGATTGTGGGTAAACCACTGAAATATAATTATACTTTATTTGATCTATACCACAATGCTCAAACTTTTTACTGATATTAATTGACTTGCTTAATTCAAAATAACATTTCTGAAAGCCTTTTGAAGAGTTTTAGCGACAACTGCCTCTGACTAGATGACAAACAGAAGCTGAAGAATTAGAAAAAATAAGCGCGTGCACCACTACCAGCGAACAAGCCAAGAACTTGTCACCCAACGAGTATGCCGAAAACAATATAGATGAATTTCACATATGCTATGAAGAGACATTCTAGTAACGTTACACATCAGTCATGGCCTTAAGTGGAAGCTGATTGGAAAGCGACGGGTTGAGCATAAGTCCATAGGTGACAAGGAGGAGATTATGTGAAAAGAAAATGAAAGCTTGTGGGCGATAGTAGAGCTGGTTAAATGTGATGTCAGAGACCTGAATAATATGGAGGTGTACCAATATATAATAGCAAAAGGCAAGATACAGATGCCAAGGTTTATTTTCAAGTGATCAAAACCCTATTTATATCTATACATTTTTATGCTCTTTAACCAATTACTGAGCGTGTGATTTTGGTTTAAACTAAACAACATGAAATAGAATGTTCAAATAAACATAGTATTATGTTGCTAATACCGTATTGAACTGTGAAGATATATGAGAATAATATTCTGTTGGAACACACTGTCTGTATTACACCATCATACAACTAAAGCCCGATATCCCACTGGGAAATCATGGAGCGCATAATAATTAGAATAAATAATACCTACCATGATTACTAATAATATTATTGACTAAGTAACTTATGGTGCGTTGGTTGCACAGTGGTAGAATGCTCGCCGACCAAGCATATAATCCGGGGTTCGATCCCCGGCCGACGCATTCCTTTACCTCGCTAAGCCAGTCGTAAAAAAAGCTGGTAAAGAGTAAAGCTTGGGCATGAGACTAGAAACCTTATCCTATAAAAATAAACACTGCTAGCGAGACTTCAAGCCTCTAGCTTGAAGCCCTATGTTCCACTGGAAACGTGAAGAAATATATATATATATATAAGTAACTTATGAATAAATCTAGGAAGCATCATATCAGCCGCAGACACACCGAACGGATGAAGTCAGAGTCGGAAAGGCAAGATACACCTTCATCAACCTGGAACCAGTTTGGAATTCGTCTACACTCCGCCTCATCATAAAGAACAAGATTTGGAATTTCAACACAAGTATGAAGTCAGTTTCTATACGGGTCGGAAAGTTGACCATCTCACTCAATTCAGGACATCGCTTGAGTGGAACCTCAAATGGAAGCGATGAAGGACTCGTCAGTGCGAGGGTTACATGAAAGAATTCGTGTGAGGAAGAGATGAGAGATTGTGGACAATCGTGGACCCAGCTGAAGAGGATGGCAGAAAATAGAACAGAGTGGAGATCTGTTGTTGAAGTTGTATGTTCCACTTGAAACCCAAAGGAATGCTAATAATAGTAATAAATAATACATGTGCCGTTTTATTTTATTTTTTTCCTTGATAATTAATGTTGAATTAAAAGAAAAAGTATATTTTTAATTTTAGTGTACTTCATTATCGTAAAAGTAAAAGCATTTACATGGCACATGGTATGTAGTAGTTTTTTAATTGATGCTATAAATAGAAAGTATACTGGAAAGGAAAATCAAAATCAACTGGAATTTCTTTTTATTATTGCACATATTTTGTATTCATATATTCATTCAAAGGGAAATGGGTATACTATTCGAGTGTGTATATACGTGTGTGTGTGTGTGTGTGTTGTAAATTGCATTGGAATAGTTAAAGCGAAAATTGTTGGTTTTCAGCATTCCACTACTTTTAAACGCCCACTTGGTACTGAAAAAACAATATGTAAATGGTATGAATTAAGGCATCAGAAAAATAACTTGGCTGAATATATCTTGAATATTCCTCAGTTTCATTGTAAAATTTTGATCTATGGTATGTTGAATATAGTGTATCTCAAGTCTTTATCAACCTCATTCAACAGCTGGCTATATGATAGCTTGCAATTGTGTGTTGATAGACGTTAGAATTCTCTGACTATTGTGTTGTAACCCAGTGAATGAATAGTAATCTACTACCCTTTTAAGCTGGGGGAATCATCAGTGAGTATTGTTGAAAAGTTGTAAATTAAGACAAAAATATTTACAACCTAGTCCTTTGATTAACTTCAGGTCGTCATGATATCTACCTGAAAAGAGTTTTGAATTTGCTCTAAATTAATGCTAAGGTTGTTTTATTTCTTTTCAAGGCCTTTTTAACGCCACGACTGATTCATCTTTGAAATATGAATCAAAGATTCTCGAACAGTAAGTTATATTGGAGAAATGATGTTCTTTCGCTAATTTTCAACATTAATATTCTTATTGCTCTATTATATTTTGTGGATTGTAGATTGTTTCTTTTATTTTATTTTAACTGCTCCTGTGGAGCCAGTTAGTTACAGAGGCCGTACAATTAGGCGTGTTCCTCGTCAGATTTCCGAACATTACCCTGCATAATGGTCAAGTAAAGGACAAACAAAATCTATTCATAGCTTTATCCTATCTCATATTGTGAATACAGAATACAAGATTGATGTTAGCGAAGCTTTTATAGTCATCTATGGCATACCAACTAATCTTCGTCAACTACATTATATTTCTGACCCTGTTGGGATCCACATTAAGAAACCTAATGTATGTGTTAAAAATAAGCCAGTTCAGACATTGTCCTTACTCCCCTGGTCATCTAGGTTCGAATGATCCTCAGTTTGTTGTGGAAATTCCTTTAATTTTATTTGATATTCTATTCGCTATTACATTTTCATGCTTTTTATAATTTATGCATCTTTAGTGAACTGTAATTCCATTGATTTTACTAAGCAAATCGATATTATTTAAAAAACACTAATATTGATATTGACTACTAATCTAGAATATTCTATGTATATAAACATATATATAATTGTAGAGTTAGAGAAGAAGGAAATTATCAAAAAGGATATTCTTTGCACACTTATTTTATTTTATTATAAAAAATCATGTGAACATACTAGAGGTAGGACTCTAAAGGTGGAATTCTGAGATTAAAAGATAAGGTCAACAACCTCAGTAAAAAGATATGTATGTATATATATTATGGTAGCCACATAAATAGATAAAGTGTATAAATTAAAGCAATCGGACGTCTCACTCGAGCTACAGTACAACCACACATTCAGGCATAATTTTGACCTTCTTTAAGAATGTTATCTGTTGTCCGTGGTAGAATGGCGCATTTGAACAGGCGTAAATCATAAAAGGTAATAAAAATGGGATGTAACATTGCAGTTCGTATATTCCTACTTCAAAGAATTTTGATTTTCACTGGCTGTGATCATCACCAATCACATCTGAGAAATCTTCACTCTCCGGAAAGAGTGGGTGACAAATCTTAGCACTCATTGTCAGTATTTGATTCTGCATAAAACATTTTATAAGTAATTGCTCTCAAAGAGAGTTTTATTTATTTTTACGAGTTTGACCGTGGAGTAATATAAATCACAGAACCATTGAAAACCAGCTGGGAGTACTGGACGGCTGTTGCATTCTAGTTTCGGAATCAATGGCAGTACGCACCCACTGCCAGGGTTCGAACTGAGGACCTTCCGGTCACAAGTCAAGCTAGTCACTGGGACCTGATTCAATGGCCAGCACATGAACTCTAACTTCTACCAATTCGTGATTTAGCACGACCATCAACCGATGTCATAAGTTGTGCCGAATGATATACAAACTAGCTTGACTTGTAACCGAAATGTCCTGGGTTCGAACTCAGGTGGCGGGTGCGTACTGTCAATGATTCTCAAACTAGGATGAAACAGCTGTCCATAACTCTTAGCTGGTTTCTAATGGTTCTCTAGGTGTTATCAATTCACGGCCAACCTCGTAAAAACAAATCTAGTCTTTACAAACCAACTCTTGAGGGTTTTATTTCTCAATCCTTTGCCCTAGTCTGAAATGTCATCAGAGAATGTCTTTTTCAAATCTTCCTGCGAATACGCTTATACCTAAAGCTTGTTTGAGTCTAATTAGATGAAAACTAAAGTGATGATGTCTTTTGCATGTTTTTATCCCTTCAGACATACTTCCTTCTGCTCAGTTATCCAATTTTTAGATGACGTAATGCAAATCCCTGATTTTCCTCTACTTCAGATATTATAAACACACAAAGTTAAAAAGAATTAAGTTACACAATAATCTTTATTCATAAGGTATGTTCATATCCACTGAAAGTGAAAATCTAAAACTTTTCATGAGATCTACGCTAGCCAGACTCGCGTTTTAGGGTTTTTACTTATTTCAAGGAAGTCCACCAACCTCTTGAGTCATTAATTTAGATAACTATTAGGTCAATTTCTCTTGTGTGAAGTAATTGGATAGGGTAAGGTTAAAGGTAATTTATTCTTCCCGAACCTCAGTATTCATTCGTAATTATTTTGTCAACATATTAGTTGACTCTGTCAGCTTACATTTCTGGAAGATCTATGTCCACTGTTTCCTGCTATTTCGAATATTGGAAGCTATCTAACAATAATTGAGTGGCGATTAATATAGTGAGTTGATTAACATCTGGGGTAACAGAATTAGTATTGGTTCAATCATGTATATATGCGAAGAGTTCATTGCTGCTTTCATACATTATCAAGATGAATTTCACGTAATAAATCTAATTTTTAATGTTTCTTCATGAACTGTTTACATTTCTCTGCAGTCACGATGGAATGTTTCAAGCTTATACAGTTTCATTGAACCAGTCAAATATGATGAAAAAGCCTTTAATGATAGAAAAAATGGAAAATGAACAAGTCAATCTGCCCTGTCGGATTTTATCTCTCAACAAGCCTACAGTTCAATGGACACACCTATTATCAAGGAAAAGGTTAATTCTCCATATTTTATTTTATTGGTATAAAATCCTCCTGGAAGCCACTCAAAATCTAGACTAATAAAATCTTATGAACTAAAACACAGATTAGATAATTTAAAATTAGATAATGAAGAGAAAATGGTTAGTTTTGACATTGTCAGTTTTTTTTATACACGTATACCAACGAACTCATTTCTGACCAGGAACTCGAACTTAGGACAAAAGTGCCACTTGAGGACATAATACTAGGAGTGCAGCTATGCCTGGCTTTCACAGTATATAAATTCCAGGGGAAAATATACAAACAAACTGAGGGAGTTGCCATGAGGTCTCCAATATACCCAACTGTGGTTGATATATTCATGGATAGGTGGGAAAACATAGTGACTGAAACGTTCCGCCTCACCCCAAAAGTATGGTGGAGGTATTTAGATGATACATTCACTGTACTTAAAGCACAGGATATAGATAGATTTTTCGAGCACAGCAACTCGAAGGTAGAGGCAATTCAATTCACTTATGGGTTGGAAAGTCAGGAAGGGGAACTTCATATGTTATATTGTAGCGTAAAAAGGAAAGAAGATGGGAAGTTAAAGACTAGTGTTTACAGGAAATCCACAAATTCAAACAGATATTTGGACTTCCAATCATCCCATCCTATGTCAGTGAAAAAAAGATTGGTGAAATGTTTAAGTAATAGAGCACAAAAACTAAGTAATACGAAGGAAAATCTAAGACAGGAAGTGAGGCATATAAGAGAAGCTTTTAAACTTAATAATTACCCTGATAAATTAGTTAGAAAGTATGCAAGGGAATGTAAAAATAAAATGAATAATGGTAGTAGTGATAGTGATGATAATCATAATGGTAATATTAATGACGACATGCAAGTCAAATGTGGAATCTAAATCACCAGTAGGAATTCCACACAAGGAAGGAACTTCGGAAGCCTTACGCAGAATTCTTAACAAGGCAGGAATAAAAGTGGCTGGCATTCAAACCAGCTTTGTGGGATAAAAGATCCTGCCATTGGAGCCAATAAAACAAAACAATTTAGTTTATCTAATAACCTGCCTGCAATGATTGTCAGGTCAAATACATAGGTCAAACTAGTAGAACAGGGGCAGCCAGACTAGCCGAACCTAGCAAAATCTAGATTGGTTGACCCGAATAAGATAAGAAATCTAGAGAATAGTTCAGCTATACCACTCACTACATGCAGTTACACACAAGCATACAGTAGGATGGGATATGATCACAGGGGTGAGGGGAGAGATTGATAAGACAGGCTTTGTTTATCGAATCAACTGCAAATGCGCGTAATAGGAATGATTTAACGCCTGTCCCCGATATCTGAAAAATTCTACTACCCCTACGACAAATAGGAGAAGACAAAGAAAACTATAAAACTCAAGTTTAGAAGTCGTGTGATTATAACTGATATGATTATGAACAATAAATTTTGTTCGAAACGTTGTCATCAAGTAAATAGTATTGTTTCGTCGTGTGATACCTCTAACAAACAAATGTGGAATTACTTACTATCACAGTGCCCAAGTTTTACGCATATATTAATATGAGAAAACTCTGCTTTTTAGACCTGAAGAGAATACCTGTGTCAATATTCTTTATAAAAACATTGCATATTCTGTATAATCAATGCTGTAACGGTAGATCATAGTTGTGTTCGGTAGCAAATTAATCCTTAGCTCCAAGATTTGGTAGTAGTAAACGACACAAAGATACTACTTATAAATGCTTATGAGTAGTGAACACCACACTAGTTTATGTATAGGTGATTGCGAGATTTATACAATTCAGGCTTAAAACAGGTCATAATATTGATGTGAAAATGTGTGCTTATCAATTATACCAAGAAAAGATGAATCAGTAGTCCGTCAATGAAGTCCTGATGAATGCCTGTGTTCATTATTAAAACGTTTAGTTAAATAAATACTATTTTAAAATTTAGCGGAAATCTGAAGCTCTTTTTTGATGTAGTTGTATTCGCTGAGCTGGATGGTTTTTTTTGCGAAGCTTTCATTGCCCTACTAGGCATCATCTTCAGCGCATACCTGAATTTGTTGAAGTGAGCTTTTAGATGTCTACACGAGTTTATTAGTCATCTCTCCTAGTGGGTGACTTTGGACGTTATTGGTTTTTTTTTTCATACCCTCTAGGCCATTTGTATTCGTAATGATTGTTTCCTTGACCTGAAGTTTGACCCTTTGTGTGTGTGAGATTTCCTTCTGATCGATTGGTAAATTTTGCCTTTCTCAATGTGTCCATTGACTGACGATTCACTGAAATACTAATCCGGCTTCTAAAATTCTCTAGCATTCTTGGTGTTTTTTCCATCTAATATTTGAACGCCGGTTGTCCCAGTCGAACTGATGTCTGTGGTTGTCTGTAGGAAGCCATATGAGAGAATGGATATCATGCCTGTTGACGGTTTGTTTATGATCGTGGATGCGAAGACGAAGGCGACGTCCACCTTGGCCAATATAGTATTTTTCACGCTTGTTACAAAGTATGTGCTAAAGATGTTGCCTAGTAGGGTAATGCAAGCTTCGTAGATAAACCATCCAGCTCATAGAACACAACTACATCAAAATCATCCACCCAAGCTACAAATCTTCTCCATCATATCTAAATCTGATGCTCTAAAATCCAAGTGCTTTATGCTTTTATTCTATTTTTTAGGTATTCAGTTGAAGTTCACCAGCATCCATCACATGAAAATATTTGGATTTCTGATCTATTTCTTACAGCTGTTAAAGCAAATTTGCATACAGGAGGTTGGATTTGTGAAGCATTCCATCCAGAAACTGAAGAATACACTCACTCTCAACTTATTCTACATGTAATTTCTACTCAGAAAGGTGAAAACTTGCTATCGACTGCTATGCCTCAAACGACATTAAATATTCCAGAAAATGGTTTGATTCTGCTTCGTTGTCCGTCAGCACCGTATTCGAACCACGTCATGTGGAAAAAAGCAGAGTGAGTATTTAGTAATAAGTGTGTTCTTTAGGAAATTGATTCGATTCTCGCTAGGATGGCAAACACTTCAACCCATTCTTCTGATGATCAGAAATCTTGCTAAACTGCTGTGTTCTGTTAACTTAACTGACCCCAATTCACTAGCTTAACCAATAAAATTGACCTGACAATCATTATATGGTATTTGCGAAATTACAATATTTTACCTAATTCGGTCTATCAGATTCTAAAGCAGACAAACTTTCTATCTGATAGACTTGGTTGGTTTAAATGCCACCCTAAGCAGCACCTTCCGTATATAACTTTTGGTGGGGCTTTAAACTCCTTTTAACTGATAAAATGACCATGTAATGACTGTGATGTCAATTACATAGGTCGCATATGGTAGATCAGGGTCAAATAGATTATCAGAACACAGAGATTTAGCCAGATTTAGAATAATTGACTCTGTTAAATGATGTGGGTAAACCTCAAGACTATTACAATGAAAAATATTAGAAGAGATAGTCGATAAGTAATGTAATTAAGTGGGAGGAAGTCAATCACTAAATCTTTGTTCCAGGATTCCGTCATGAACTGACATCGATTATAGGACCATTGAAAACCTAATAGTACTGGACAGCTGTTTCGTCCTAGTTTGGGATTCTTCACAGTACGCACCCAATGAGGTTCGAACCTACCTTCTAGTGAGAATTTGTGACCAGAGGGGTACATCAGGTAGAATGTCAGGTGAAATACTCACTACCGATGATATTCGCTAGTTGTCTAGCCATATAATGAATTGGCAGAAGTTGGAATCCATAAACCATTAAATCGGGTCGAAGGGGTTTAATGGTCTAGTAGGTCACCTTGTAACCAAAAGGTCTTGAATCTGAATCGTGTCGTTGGACGCGTGCTGATGAAGAGTCCCATACTAGGACAAAACAGGTGTCCAGTACTCCCAGCTGGTTTTCCAGTGGTCCTCTATCCGATGTCAGTTATTGATTAAATCCTGCAACCAATCAAACGTTTCTTTACATGAATCTTCCACTCGCTAACTTTAAGTGATATAAAACGCAGATGGTCAGAAAGTATAAGTAACAACTTTGGTGACAAGTCAACCAAGAGCCTATTACCCAAGAAACGTGTAAAAGAGTGGAACTCGAGTGAAAAACGATGAATTCGATGGAAGCTTATCGGCGATTGTAGGGCCAGCTGAAATGTGATATCAGAGAACAGTGTGCAATGGAAATATCCTGCTGAAGCCCTCTACCCTACTCAGAACCTGAGGGACAAATAGTCATAATAATAGCATTCAGTGCATTTACCAATTAAGCGGTGATAAGCTGAGATATTATGATCCTCAATTCGATGTGTAATAAAGTTCATGATAGTAGGACTGCTTTTTTGGCTTGAAATTGTGCCTCTAATTAACATTGTTGAAAAATATGACGATTAATAAAGTTTCTTTGTCAAGTGCAGAATTCACTTCTATCAGTTATGCAACTTTCTGAAGATGCTGGATAAAGAAGCAATGCATTAACAGCTTTTCCTGTCTATATGTGTATATTCATATGTTCAAGAAAAATATTAAAACCACCGAAGAAAAATGAAAGTCCATTATGCTGAGATGACTTTTTGTCATGTCTTTGCGTTCTGTGTAAAATATACGGCTTTAGGGACTAAGCTTCAAGTAGGTTGGCGAGGCATCGAACCCGGATGACTTGAGTAGCTGGTCAGTATTCTATGCCAGAACAATTGCTGAACTCTCTTAGAACACCTTAAAATAATGTCTGCAGTATAAATTCCGTAGTAAGAGAAAGGTGCAAGAGGTAAGACCATATTTATTATAAATAGTTCAGTGGTACACTGGAAATTCTGCCAGGGAGAATCAGTTCCTGTGTTTACAGTGTGACGTAGGGCTTCAAGTCTTCTTGACATCTACGTACAGATAGTGTTATTTCTATGTGGTGTGGTTCCTAGCCTCACTCCCAACCTACCATCTTTTCCGGGCTTGTCACCTGTTAGCAAACCACGTAAGGTGTCTGACCACATCAGTTGGATATCGAACAGGGATCTGTTGTATGGCTTGTGAGCATCCCACCCTGGGACTACTGGTATACAGATAAAAAAATCTCAAAGTATTAACCTGATCAGTGAAAATAAACAGTCTGAATGATTGTTTTTGTCACTCAAGTATCTTATTGTAAAAACATTGTTTTGTAACCTTTCGAATTTCTTTTAACATTAAGCATTTCAAACAGTGACCGTCAAGTCAACAAATATATCACTCAAGCCAGCTCTGAATATCTAATAATTGAAAATGCAAATAGTAAACTGCATTCAGGACTATGGATCTGTGGAATTCAAAATAATGATAAATTTATTGAACTGTACGAATTCAATTTGATTATTGGTTATCCACCAGAACTACTGAAAGGAGAATTTAATGCACTTGGCTCAGCATCACAGCATTCACTGACTTGTTCACCAGTCAGTGAAGGCTTACCTAAAGGATCTGTTGAATGGTTTCAATGTGAGCGTATGAACAAATGTAATTCTACTGAAAGTCAGACAATCACACTAGACTCTTCTATGCCACTGAATGGAACAACATTTTTCATATGTCGTATTGAAAATATGTGGGGAAGAGATGAAAGTTATTTCAGATTTAATGTGTGAATTTATAATGTTCATATACATATATTGTTTGTAGTATATATACATATATATACTAAACGTCATGTCCAGTTTGCAAAAATTCATTCATATATGTTATATGATTCAGTTTACCTACTTTATGAAATAAATTAGACCACATTTCTTCTTGTCTTATGCATGTGTCTACACCCTTTATCTTATTCCTCCATCTGCAATATGCATAGAGAGATGTCCATTTCAAGTGACCGTGTTAGTTAATTAGTTTTAGGAAATAATGTATTGTTGATTTTGTTTAAAACAAGTCATGTTTCATTTCATTTTTTATTACAACATACTCCATTTGTGTTGTATTATTTGACAGATTCAAAATATACAGTAGATTATGCCATTGTGGTATGTACTACTTATAAATGCGTAGATATAAGTAGCATACTTTGAAATCAATGTAAGGTTTATGTGATTTCATTACTGTTCATTGTATTTTCATCTAATAAATATTAAACTTTTTGCTTTCAAGTCTTATTTACTTTGCTGATTACTCTGGCTAACTTGTTGATGATAAACAGTCTGTCGAAATGATTTGAACAATCACTGAAGTCGATTATACTTTAGCAGGGATTTGGTTGATATTAAGTGCAGATTTCCTAAATGAAAACCATAAAGCATTGAACAGATCTCTTGGTCAAGTTATAGAATCTTCAGCAGTCGTTACGTCTCCACATGACGAGCCTAGCACTTTGAAAATTTAGCTATGGGTATGGATTTAAATGACACTTGAATTCCAACTTCTGTCAATCTTCTAATGCCAACCAATGCCATCGATAAGAAAAACGCCTTACTCTGGGATGGCGAACTTCGCTGGACCCCAGTTCTCACTAGGACTTCAGAATATTCATCTAGTAATCACTAATAAGGTGGAGACTGGTATTCAGATCATGCATTTTGTAGGGAAAATCACCATCAATGGGAGGTTACTTCACTCACTTATTTGGCCAGGAAGCACGGTTTCAACCACAGACGGCGGAACTGATGAAGACGTCAAAACAGGCCAGAATTGGAAAAGCATTATACTCCCTCACCAACATGAAACCAGTTTGAAAATCTTCTACACTCCTAATTAAGAACAAGATTCTCATTTTAAACACCAATGTCAAGTCGATCCTTCTAAATGGGTCAGAAACTTGGCGTGTAACGAAAAAGATTTCCAACAGCCATTTGCAGACTTTTATCAACAGTTGCTCACTTCGCTGGTTCCATACTGAAAATCAAATGACCGCCGACCAGAAGGAATTAAAACACAAGAAACCCCGGCTAGGAAGAAACCAACAGGCAAGAGCCGATTGCTCAACAAATATGTAGGCGAAAGTGGAGGTGGACCGGGCATACATTGAAGAAGGAGGCCGTCGAATGACATCGCGCACAATGCAGGCCGTTACTCAAGTGGAATCCAAATAGGGAGAGACGAGTGGTTTGTCATTACAAGGTTGGCATGGACAAGGTCGTTTGGGGAGGAGGAGATGAGAGAGTGTGGGCAGTCGTGAACCCAGCAGAACAGGACAACAGAAAACAGAGCAAAGTGGAGATGTGTTGTGGAAGCCGTCTGTTCTACTCGAAACCCAAAGAAACCATAATTGACTTTCATTATTGAAATGATAAGCATTTGAAAAGATTAAATAAATCTATCTTATCTTGTTCTATAAGATGTTAGTGGTCAACCATAGTTTGCATACATAATAATGAAACCATAATCAAGAAATACAAGGCTGGTATTGTTAAGGAATGCAGTTTAAGATTTGTGGAGTATATTCCTACTGGGAAATCACCTTATTCTAGGTTGTAACTCTTACCCTTAACCCTAAGTAATATACTGTAATTCTACATTCTAAACCTCCAATGTGAAGTCAGTGCTACTATACGGATCAGAGACTTGGCGAGTCATAAAGAGCATCTCAAACAAACTTCAAACCTTCATTAACAACTGTCTCCGCTCAATACTCAAGATCAGATGGCCAGAAAAGATCAGCAACAGGGAGCTCTGGGAGCGAACCAATCAGGAACCGATTGTGAAACAAATAGGCAGAAAGAAATGGATTGGCCATAAGCTGAGGAAACCATCAAGTGACATCACTAGACAAGCCCTCGAGTGGAACCTGAAAGGGAGGCGGCGAGTTGGTCGTCCAAGGGTGACTTGGAGGAGGTCATGCGAGGAGGAGATGAAAGCATGTGGACAGACCTGGAGCAGGGTGAAAAAGTTGTCAGAAAACCGAAGTCAATGGAGGTGCTCAGCTGAAGCCCTATGTTCCTCTAGGAACTAAAGGATACAATACAATAATAATAATACATTCTAAACCTAAATGGACAACAATCATTTGACCGAATATCGACACTCCTATGAGAAATTGAAAGTTATAACTGCAGCATTTCACCTTAGAGAGCTTGCTTAGTATCAGTACACTCCTCTAAACACTTCTCTCTTGACAGTACAACAGTAACACTTTAATTAGCTTGTTTCATTTTGATTGACCAGTCGTTTGTTAGAGCCTATCAATATCCTTACCTTCTATTTTCAACTATGAAAACAGTGAAAATGGTTCACTATGTATACACACAATTCGTGTGTATTAAAAACGAAATCATTTTATTTTCAAACAGAGGTATTGGAATACTAATGTCAACGTTAAGTTTTTTAAGTTCGTCACATATAAAATCCACTAACCCTAGAGACGATAAATGAATGAATAAGGAGTATTCATTAAATGATACCATTCAGTGCCTTTGTATTCTCAACAAATTGAAAACCATTCATCACACTGTGCTTTAACAATTCACTATTCAACAGCTGCAGATGTCTAATCAAACACTGATGATCAGTTATGTAACCTCCGGAGAATTTATCGTTAAATACAAATTCTTCATTCGCAAATTATATAATTCGAGGTGAAACATCACAGCCGAAAGTGTTCAGATGGAAATATATTGTCTATTTAGTGTCATAAATGCTACTCCTCAAATCAAATGAAATACTTTGAAATTACCTAGTACCGATTGGTTGATATGAACCTCAAACAGTAGTTCCTGTTAACCAGATCGACGTGATCTAACATCCAGTATACCTGCTTCCAATGAACTCATACTGCCGAATCAATTCAGATCACTCAAATGTCATCTATTAGTTCCCAAAAGTAGCTGGGCGGAATTCAGTTGACGTGGACCTAAACAGCCACCTGAGAGGATTGGAACCGGTTACACTGCTGATTAGGTTGCTCTAGGAAGAATGAAATCATCGTCCGATATTTAGATCACTTCAGTCTAACTGGCAAACACTACCGTTTGGTATGAGTCATTTTGATGTTGCAATATGCTGCGTTTCACAGTATCATTTATGTAATAATGATTGCTGGCGATAATCAACTTCGGAATGTGTATTTCAAGCTAGCTTATAATGTATTGGCGTGGTTGTGTTATCCAAGCTGGATGGTTTAGTTGAGAAACCTGAACTATCTTTCTAGACAACATCTTCAACGCATACTTCAGTTTAAAATGAACTTTTAGAATTCTTCTACGATTTTATCAGCTATCTTTCTTGGTAAACTATAACATGACTCCGTGTTTCTCGGTATTTGCTCACCATCTTGTCTGCTTGCATTACTACTGAGTGCTTTGTTGTCTTAAAAGTTTTTCTTTTGCCCAAAATATCAGAGGGAATGAAATGCTCATCGATAAAATTAGTTGGTAACAGTACGAAACGACAAAATGAGTTACTGAATTCCTCGTGATTTGAAGGCTTCGGTTGAACCTCTTTAAAGTCATAGGTGCACACTTTTGGAGATCCCCAAAATGAAGTGGAATATCTGTACAGCACTCCTGTATTATCAGTGATTTTCCAACTGATGTTGGTTCCTCAGGAATCCTGGTGAGAAGTGAGAAATCGTGACCATTGGGGTACAGCAGGTCGGGTCTGAGGACAAATACTGGCCACCGATGACATTCGCTAATGGTCGCACCATATCTTGAATTGGTAGAAGTTGGAATTCATGGGCCATTGGTCCAGGTATCAGTGGCTTAGTGGTCTATGAGCTCAGCCTGACGGCTGAGTACTAATAAAGAGTCCCAGACCAGGACGATGTAGCTATTCAATACTCTTAGATATTTTTCCAATGGTTCTGTAACCGATGTCAGTTCATGATGAAATCCTGCAACCAATCAAGTCAAACCCCTGGAAACCAACATTTGAAAAACAATTCTGCTTTTTATATTCATGACATTTTATTCTTCGTTCTTTTTGGTTTCATGAATGAGAAGAGTTTTTTTCAAGATAAATTGTTTAAATAATCCATAAAACAGAATAAATTGAACACATTAAATAAGCATTTTGTTGTTTAAAAAGATGCTTCAAAGTCATTATCATCATCAAAATATGCTGAGTTATTCACAAAAAGATTTTTCCCCCATAAACTCATAACTGACAGTCATTCTAATGTTGTCGTTAGCCATATAACCATTCAACAGATGTTTAGCAAATGTCATCCACATGCTGATCGATAAACTGTGAAAAATAATAATAATAATATTTCGGCAAAATAAAGCAGATAAATGTTCACAAAATATGTGTGTAAAACTCAATATGATTGAGTTCTCAGTTAACTAACTATAATATTATGAGATTAATATATTAATATAATCCGGTATATCAATTCGTTCAAATAACAAGCATTTAAAATAAGTTACATATGTCAATATTCAATTTTCAATCGTTGGCCTTGAAGTAGCGCGCGCGTTTATTTAAATAAAAGTGGAGATTTGAATAAGTACGAGACAAAGAAGTAAGAAGAGAAGAGAAGGGGAAAAACATAAATATAGACAAATAATTGTGATTTCATAGTTTCCGCGTGAAATGTTTCATTTCATATGTAGAATGAAAGAATGAATCATTCACATTCCAGGATTTTATGATTTTTAATTTTTGAGTAAATATGTTTCTTTTTTTGTCGTTGTTGTTGTTGTTGTAAATAGAATAATTTAATTGATAATTTTTTATGAAATGTAAATATATTTATGCTGTTGTGTCATTTGTTGTTTGTGGAAGTTTGTCAATGACAGTCTAGTGTGTGTGTGTGTGTGTTAGTGTTTGAATAAACGATGTTTTGTTTATCTGTTTGTATTACTGAATTTACGCGACACCATCTTGATTGTTATAGTTTACTGGAGGCTGAAAAGAATGAAAATAGAGTTTTAAAAAAGATACTATTTTCAAATGTGAACAGGAAATTCACGTTTTTAGCAGCATAAACCATACGTAGACTTATTCTGCCGTATATCTGAAGAATACTTCTGGAATAATGACTAGACTGCTGAAACAATTTGAAAGGGATATTACACACAAACCAACACAGTCATATGATTGAGAACTACGCAGACCAAAGGAATCAGCAGGAAAAGAAGGCAAGATCACTACCATCCATGGAAATACTTTACATCAAATTTTGAAGAGCATTATATCAGTCAAAGCGAACGTCTCCTTTAGTTTCAACTAGAAAAAGAGAAAGCTAGCCGTCAAAAGATACGACGAGCTGGTAATTGTGAACATTAGTTTGACTGAGAAAATTCCTTGAAGCCTAGTACTCAGATCAATCTTCAATCAATAGGCTTAATAATGTGGATCAAATTGATCAACTAATAAAGAAAGGAATCACAATGAAACAACCAATAGGAATGCAATTTAATACAAGGATTATAAAACTTTCGAAGACAACCAGTTACAACCAAGGTCATCAAGAAAGACAGTTGTATCATTCATGGACAATTTATAAAATATCATTGTGATACTGAATTAAGTGCTTGTCTACCACCTAAGCTACAAATCCTTGCTATTATTTCAAAATGTATGTCAGTGGAACTCAAGAAATTCTTCCCGTAACAATGTATCGAATGCTTCTAGGGAAGTAGTACCTTCTTGTTTACTTTGATGCTATTGGTGGCAGCAAATAGTTTGTGGTTGATTTTCCACATGACATTATTTAGTGTGTTGACATCCTTACTAAACAATTTAATTGTTGTTATCCCTCGGAAGAACAAATTATTGAGGGTTCAAGTTTCGTAGATAATATATTAATGTGACTTAAGATCTTCACTATCCTAAGACTGGTCATCAGTAAGCTCATAAGTCCCGAATCGAGTTAATGAGAAAAAAGAGTGAAAAAGCTTAACCTTGAGGAACCCAACAACCAATCACAGCAGACTTAACGTGTACAAATACGATTCGCAGATATGTGGCTTAAGTTTCTAAGAAACGATCACAAGCAGTAGCAAATAACCTTGAGCAAGAAAACAACCAATCAGAAGACGCTGCTTCCCCGCTGACAATAATGTACATACAATTCTATAGATATCTCTTGATTTTCTCAATAGACGATCTGTTGCCTGGCCCTTGTCTTCTCTCTTTACAATACAACTTTCACTAACTGAAACAAGACATGGTTTCGGTAAATTATACTGTTTCACCGTGTAATATATCCAATAAACAAATTTGTATAGAATTTCAGTAAAGACATAAGGCTTTCATTTTAGATTAAATACGGTATATTAGTAATCACTTCACATATTGTTTGAAATGCTTATGATCATTCGTCTTCACTAACATGCTTTCTTTGCATAAAAATGAAGAGAAAAAGCATGAATAATTACGAAAATGGAAAAAATGTTTTTTTTTTAAAAACTGACTCGTTTGACTTCTGATTTTCTTAAATTTGAAGCAAGTTGATCCAACATTTTCTCAGCTTCAACTACTTCTGGTGAACGGTAGGTACGAGCTTTTATTTCAGTACCTGTAATAATAAAATAAACATTCATCATAAAATTTCATGAATAAAACTGTTTAACCCAACAACCTATGCGTAGATTAGTGGCAGTGTATTAGTAATATAAGAGTATGTAATGAGTCTGGGAATCCTCCGAGCTAAACATGAAGAACAGGATTCAGATCTTCAATGAACTAGTTTCACTTCTTCCTTATTGTTCAAAAAGGATAAGCAACAAGAAATTCTGGCAGAGCAATGAACCACTTGAGAATCTGTTGTCCACATTCAGTGACATCACACAGTAAGTCGCCCCTCAAGTAGAACCTGAATGGTAAGTGACAAGTTGGGTGTGGTTCCAAGGGTGACATGCAGGAGATCGTGTGAGAAGGAGATGAGGACTAATGGGGTATTGTATAGCCCGCTAAGGCGAAATTCAAACAACTGAGTGAAATGGAGGGAATAATAATAATATCCTCGAGGACAATATCAGCGAGATACTAACACAACGCCTTAGAAATGCGGTAAAATGAGCATTCACTGCTGCTGAATAATGCTGTGTCTTCAAAACCACTCCTTTTTTGCGTTCAAGAGTAAAAGATAAACTGCCTAATTTCGCCTCTTCCATGTGTATCTATCAATTTAAATTCTCCTGTGGAGCCAGTTATATAGACCGTACGATTAGATGTGTTCCTCATCAGATTTTGCGAACATCACCCTGCATGGTTTAGTAAAGGACAAACAAAATCTATTCATAGGGCTATTCTATCCCATCTTGTGGATACAGATACACACAGCATTGATATTAACGAGGCTTTCAAAGTCATTTACCGCATACCAACTAATCTTAACTTCCCCTTAAGAGTTCGTTTGCTTAATATTGCTGAGGTCGTTGGGATGTACATTAATAAGCCTAATTTATGCGTCCAAAAGAAGGTAGTTCAGACATTGTCCTTACCTTGACCATCTAGGTTTGAATGATCCTGAATTTTTGATGAATTTTGCTCATTTTAGTTGATATTCTATTCGCTAATATATCTTTATTATTATTATTATTATAATTTAAGCATTGATCTTGCTTTACAAATCGATATTATTTAAGAAACACTAATATTGTTACTGACTACAATTCTAGAATATTCCGTGTATATAAACAAACACATAATTGTAGAGCTGAAAGAGGAAACTATAGAAAAGGAGATTCTTTACTCAATTATTTTGTGTTTTAAAGATATCTAAATGAATATTTCCGCAATATTAGAATTCATGTTATAAGAAAACGTAAATTTTGACAGTGATCTGTAAGAAACTAGATTATAGAATGAATTACTTTCAATACATTTAACAATAATTCTACCTAATTAGAGTCTTTCTAAAACTCACTATAGTAATAATAATAATAATCATTTTGCTTAAAGGTCAAGCTAGAAAACAAATGAATATATGCCATAATGTGTTAAAATATTTGACTTGATTTCAAGACACAGTTATATCCTGTGATTAATTGTTTTTTTTTGCGCTGGTAAACATTTCTCGTAGTATTCTGTATAACCACTTGGATTGCTGTCCTTTTTCTCTTTTTGTCATAAAAATGTGATTTGTGTTTTATCTTCAACAACCTTTTTTCGCTGTCGATTTCTTGATATTTATTCTTTGAAATAGGAATAATTAGCGTGAACACTTGTCTTCAGTCAGTCCTTTTTCAGGCTCCATTAATGCTAACTCCCAAGTCAGTAGTTCAACGATAGAATATTCGCCAAACATGCATGTTGCCAGGGCCCTGTAGACCTTTCTCCGATGCATTACCAAACCTTACCCTCTGTACTACAGCGGATAGTAAGCCTGGGAAAGAGAGAAGGTTCAGCTAGAGGCCAGCAACCCTACCTTGTTGTAAGAAAAACACTTCCACCTCTGAAACATCATAGCTTGAATCCAAATGTTCCACTCGTAACACAAAGGAATAGCTAAACAACGAGCACTATTCAGTAATAGCAAATCAGAAAATAGATTGTGACTTGTTTGTGTATTTATCACCAATAAAAGTATAGATTTCAAGGTGTGAATGGTCTGGGAGACAATATGAATATCACAGAAAAATATAAAAACAAATGGGTCACGCTAGATGATAAATAACAATAAGAATGAGGGAATAATTTATTCATACTATATACAAACACAAAAGTACTATTAATGAGCGATTATCAAGTAATTAAGAATTGAATAAAGCGAAAAGGAAAAGCTTGTCTGAATACATAAACAAAAAGTCAATCTGGACGAAGAATATTCTTTTCAATAATTTCTCCTCTAGAGGTTCTTACAATTATAAAACAGAATATTTGTTGTCATTATAATAATGACCAGTTATGCGGTAGATACATTTTTAACGTAGAATAATAGATTAGTTATGGGGTGTCAAAATAAATAGTAGTATTTCTGCGACACTCTGCACGTCTGCTCCTATCCTTCAGTAGCCATCGAATGTTCACGCAGCAACTAAAAGGCACCTTATCTAACCTTAGCTCTACCTCATGCATACACCATTTCAATTCTTCCTGTGGTTCAAGTTATATAGGGCGCACGATTAGGCAGGTTTGTTTACGGGTTCGAGAACATTTACCAGCTTGGTTCAGCTGGGAGGGAAGTTAAGTGCATGAAAAGCTTGATCCTGTCACACTTGGTCGACACTGGACATCACATCGACATCAACTTAAATTTCAGGGTTATATTCCGAATTCCGAAGTTGTTATCACGTACTGTTCGCTTACGTTTTCTACACATAGCTGAAGCTGTTGCAGTAACATCGAATAAACCGGAACTTTGTATCAAAGATAAGAACACATCCAGACGCTGTTCCTACCGTGACCAAATTTGGATTGATGATTCTTCTTCTCAGCAAGAGTATTTCTTCCCCCTAACCCTATTGGTTTTTTCTTTCTTTGCTTACTATTACAACTATTATTATTATTCGTCACAATTTATCCCCTTAGTGCAAACATTCAATACTATCGAATTTTTCATTTATACTATGCGGACTTATTATTAGTGGTATTATCTCTTTTTTCAACAAATGCCTCCACATGTTTCATTTCACACATTCGTTATTTCATTATGAACCTGTCATTCAAGTCTTACTATCTGCTCTTTAATACATGTCACTCTGTACTAGTCACTCACCTGACACCTTTTATAACCTTGAACTGATTTGTCAGTTCTCCTACCCCACATTCTACGAATCTATTGTGAATAATCACCACCTTTGTCTCCCATTTCACAATATTTTGTAATCGATTTCAGCCTAGCACGATGTTTGTTACACAAATACGACTATTTATTTTGACACCCATAACTACTAATCTGTTATTCTACGTTAAAAATGTATCCGCCGTATGAATGGCCATTATTATAACGACAGCAAATATGATATTTTATAATTGTAGGAACCTGAAGAGGAGAAATTATTGAAAAGAATATTTTTCGTTCAGATTGACTTTTAATTCATAAAATGGGAATATTTCACACTATCAAATCTAACATAAACAAAATAAAGTAATAAAGTAAGACATAAAACCAAGGTTATTAGACATGACAAGAAAGCTCGTGAAACTACAAGAGGTCTGAAATAAAAGTTTATTAATGAAACAAAAGAAGGGAGGAAGACAAATGAATTGGGAATCAAAATGTAGGTGCGCAATGACATCATCCAGTTGTTTAGGATTCAATGGCACACCTCTGTTTTGTCCTGTTCCCTTCAGTCCTTTCTGACTGGCTACATGATTCCCTACGACTTCCTAGTCTCCTCCGTAGACGATCCCCCTATATGTCACACTCCGACCATAGCCCACTTAGTCGTTTCCCATTCAGGTTCCACTCAAGTTATGACCTGATACACAAAGTTGCTCGGGGGTCTCTGAGCATTCAATCCATCTCCACTTTCTAAAGCATATTTTTTGAGTAATATGTTCTTGGTGCGTCGGTGGCACATCGGTTAGGACGCTCGCCGACCATGCACATGGTCCGGGGTTCGATCCCCGGCCGGCGCACTCCTTTACCTCACTGAGCCAGAAATAATGCTGGTACAGAGGAAAGGTTGGGTATGGAGCTAGCAAGCCCATCCTGTAAAATAAACACTGTTACAGAAACTTCAAGCCACTAGCTTGAGGCCCTATGTTCCACTGGCAACGTGAAGGAAAAAAATATGTTCTTGACTGGTTTGTTTCCAGAGTTCCTTGCTCCTAATTCTTTCTGGTCATCTGATCTTCAATATGACGTGAAGGTGGATGTTGGTGAAAGCCTGCGGTTATATGGTGGGAATGACTTTCATGATGCGTTCATCAACTCTCTGAACAATATAGACAGCTGACTTAACAATAATGGTCTAAATTCGATTATTGTTCTTTATCATGAGTGCAGAAGATTTCCAAACAGATTTCACAATGATGCAGGTCTGTCTTGCCTTTCCACTTCTAATCTTGACATCCTCATTCCTGCTGTTGCCTGTAGTTGAAAGGATGCTGCCTAGATAAGTGGAGGAAGTAACCTCTTTCAGATTTATCCAGTTGACAGTGATTGGTGAGTCAGTGTTACAATACAATAAACAGATATTCTAGATAAGTTTGATAGGTTACACACAATTTATCTTCATAAATATTTCACTAAAATGTGAACCATTAGATGGTTGGAGACAGTCGGCAGAAAGCCTTTGACTTACGTCTCATGCTTGTTGACACTTGTCTGCAAACATTCAGAGTGCATCGTGATGTTAAGATACCTAGAATGGTGACCATATTCCAAACTTGACTGAAAGAATTTAATCTACACCGAATAAATGATTAGATAAATGACACTAGTGTCCAATCAAATTGTGAACCAGATATTTTTTTAAAATAAAATTCAACTCACCTCTTTCCATTTCCATAATTGTTTGAGCTGATGGTTTAGTTCTTGTCAAAGCCTTATTTAATTCTGGTGAACAGTCTACTTTACGTAAACCAACCATCTTCTTGTAAGGATTTTCTAAAATAAAAAAGTTTTAAAAAAGTTTAATTAAATTTTTACAGAAGATATAAATTAGCAGTTCGATAACGATAAAACATATAAAAATGACAAAAATTTGTTATATATTCGAGATGATTTAACTGAAGATCCATCTACTGGTCACTACAATAGTTTGAATTCTTTCCAATGTTTTTCTTCCGCCTAGATGGTGTGGAATGATTTCTAAGTAAATTTCAATGAAATGTGAACTCTGTGGCACACTTTAACTCTCAAATTAATTTAAACTGAAAGAATGGAGGATTTCATCATGAGCTGACATCAGTTACAGAACCATTGGAAAACTTTCTGGGAGTACTGAATAACTGTTTCTTCTTACTTTGGGACTCTTCAGCAGCACGCATCCACCGGGTGTCGAACCCATGATCTTCTGGTTACAAGGCCAGGTTGTGGACCATTGAGCCACTGCGACCCGATCCGAACTAGGATGAAACAGCTATCCAGTACTCTCAGGTTTTCCAGTGGTTCTTTAACAAATGTCAGCTCATGATGAAATCTACCATCCAATCAAACAAAATGTCTACAAAGCTTATACTTGAAAATTTAAACTGAAAGATTATAAATGATGTATTAACATGTATAAACGAAACTTAATGGAGACGAGTCACATATGCTATCCGAGGTGGATTCCCGGCTAATGCACTTCTAAACCTCGCCAAATAAGACCGGGAAAAAAAGGTGGTTGGTCATGAGGCTACCACCCTCACCGCATAAGAAAAACAGCACCACCACCACCACCGCCATCACTGAAACTTCAAAAGTTGAAGTTCTATGTTCCACTCGAATTGCAAAGAATGATGGATGGATAAATGGATAAAAGTACTTTTATGTTTAATCTACAAATAATTCATTCCTACTATAAATAAACATTTAATGACACGCCTAGTTTTCCTTTTACAAACAGTTGCTTCCGTTATCATTTTGGTTTTCAGAAACAAGTAGTCAGTTTTAATTAGGAAGCACACAGTTGTGTTCATGTGTCTGTGTGTGGCACTTGCTTCATTAAGCGTTTTTAATGTTACCACATGTTGGTGTAAGGTAAAGCCTTGTGATCAGTTTATCATTGAATATGGAACATGTTTTTTTGTATTTGACTGTAATCAGATGACATTTTCTTATGTATATATATGCTTTGGTAATGCAGAAAATAGTATATTAAGTCCCAAGCACACATGGGTGTACTTTAACCTCACAATGTGACAATTCATCCAGTTAATAAAACCAGCCATTTTTAATTACTATAGCCATATACTAGGAAATTCTCTTCTTTTGACTTTTCATTCCTTCTGCTTTCCTAGTGGAACATAGGGTATTAGGTTTTGAAGTTTCGGTAGTGATGATGTTTAGTTAACTTCACACCCAACCTAATCTCTTTTTCCAAGTTCACTAGTTAGCGTGAATTTGTTAGGAATCAAACTCGGATGACTTGCATGGCTGATGGGCTTTCTATTATTGAATCACCAATACACATCAACTATAATTACTATCATAATATTAATGTATTCCTTTACGTTCCCAGTGGAACATAAGGCTCCAAGCTAGAAATTTGAAGTTTCAGTAGTAGTGGTTTATGTTTTAAAGGGATGGAGTTGCTAGCCTTATACCCAGCCTTCCCTCTTTACCAGTATTATTACTGGCTTAGCGAGGTTTAGGGTGGCATCGGCCGGGGATCGAACCGCGAACTACATGCACGGTTGGCAAGCATTCTACCGCTATACTACCGACGCGATGTCTACCACAATGGGAAGTATAAATAGTCTATTTCGAAAATGAGTATATCAGTACGAGGAGTTCATGCGATCTTTCAATTTAAAAGAAATCATGAATTCGATGGGAACAAAGTCATATAGGGAGAAAATACATAACCATCAACATTATGATACTTAGAGAATGGAAACTAATTTTCAGGAGATTTAAATTCTGAACAGCTAAGTTAGACGGTGGTTATAATCACATAAAAATCACTACTACGATACATTTGACGCGTTACCTGTTCCCGTCGAACCAGGTATGTCCATTGTTCGGCGCAAATTCTCTCTGAAAGGACCCAAAGGTACTATCCTTCATAATTGCTCTAAGGTAACCTTGATCGCATAAGAGGCACAGTAACTGAACTCACTCTATCTCAACCCTTTCATCCTTCAAAGTTACTAACAAAATGAATAGCAGCCTGCCAAACGCAGTAAGCTTTCACCTCGTTTACACTGTTGACGATCAGTCCATTAAGACAGAAAAACTAAAGCTCCGAAAACAAAAGATGGTCCAGTTCCTGTTGTCTGACTTTTTCTAGATCTTATGCAATACCATATTTCTTTTATATCTATGTCTACCTTGATTACAAACTATTTCATTAAATAATTCACCTCATTACGTAACTCTACTACACATATGGTAACCCACCTCTTTCGCCACTGTCCTCTTTTGTGAGAAAAAAAAGTCTACGTAGACGAGATTATACAGCCACTGGAAACGAAATACATGAAAAGGAACCCCTCATTGAACCACTTCTTTCTCATTAATGCTTGGATGTAAATTATTCATGAAATCACCAATTTAGCTTTCGATTGAAACTGGATGGACTACAATGTTGTGAGTGTTCCCTTCTGAAACATTTTAGGCTTGAATAAACATCTGCTAAAAGCTTCTTAGCTTTCTATAATATCTTAGATAATAGAGGATCTTGACTATTACTTCCGGTGTTTTTGTTTAACCAGAAATAAGAAACGTATTCGGCTCAAATAACAAGATACTAAGAATACACTTTTTATTCGTTATTAATTCAAATTTGATTTTTCCCGTCAACTGAATGGACCGAAATTTTCGGCCTTTGTTGAAATGTCAGCAATGTCTGAGGGTTAATTTGAAGTAATTGGATGGAAGTTGACTAGTAGTAGAATCCAGGATGCAAATTTCGTCCTAATTGGGACTTGTCAACCCTCAAGTGGTTCAAGTAGTCTAATGGATGATGCTTCGGCTTTTAAAATGATGGGAACTGGTTGCGAGTCTCAGTCCGAACACCATCAATGGCTGAAGATTGCAGTTACATTCCGAACAGGTGGAAATGCGCATCCTAGAACCCACTGTTATTCACCATCCATCAAATTAGTTTAAGAATACAGTTTTTATATGAGTTTCTTAACATACAAATCGAAAATAAAGCTCATATGAACGGCATGTCGACCTTAAAGTCCACATAAAAATCTACGCATACTATAGTCGTCTGAAGTTTAAAATATTCTTGGCCTTGATTAAAAATATAACTCCTCTGTTTGATGGTATCCGACTCTATAGTGTTATTTAGCCTAACTAAAACAAGTCATTTATACTACTACTACTACTACTACCCATAAAGAGATTTCATTTGGTCTGTGAGAATAGAATGGACGTCTCTCTGAAATGAAACAGACATTCACTGTTATAGGTCGTCTTCAGAAAGCTGTTACCATCAATCAGAAAAAAACCTTCTTGTTCTGCTTTTCATTCACTAGGAAATATATACCAATAAAATGTCATGAAATTAGTTTATTTACTGTCTGAAATATCTGCTCAGTTAACAAAATGGTGCTTTGATTTATTATGTTGTAACATATTAATTAATTCTTTCTATTAATATCTGAAATCCTCTGCTAATGCCTTCTGCCTTCTTCTCTGTTACACTTAGTTCTCTGTCTTATGTAAACTAAACGTAGAGTAAAATCATAAATAAAAATTGGTTTACTTAATATTTGCTCATTTAGTTGCGAATTACTAATGTGCGATCTCTGCTGACACCAGTTCGCCCAAGTAACTAGTCAGAAACTAGGCGGTTTGAAATGATTCGACTTTATGAGATGAGTCATACTGGGTGCACCGACTGTCCGGTGATCAAATCGCCTCAAACTAGCTAGCAAACACTACTGATTGATGTGAACGGTTTGCAGTTAATAGTGTTCTCTGAGCTGGTTGGTTTAGTTGCAGAGCTTTCGTTGTCTTTCTGGACGACATCTTCAGAGCAGTATTTAGGATAAAGTGAAATGATGTGAATGGTATCCAACTACTCATGTCAATCAATCAGTAGTATATAGTTCTACGCATTTGTGCTTGATTTCTTGATTACCTTTTCTGGTGTCAAGCAAATCACACACTGTGATGTGAGTAATTTTGATTTACAAAGGAAACTTTGATGAGATTTCGCGTCGTCGATCTATGTAAATTGCAAATTTCTAGTTAATTTGCGAGTTGCAAAATTTCGCTCATCTTGTTTTAAGGTCGAACTTTCAGCTTGAGTGAAAATATTTGGTGTAATATTCAATCATAATTTTACTTTGTATTTTTCGTGTTCTTCAGTATCAAACATTTCTTTCATATTGAATTTAGCACTGAGAATGCTGTCTAGAAGACATTACAAGGTTCGCAATTAAATCATATAGCCTGCAGAATACAATAGCATCAACTGGAGATTACTTTAGTTTGACCAAACAATTAAAGTTTTCAAGTACTGGACAGCTGTTTCTTCTTAGTTTGGGACTCTTCACAGTACGCCCCCACCGGGGTTCGAACCCAGGACCTTCTGGTTACAAGGCCAGCTCATAGACCACTAAACCACTGGGACCCGAACGAAACTAGGATAAAACAGCTGTCCAGTACTCCCAGGTGGTTTTACACTGGTTCTCTAATTGATGTCAGCTCATGATGAGATCATCCATCCAATCAAACGAAATCCCTACAAAACCAATACTTGAAAACTTTAATTGTTTGGTCAAACTAAAGTAATCTCTAGTTGATGCTATTGTATTCTGCAGGCTATATGACTTAATTGCGAACCTTGTAATGTCTTTCTAGACAGCATTCTCAGTGCTAAATTCAATATGCAAGATGCTCTTAATACTGAAGAACGCGAAAAGTGTCAGGGAGTTCTTAGAAACTTAACGTTCGGATAGATGTGTCATCTGTAGATATGTGGATACTGACCATTGAAGGTGGACTTGAATATGATGTCTAGAAGGACATTGAAAGCTTCGCAATTAAACCATTTAGTTCAGAAAATATCAGCGAATCCAGTACATACACTGGAGCAATAAATTTTTTCACTACATATACAAAGGTAGATGTGGATACTTAGAATAATCCATTCATATTATTATTTATATCAATGTTATTATTACCTGGCTTAACATGTTTCAAATCTGGTCTAAAGTCTTCAGCCAATACAACTGTAAGAACAGTTTCTGCTTCAGCTCTTCCTAATTGATTTTCTGCAATCACATGTAGTCTATTACTTCCTTGTAAAGCAGGACAACGACTCATTTCTAAATAGTTGATTGCACCATCACTATATATCTTTGTAATTGAATCCTAGACAGAGAAAGCGTATGAAAAATTGTAAAAAAGATGACATCAGAGATGAGCATACCTTATTCATATAGTTAAAGAATATTCAACAATCAAAGTAGATGTATTCATCTAACCAAAAGGTCTTCATAAGAAAATTCTGAGGGTATAATTACTATCTGCTGATAGATTTTATTGGAAAAACATGTTCTCACTTCAAAGCTATAAGTGATTCGCTGCATTGTTTTCAACAAATAAGCACATTTCCATGCCAGACTCACTTCCCATCTTGATAGTAGTACAAGTGTGCGTCGGTGACACAGAGGTAGAATACTCGCAAGCCAATCAGGTGGTCTGAAGTTCGATCCCTAGCCGACGCACTCCAAAACGTCGCTTAGCTAATAATAGGCCTGGCAAAGAGGGAAGGTTGGGCATGAGACTAGCAATCCCACCCCGTAAAAAATGAAACTACTGCTTTCGAGAATTTAAAGCTCTAGCTTGTAGCCTTATGTTCCACTAGGAACGTAAAGGAATAAAAAGACAACTGATAGAACAACTAATTCTTTCTCCGACATAAAACAGATAAAAATCAAAGCGCTAAATAATAATTTTAAGACTTTCAATCATAATTATAATGCTGTCAGAACATTTGATGACAGAATTTATGACTCTAGGTAAACATAGAAAAGACAGAGATGATGAAGATAGCCAATTGGCAACAAGAAGCATCAACCACTTGTATTTCGAGAGATCTAAAGGAAGTTGTTTCTTTCGCTTACCTAGGCAACATTGTTTTAGCTATGGGTGGCGGTAGGGTTAAGGAAAGGTATTCATCATTCCTATGCATCCAATAAAAGGAATAGGATCCGAGTTCTTACCGTTAATATCAAATCACCGCTTCTATATGTTTCAGAGTATTTTCAACAGCCCGCTTCAAATAAACGCTAACACCTACCTTCATTAGCTCGATAGTAGGGACCAAAAGGCCATCCAGAAGTGATAAGTGAGAAGGACCTCAGACAATGAACTTACCGAGTAAATGCAACCCAACAAAAATGGACAAGGAAATAGAGATAGGTTAGACGTACAGTAAGCAGACATTCAAGTAGGGCATCGAGTGGAACCAGTATGTGAAGCGATGCGTTAGGTATAGTTTCTATGGTGATATAGATAAGATCGTATAGGGAGTAGATGGAAGCCTATAGGAGATTATGAAGGCGGATAAAATGGACTACAAAGAACAGGGTGTGTTCTGCTGAATCCCAAAAGGACGATTAATGATAATATAATAATAATGATACATTTAAGAAACAAATATCTTATTATTTTTATACCTATTGACACGTGAGGCATAAGAAATGACTTTAAAAAATGTAATCTACTAAGTTTGTTTAACTCACTTGTTCAATTGGCTCGTCATTCAGATACCATGTCAAATGAGGTGTAGGTTTACCACTAACACGTACTAAAAACTTCACTGGAGAACCTTCACTGATTGTAGCAGCTTGTGGTTTAACATCAAAATTAGGTGCAGCATCAACCTCTTCTTCTTCGATGTAATTATATTCTGGACCATTTCTGAAAGATAAAAGGTTAAATGACTTCGTTATTATTAATCCTTTCGATTCCTGATAAGATTATGGGTGTGCACCACTGAAGAGACTCAAACACGGATGGATAGTTTTCTAGCTGGTGTTGATTTGTCACATAATTTGAATTTCAATAAACTTTTGTTAGCACTCACAAATTGCAGTAAATCAGAGAAATAGATTGGTCTCTTTTTGATGTTCTGCTTAAATCACCGCATTATTTGAATTTCCCTTGAGTACTTACTATGCATCATCTTCCCTTCACAACTTATTGTTTTAGTCTTTCATTCACACAGTGTACACACGTCAATTTTTAATTGGCTTTCAACCTACTTCTGTAGATTTCATGGTAGAAAAAGAAGGAATATTATCCTAGGGGATTCATTTTTGCCTCGGACTGAACGGCATTACAGCAATTGATATTTCGACGATTTCTATTTTACTTAAAGATCTTGAAGGAATAGTAGAATAACCTGGCAGTTCTGCAAAATGTGTGAGCAATTTGTTCAGAATAGAGTTGTCGTTGCTATGATTATTGTTATTTCAGATTACTGAAAAGGATGCCCTTAGTTCAGTGTTCATGCTGTCGTCCTATGTGATCACTCTGTACTTTACTTTTGGCCCCCATAAACAGTATTTCCTACACTATATTAGATAGATGCGCGGGAATGACTGCATATTATTGGACAAAATGTAATGTAGGTCACTGTGAAGTATATATACTTACGTTTGTTCAATGTCTTCAATAGCCTTTATCAGATTGTAACCTTCTGTACCTTGTAGCAGATTACTGTGTGTAATAACAGAAGCGCTTGGATTGCATCTGCAGAAGAAATTTTAAGAAATAAGGATGATTATTTTTGTATCAAAAGTAACTGTAAGATTGACATAAGTAAATTCTAAGGAATTAACAGGGGAACAGAAGGACCCATTGCAGCCTAGGATCATATTTTTGTTAGTTAAAGGTGACTACTGAAAAGTAGCTTAAAAATTCAATCAAAATTTTGTATAAGACTTCAAAAAACATTGTGTATTATTACCTAGTTTCATATTAGCATTAGATTATTTTCACCACCACTGTGTGGCTAACCTGTCATTCACTTGTATTTTATTTCTAATTCTTGTGTATAAATGTAGCAAAGTAGGTGAATATCAAGTTCACTCAAGGATATCTGATGTTAGGCGCAAAGTATACAAATTATGAATGCTGGATTTCAGCCACTTTTCAGCCATATTTTACAGTAAAAATACCAAGCTAAATAATTCAAGGGATGACAGTAAATTTATTATTAGTGAACAACCGTTTAAGGCGATGGCTTCTGCATTCAAGCCTCAGTGTGAATATCATCATTCATTGAAGACCAAGGTACATCCATCTGGTTAGTCTCCAATAGGATGAAAGTTGAGTCTTTTATTCCATTTCTACCAGGTAAATAACAATATCTAACCTTTTTACAGTATGGAGAGATTTGTACCAGGAGCTTACATGTCAAAAACCTGCGAACATATCGATCTCACAAAAAAGCAATCAGCATGAAATACAAAACAACTTGAACTAACTCAAAAAATAGTTATTTAAGACAATAAAAGTATTCACAAAATATGGGTTTCAATATTGGTACGTAAAAGTTTTATAGCAGATAGAAGACGATAGGCTCTACATTTATATTTCAAATATATCGATCTCTTCTATAAAGTCTACCTTATATAGTGATGTTTAAAAAACGTTTTGAATGATCTATACATAATTTTTGGGAATCATCGACAGTACACACCCACCACAGTGGGGTTCAAACCGACGACATTCCAGTGACAAGGCAAGCTCATATTAAATACTTACAAATCAACTGCTGAAAATTAATATGATGCTCCCTAGCAACTTGCTACAGGACGGAGTTTCCTGGAGTTCTAGTGAGAAGTCGTAACCAGTGAGGTCTATCCAGTCAAGTGTGTGAGAATGGATGTCCCACCGAGGACATCGGTAAGTGCCAGTTGCGCTAAATTAGAAGTTAGAACTCATGGGCTGGCCACTGAATCGGGTAGGGGCCCAGTGGCTGGATGGTATACGAGCTAACTTGACTTGTAACCGTAAGGTCCTGAGTTTGAACCCTGGCAGTGGGTACGTACTACCTATGATTCTCAAACTAGGATGAAGCAGCTGTCCAGTACTCCCACATGATTTTCACTGGTTCTCCAACTGATATCAATCTGTGGTCAAACGCTTAAAAATAAATCTAATCCTAATAAACCAACTCTATATTAAAGTAAGTATAATTGAACATTTTGAATATGATTCGCCTACTATTCCGCCTAAAATATCTACACTGTATATGGTACAGTAGCTCCATAGTAGTAATTATCATTCTATTTTTGAAAGCCAGTTTAAAAATTACTCCATGGCATACAGAAATATATATATATATATTTTATCCACAGAATTCGTGAACTACATGAACAACATTGTGTATAATTAACTACTGTTAACTGGATACTTATAGAAAGGAAGAACAGTCATAACGAATGTACACACATTTGTCTTAATAGATCAAATAAATCTTATGGGTAGTGCACTCTGAAGGCTCGATTGGCAACATTTACGTTGTATCATGTGTATGAATAAACTAATTAACAAGAGGCTTCTAGTGGGCTTGTATATATGTAGGTAGGAAAGAGGCTTCTAGTTTAGACAGTTTTCTTTAACTTCCATAATTCGTTGGCTATATTCAATTATTTACTCTATTATTAGTAATATTCAACATTTGTAAACTATTTTTGATTTATGTGCCAGTAAGTGCAATAGATTAAACCCTTTATAATAAATATATTCATAGTGTACTTCATATTAAGTAATTGCTACCAGTATATTTTGATAATAGTTTTCTTGAAGGACCTACTGGCTTACAGCACATACATATCTCTTATCCATGCAATATTTCACATTATCCTATGTGTTACATGATTTATCGACCCAAGCTATTGGGTTTTTGCTGAAGCAATCACCATCAAGTAGCTAGGAGCAAAACTATGCATTTAGGTAAGTAGGTGGAAGTTACTGGATGGGTTTGTGAGACTACATTGTGATTGGGACAATTAAGAGTTGTGTTGCGCATACCGAGCTAGTGTCTTCCTTAAAAAGCTATGTTATCTGAATGAGGATTAGGTTGGAAAAGTGTTAGGAGTCGTCACACCAAAACCTGGAAACAACCCATGAAATTTTTGACGGTTGGTTTAATTTAATTTTTTTTTACTTTTGATTACAGCTTGATTCCACACTGTATTTTTTGGTATAAATGTGGAATTTTCAGCATGGATATCGGTAGCGCAAATTTTGCAGGCCGACCACAGATATCAGATGTGTATCGACAGGGGATCGAACCTCAGACCATGTGCATGGTTGGCGAGAGTCCTAACCACTGTGCCGCCGACGCACACATATAGTGAGGGGTTGACTGACTGAATGAGGTCCCTTGGAGGCTGACAACCAATAGTTGGAATCTGTTGGTGATGTGGCTGAAAAACGTTTTAAGTACAACAGATGTATTCACTTATTTTAATCTCCCATACTCATTAAATTCTCACAGTTTTACCATATTACTATTCTTTCTCCCCTAGGTTTCTGCTCGTTCTGCTCGTTATAGTTCTTCTGAACCTCTTCTCTTTTCCTTCATTTGTTAAATGGAGTGTGGCAAAGTGATCTACTGAACCTATGCGCAACGTTCTGTGCTGAAAACCAATCAAGCAGTCAGTCATGCATTCCGAAGAAACACGCACTACCTTAGTAATTAAGTACACAAAACAAAGTTATTCATCATTTATTTTTCTGTGTTGTTTATTGTGTTTCAAACTTTGTTCTTCCCATTTGAACACTGTTCAACTTACACTTCTTGCTATACATATGTCCTATAATTTCGCGATTTGTCATGCTACCACACTATTCCTAGCTAACCTTTAAACTCTGCCCCTGTTTTTCAGTAATGTTAAAAATGGTTAATTTTTTTTAACACTAAATAGGTTTAACTACTTATATCATTCTGAATTCACGTTCCTTATAGTTTCTGTGAATAATTCGCTAGTCAGTGTGGTTAAAGTTTGTTCAAACATTTTTGTATCTTGGAAGATAATTGGTGGATGGTGACTAGCGGTGAAATCCACCAACGATGCGCATTTCATCCTATTTGGGACTCGTCTGCCAGCTGGTTGTACCTGCATTCAGCAGTCATTGAGTGATGATGTTCCCAGCGAGGCTCTCGTGGCCCTAGTGAACTAGTGGATAGCGCCTTGGCGTCTGAAGCTATGGACACTGGAATCGAGTCTCGAAGGGAGCATCATCACTCAATGACTGCGGAATGCAGGTGCATCCAGCTGGCAGACGAGTCCCAAATAGGACGAAATTTGCATGCTGGTGGATTTCAGTGCAAGTCACCATCCACCAATTATCTTCTAATTATATGCACAGAAATCATCGAAGCATCTGCACAAGAAGCCGACGTGTCAACTTGAAACCGAGCACTTCGGTCCAATCAATCGAAGGGAAAATCTAAATTTCAATTAAATAATTTTTGTATTTTGTTTATTTTACTATTGTTTAGATTGCAGGCAGTTGACAAAAAAATACCTGAGAAATAATAACCTACAATATTTGCTGTTTTTTCTTTGTTCAAATTTCACACTGAGAAAAAGTTCTATTTTTTGATGTAGTTGTGTTCTCTGGGCTGGATGGTTCATTTGCGAAGCTTTCATTACCCTGCTAGGCAACATACATCAATTTAAAGTGTATGCGTTGAAGATGTTGCCTAGTAGGGTGATGAAAGCTTCGCAAGTGAACCATCCAGCTCAGAAAATACACCTACATCAAAATCATCCAATTGAGCTACAAATATTCTCCACTATTTCTAAGAAGTTTTATGCAATTTATTAGACAATTATATCTCAGAAGTGTCCAAGTGATAGTTTGGACGGACCTGATTGACTTCAAGTTTGATCAAGCATTGATATAAGTTAGAGAACCAATGATAACTAGGGAGTACTAAATTGCTATTTCATCCTAGTTTTTTGACTCTTCAGTGGTATTCACCTATGACACCAGGGTCAATCGAATCCACTACCCTCAGGTTATGAGGCGAGCTCATAGACGATTCAACCAAGGAAATAAAAGCAACCAAGTGAAAGAGCTGTCCGCTACTCCTTGTTTTCCGATGGTTCTCCAACTGATATCTACTCATGACCAAACTTGAACGCAATCATTGGATATTGAAAGTAAAAATAAAAAACATAACTGATTAAGAAAAACGAAGACTTAAGATTAGTTTAGATTTCTTACACAACATTAGAAAAAGTCATTTCTCAAAAGCAGGTTATGTGATTTTTACCCGCCGAATTAAATCTGATGTAATTGGGTTATCATCCACATTAAACGGTGGGAAAATATGCATTGCTTGACTAATTTGTAAAATCTATTTCCCATTCTGATTCTTCAGAGAACTATTTTTCTTTTTTGCGTTTTCAGTTTTGTAAACCTGAGAATTATTTCATTGTCTTGAGAAATTTTTGTTTAATTAATCATATTTTATATGCAAAACTGTTGATATTATGTGTGTAGTGGAAAACAAAATCGATTGATTAATGTTCATATCGGTAGATAGAGTGTAAATTATCCTGCATTCTTATTTTCCTAACCTTCACTAATTATTATTACGTATTGGGACATGTAGGAGAATTATACACCACATAAATGCATTTGTGTCTATGTGTTAGTGTGTATTTGTGGATAGACGATGCGCGCATATATGTGAATTGGCAGAGAGATATACCATATCCAAAGGTGATGATATTCCAGATAATTCTTACCTCTTTCTCTCTCTCTCTTGAGTGTTGAATACTATGCGGCTTTAATTAGTTTAAGTATCTAACAATTAGGTTAGGAAGTCTAAATATTATATATATCACCAAGATTACCAACAGCTTGAATAGCGGATATTATTTGCGCTATCGAATTTCTTTGTCTTTTAAACAGTGTTTTGTTATTTTTATCAGTAACTTAATGTATTGATTTAAACCTGAATAAACTTCTAAAAGCTACAACCAAATTCTAAAAGACTAAGTTTGGCGAACAAAGAATATTCTTTCTGCGTTCGATTCTACAGCTGAAGGCAAACTCTACAAAAAAAACTGGTTGAGGGTGAGATACTGCCCTCCATTAGGTCTCATGTTAACGGATATCTTTCTAAAGTAAAACAGAAAATGGTCCTGCCACTGTTGGTGAACAGTGAGTTATTCGTTTGTTCGAATTGGTCTCTACTTGGCGGAAGACAAAAAGGATGTTATCCTTTAATTGTTTACTGGCTGGCAGAAGTATTGTTGTATACCATATTAACGTTTATCTAGAGAATTTAGCACTGATTAACAACAGTAAATCTGTTTCATTATCGCTTGCAGAATAAATAATCGGGTTTGCCCAACTGGTTTCTGTTTTTCCGTGTCGGTTACAGTGCATAGTATTGAAAGTAGTGAGCTTAATCTTCTGAAACCAGAGAGATAGGTTCAGGATCTCAGCGATCTGGATATTTGACAGGTCCTTTAAACAGTTTAATCAGAAAATTCTCATTTTATTGCTGATATATATATATATCCATCCTTTGTAGAAGTAATTTGCACGTACAAAAAAGACTCTTAAAGTGAAATTGCCTTTATAGATGTCCTTCTGATAAGAAGACCGGATAGTAGTATAAATAAGGAATTTGCATAGGAAAAGTATGTGGAGTGAGCAGTTCACACATTTTCATAGCTGTGTTCCTTTCAGGTATGAAAGAAATTTGATGAAGCCCTTCAGCTTTAGGGACAGAGCTAATTGTTCAGAAGATACGATTGAAAAGGAACTTAAGGTTGTATTCAACACGTGAACTGAAAACAGTTACCCTGAAAACTTTATCATGAAACATGCGGCCAATAGAGTAGAAAAGAATTTTTCTGTATCTTTAAACAAGAAGCCTCTAAATATAAATTCAAATGCGGTCAATCAAGTGAAATAATAACCAACATGCTGAGAAGATCGATTCAAAGGATTTTTAATGTCAGTAAGCTAAAATTCGCATTCTTCTCATGACCGCTTGTGACTCTGAAACTAAAAGACGAAGTATCTAGGCTAACCAGTTCTCATTGCATCATTGATTCAGTTAAAAATGAGATGAGTAGACTGGAGAAATACAAAATCGTGTATCTAGACACGTCCATTTGAAGTACAGGATCACAATATTAAAAGCATTTGATTTAACTTAAAATCATATGAGTTTAACGATATCTCTTGGAAAATACTATATGAACAGGTTTAACTAGTGTTTTAAATAAAACTCTCCACCCTGAACACTAACTAACTGGCATCAGTTAGAGGACTATTAAAAGACAGGGGATACTAGACAGAGCTGTTCAAGACTGTTCAGCAATGCGCACCTATGACGCAAACGAGGATCAAACGCAGGACCATTAGTTTTTACAAGGATTTAAGCATCCGCGAATTCTAACTTCTGGCAATACTCCACGTGTACATAAAGCTACTGCCAGCCAGTATCAACAGCGTGTGTCTGAAATCTCATTCAACTTGGTGGACCTCATTGGTCAATGGGCTCGCTAAATAACCTGAAAGTCTTGAGACAAAGGTGTTTACCAGTGAAGAATCACAAACTACAATGAATTAGGTAATCAGTACTCCCTGATTTTTAATGGTTCATTAACCGATGTCACTTCGTGGTTAAACTTAATACCAATCAAATATAATGTAGGCCAACACATAGAAATCTCTTTCTTCTTGGATACTTTCAATAGTGCAGTGTCACTGTCAAATTGTATGAAAGAGGAAAGGTGCAGCTTATCTGTGTTAACTAAGTGTCATCTATTTTCACTCACTTCCAAGGAGTTTACTCAGATTATTGTCAGTTATATGTTACTTTTGCTGGGGAAACTGTGGAATTCTTACCAGAGTCCAAAAGAAAAAGATATCTTGCAGTTGATAATATACGGAGATTAGGAAACTTACTCATTCTATGCTGAGACTGAAATATGCTTGAATAGGGAGTAGCAAGTCCTCACTCTGCTTATATATAGAATCCATACAAGGTAGAATATAGCATATTCTAGTTTCAGGATACGTGCCTGTTTACTAATGTGAGACCTTGTCTAGTATGAATGTATTTTTAGTAAACTAGTTCTAAGTATGATGGATATTCAAGTGGAATACTTACTTACTAGTGTAGATCTATAAAAAACAGTGTCTCTCAGTTACCTATCTTTTTGAGCCTAGAGAAATACTTCTGAAGAGTCCAAAACTAGGACGAAACAGCTGTGCAGTAATCCCAAGTGGTTTTCCAATAGTCCTCTAACTGATGTCAGCTCATAATGAGATCCTCCGAACAATCAAACAAAATTCCCCCTACAAAATCAATACTTGAAAGTCGATCTGATGCTCACTAGCTACTTGGCCCATTTAGGTAGTGACCTGGGGCTCTAGTGCGAAGCCGTGACCAATAGGGTGCGGCAGGTTGAAAATAAGGCATTAACTCATCGAAGAAGACACTGAGAAGTGGTCGCGCTATGTCATGAGTTGGCCATTGAATCAGGTATGGTCCCAGTGGCAGAATGCTATACGAGCTAGCTTGACTTGTAACCGGTAGGTATTGCGTTCGAACCATGGTAGTGGGGGCTTCCTGATAAAGGGTCCCGAACTAGGACGAAACAACTGACTGTCCAATGATCCCTTTTATAGTGTTCCAGTGGTTCTCTAACTGATGTCAGCTTATGATGAAATCCTTTGACCAATCAAGCAAAATCCCGAAAAAACCGATACCTTAAAATTATTTCTTATGCAAAGAAATTTCACATGTTGTGCTTATTTAATGGAAACATACACAGGAAACTTAAAACTCCTCATAAAATTAACAAAAGATTACTCAACAAAACTATTCAAATAACTTACACAACGTGTACATGATTACTCTCCATTTGACCAACTTTATTAAAAACAGAACACCAATATTCACCACTGTCTTCAGGAATAGTGTATAACAAATCCAGCGTAGCTAATCCTCTTTCGTAGGCAACTTTAAATCGTGTTCCACTTGTCAACAGTTTACCTCCTTTAAACCTTTAAAACAAATGCATGTGTATACATATATATGTTCATTAAAAATACTATTCAACGTTTTATACATTAAAATAGACGGTAGAAATGTATGATAAAAGATACCTACAAATATTTAGGAGCATAATTATTGTCCTACATCTGAAGTTTTTTTTTAATAATAATAATTTGTTTTATTCCAAAACAGTACTTGTGATACGGAATGGAATTCTCAGCATTTTACTACAGTATTGCATCCAGTTAGTACATCAACAATAAATAAAATTCTACATAGATTAAGGAAATCTCAGTTCATTATGACAACAACATATTGGCATGTCGGTAGCAAAGCTAAAATTGAACAGAGTGTTTGAAGGTGTCAGAAAAGTAGATACTACTAGCATATTTACTGGCGTAAGCAGAAGAAAGAAACAAAGCTGCACGTAACAGAAAAAAGAGAGAGAGAGAAAAGGAAAAGAAAGAAAGAAAACGTTCTACCTATAAATGATGTGAGTTGGAAAGACGAGATCCAGTTGTTCTACTGACTATTTATTAAGTTATAGGTATCACGCCTAATGCTTTCTTTATCCCACAGAACACGAGCTAAGTAGGGTATGGTTGAGATTTTTTACTTACTAGTGCGAGCATATAGTTTTCTATATAGGCTTCTGGTCTGGTCTGGCCTGATGAGATACAAGGGGCGAGTTGTGAATGAAGAGAGGTGGTGTGAGTTAGATAAAATGGATTTAGCCCATTTTTCACACGAGTCCATGTGCCTGTCAACCAGAATATTAACAAGCTAGTTAAGTGGCACGTTGCTTACCCTGCTGACAACCTTTAACATAATGCGTAATAAAGTATAGTCTTTCTTCAGGAGCCCTGGAAAAACGAAGGGGGGACAATAGAGAATAATAGGCAGAATGTGAGAGTTAACGAAGGGTTGGGTTATACCAGAATGTCTTTGCATCTTGATGTAGGAGATGAGACGGAATATTTTCTTAGAAATCATCAAGATATGAGACGACCAGGAAAGATCAGCAGATAGAATGACGCGTAGGTATTTAATTTCAGACTTGATATCTATTTCAGTGTCATCTATGTTGCACACCTCGTGAGTGCTAACCAGTTTGTTTAGGTCAGATTTATGCCTAAAGATAGAATTGACTGTTTGGCATTTAGAGGGATTTAAGGTTAGACCGTTTTCCTTGGACCACTGGCTGATTTATGATAAGAAGCCATTTAGTTTAGAGCAGTCACTTTGATATATAACAGGCAAAAATACAGTCAGGTCGTCAGTATATTTGACGAAATTAATGTCATTTGAAGATGGTAGATCGTGTAGAAAGAAAGAAAAGAGAAGTGGGGAGAGTACAGCACCTTGGGGGACACCAGCTTCTGTGAGCACAGCAGAGGAGAATTCGACTTTGTATACGGTATACTGCATTCTGTTAGAGAAGTAGGAATGCAACCAGTGCATCAATCGGTGCACATGAGGAATACAGTACTACTCTCCATTTGATCATAGTCAGGCACTGAATGCACATAAAGTTTTTTCATAGTTTGCGTTCCCTCAGTTATGTATATATATATATATATATATATATATATATATATGAATGTTTTTTAACCACTTACCACTCAACAGTCAATGAAGGATCTGCTGCTGGTTCTACTTGTACATCGAAATGTATAGCTGTCCCTTCTTCAATTTCGCCAACAGGTTGTGGGTGTTGTATAATTGTTGGAGCCCCATGTGGACCATCATCTTCCCATACTGTTCCTCGGGGTGCGTGCAAATTCGCTTCTATAGCTTCTATTGCTTGAAGACCTAATCAAAAAAAGAATGAAAAACAATATTAGAATAAACTGAATATCTTTACAGGAATGACTTTTATTCCTTCATTCCTAGGCATCGTGACTACTAGACAAAATAGAGAGAGAGAGACTACAAAGAAGTCTTACCTTTTTCTTTGTTACCCGGCAGTTGACTTGCAGCAATTATGCTTCCTGTAGCTTCACATAACAAATTTGAAGGACCACAGTCAGCTGATCCATGTTCTGTAGAAATGTGACAGGTATACGCTCCAGTGTCTGTTGGTTGAGCATAGTGGATTTTGAGGCTAGCAATACCAAGTTCTAAGCTTCCGGTTATTCTAGATCCTATAATAATGAATAAATTAAAGTCATGGTTATTTCAACAGGGTAAAACATGAAGGAGAACTGCGTTTAAAATGGTCACTAGGTTCATCAACAAGTTACATACAAAGTCAACATTACTTACTGCAAATAACTAAATGTTTTAGAAATAAGTTTAGATATCGTTATCCAGGGTAAGTCGTAAAGTTGGGGAACATCTAGTTAAACTGCCGGTAAAATAACGACAAATGCAAGTAGTAGATTACTAGCCTTATCTGTGGCAAAACACCTTATTGATTTGAATCACGAGGCTGATATCAAAACATATTTCAGAATTATATACAAAAACTGATAAAGAGGTATGTAGGAATTAAGCCCCTTATGTGTGTACAAAAGCGATTTATTGTTACCCTTAACGTACCCTAGTAGTACTTCGATTGAACATTAGGCAGCAAGTAACTAGTGCCATGTGTTTAGTTCTTTGTTTGGTGCAGGCTGAATTCTACCGGTCAAGTTTGCTGGTGGGTCAATAGGTCACCATCTCCGTGTACTCTCTGTTGTTGTTCTAAAGTGGTTGGAGGCAATCGACAAGAAGCATTGGACTAGGTTTCATGCATTTTGGCAGTCGTCAGCAAACTATATCTCCAGCCTTGAAGGAACTCATGTACCGCCTGAGATTCGACACCATGTCACCCAGTGTTGCGGTCAGAGACTTTTCCATTGAGCTATTCGGGCTCGCGACTGACCTACTGCGGGATTGTATTAGATACTTTGACTGAACACTAGGTGGCAAGTAGCTGGTGTCATGCATCTAGACGCATGCAGATATGCCTTAATGACGAGTTCCAACAAGCACAAAACTTAGGTCCAGGGCTTCCTGCCGATTACCTCTAACTGTTTAATAACTGTCTTAGTAAACCTTGTTTCAATGCATTATAAAGACAGTAACAAGGATTATCCTCCTTATGTCTATATTCTATATTGTTTTGGTTAATTTGTTTGGCCTTCAAGTTTCTTTTTTTCGTGGTAAAATTTACAGAACAGAACGTGTCTATGACCAAGGTAAAGAAAGGGATTTAACAAAATACGTTACTGATAGAAACAGGATGGAAGAAACCTCTTCTAGACAAATCATAGTGATAAAGAAGACGCTCTTTATGAGTCTGGCATGCAAAGGTGACACTATGGCTAAGATGATTAGAAGTCATCTATCTAAGTGTATTAGATGCTCCTTTTATGCTGACTTACACTGAGTATTCTCCAGCCAAAGTATGATTCAAAAATGGCCGAAGATAAGCTACCACTTGTTTCCATGTCTATTTGCTTCTGTCTTTCCACATGCATCTGTGGAGTTGATTATATTGGGCGTCGTAAGCGAGTTCCCCAGAAACGTGTAGCTGAACACTACCCAGCTTGGATGGTGACAGGGCGAACACAGGACCATGAAGTCTGTTATTTGTGAACGCCTTTTTGAATCACGTCACTAGGGCCCAAATGACTTCTCTTTTTAAATTATCTACAGAGCCGAATTCGGTTAGTTTAAAAGATTACATTTTCCTTACTTTTGTGTAGCTAAATCTCTAGCTATGTGTGGACGAGAACCTAAACTAAGTAACCGTAAATGTTTTGTTAAACCCCCTTCTTTATTTTGGTCATTGTAATGTTCTTTTTACTTAATGTTTCCACTTGAATGGGTAGGGAAATTTGTTATGAGATTTTTCCGAATGTATTGTGTACAAACATCGCATTTCTTAGATGAACTCATCTTTTAAGAACCATATCGAAATTAATTAAAGATGTAGCGTGAGAAGACAAGGGCCAGGCAACAGATCACTTATTGAGAAAATCAACAGAAATTTACAGATTCTTATGTACATTATTATTAGCATTATTGTTTGCGGAGAAGCAATCTCTTCTGATTGGTTACTTTCTTGCTCAAAGTTATTCTGTATTGCTTGTGACCATTACTTAGAAAATCAGGCTATTTATCTGTGAATCACAGGTTGAGTCTTCTGTGATTGGTTGATGAGTTCCTCAAGGTTAAGCTTTGTTATTGGTTCTTCTCATGACCCCAATTTGGGATGTAAACATTGACGTAAATTGTTGTCTAAAATTTTCGCTTGCAGACAGCTGTCAGCACAAAAGGATTGAATTTTTAAAGTTTAGAAATAAGTCAGCGTATTCTCAACTACCGTAAATCACCTAAATCTTTTCTGAATACCTCTATCATAAATATCTCAGTATATCTCTGTAAATTTTAGTAAACTAACATACAGTAACCTAGAAGTGAAGAGTTCAGTTCCCTTCAAAAAAGTCAAATGACGAAGTGGTACATGGAAGTCTCGGTAACATTGAAGAAAAAAAGAAATATATTGATGGTCAGCATGATCTTTCCATATTTCATTGAGCGACATCCTGTTCTGAGGTCTCGTTCAATACAACTTAAGTTACTCAACCTGTTACATGTAAATAGTGAGTTCATATCGGGAATATAGGTGCTTGTAATTCAATACCACAGATATTAATCTGTTTTTACCCATAATGTGTCAGAATTTCGTTAGGATATTATTTCGATGTCGTTGTGTTCTCTCAGCTGGATAGTTAATTTGAGAAGGTTTCATCGCCCCACAAGGCAGCATCTTCAGCTCACATTTCAATTTTAAGTGAGCTTTTAGATGTCTACACAAGTTTATTTGTCATCTTTCCTAGTGGGTGACCTTGAACGTGATTGGTTGTTTTTGTGTGTTTTCACACCCTCTAGGCTACTTGTATTGGTATTGGTGCTGATTGTTTCCTTGACTTGAACTTTGACCCTTTGTATGTGTCAGATTTCCTTCTTATCGACTGGTAAATTTTGTCTATCTCGGTGTGTCTATTGATTGATGAGTTACTGGAATACCGGGCGGGCTTCTAAAAGTTCTAGGTGTTTCCTCTGTCTAATGTTTGAACGTTGTTCCAGTCGAATTGATGTCCGTGGTCGTCTGTATGTAGTGATATGAGGGAGTGGATGTCATATCTTTTGACGGCTAGTTTATGACCATGGATACGAAGATGAAGGGGACGTCCACTTTGGCCAATGTAGTGCTTTTTGCGATTGTTATAACTTATTTTGTAGGTGATGTTGGTTTTATCCTCTTTCGTTGTTGAGTCTTTTAGTTGACATAGAACTGAGTTTGGTTTGTGTGTGACGTCAGTTCCTAAAGGTTTGAAGAGTCTTGAAGTGATTTTTGAGATGTCCTTTATATGTGGTATGGCGATTTTCTTTATGCTTTCCTTGAGGAGCTTCGATTCGGTAGGCTGACTTGGGGGCATATGTCTTTTGATGAAATTTTGTGAGTATCCATTCTTTTTTCAATTCCCCTTAAGGTGGTAGTGCTGCAATGAGTCCTGGTCCTCTTGAATAGTGTTTGTATGCAATTCCTTTTGTGTGTTATTGGATTGTTGCTGTTGTAATTCAAGATTTGGTCTGTGTGATATGATTTTCTATAAACCTGAGTTTCTAATTCCCTTGTGGTTGTTCGCTTGACTAAGACGTCGAAAAATGGGATTTGATTCTCGGATTCCTCTTCTCTTGTGAATTTCATGTCGTTGAAGGATTCATCAATACAAGGTATATTATTTAAATATCGATACAGCTTGCGTGTTATCATATCATTGAAGAGAAAAGTTAATGTATGCTATTACCTGTTATAACAACTTGTCCATCACGTCTCCATTCAACAACAACACGATCTCCATTACCACAATCAACTGGTACAGAAAAGATAACAGTTTCATCTTCATTCACTTGAATTGATGATGGTTCTAAATGAGCTTTGAATGATGGAGGAATGCCCTGTACATTTGCATCACGTGCACTGGAATAAATAAAATCAAAGTTTTCATTATTTGAGAAAGATATCTGTGAAAAAGTGAAATAGAATTATTATGTACATTAAACAGTTTTGGTGTAATGGCCAGCTTTATTTTGACGAGGTGATCACAGATTTATATCAGTTAGAGAACCAGTGTAAACCACTATTGGAGTACTGGACAGCTGCTGTTTCACCCTATTTTGCGGGAATCATAGGCAGTACTCACCCACCACCAGAGTTCAAACTCAGGAACTTCCGGTTACAAGGCAAGCTCGTATCTAATCCTTACAAACCAACTCTTGAAAAATTAATCTGATGCTCGCTAGCGACTTTCTACAGGACGGAATTGCCTGAAGTTCTAGTGAGACGTCGTGACCAGTGAGGTCCATCCAGTCGGGGGTGAGGATGGATTTTCTGGCGGGGACATTGGTAGGTGCCAGTCGCGCTATGTCACGACTTGGTATAGGTTAGAATACATGGGTCGGCCATTGAATCGGGTGGGGTCCCAATGGCTGAATAGTGTACGAGCCAGCTTGACTTGTAACAGGAAGTCTTGGGTTAGAACACTAGCAGTGGGTATGTACCTCCAATGATTCCCAAACTAGGATGAAACAGCTATCTAGTACTCCCAGCTGGTATTCAATGGTTCTGTAACTGATATCAATCCGTGATCAATTCGTCAAAACAAATCTAATCCTTACAAACCAACTATTGAAAAAGGCAGCTTTGTGCTACAAGAAAACTTTTGAATGAAGGTATACTTGCTTCACAGAAAAACGGAGCAGAGACTTCTTGGCAACTTCTGCTACTATTTTCTTCTATCAGAATTTTCTAAGTAAGGGTACTTAGTTTAAATAAAGTCATCGTTTATTCATGGTATTTTAAACCAGATTATACTTGGTAGAAATTGATGTACAGAGGCTTCCATTTAGTTTCTAAAATGAATTTTTTTATTGCTGTAAATAAAGAAAAGTATTTTTGAGAGATTATTCTTCAGATATTCATCTTTTCCTTCTCTTCGTCTGAGACCAACATCAACTGCAGTACAATCGGAAACCGTTTCTCTCATAAAAGCCGTTTTGTACTTGTCTTACACTCTTCTACGATAATCAAATATAACCCCACGAATAGTCATCCTCAGGACAGTTAAATGATGTGGAAAGTTTTATTAAGATAATTTAAAAATAAACAGAAATGTTGCCTACAACGAAAGACATTGAGAGAAAACAGAAAACTATTCCCAGCCTTTTCAGAATTTCTCAAACCATCGTAAACCCAAAAAAAATCCTTTTAGATGTTTCATATTGGTAAGAGGAAAAAAGCCGTTTAAAAGTTAATTTGAAGCTTCGTCAAAAAACCATTAGTAACTCATTACACATTCACTTCCTCAATTTTATTTCAGTTCTCCAACCACAGTGGACTCCTTCCGAGTTATAATGATCACGGCGTGGTAAGTGCTACTTATAACCAGATATAAGTAGTATATCAGTAAACGAGTTCAGAAAAGCGAAAATATGTTTCCAACACTGGAAAAACCAATCGGAGAACAGAAATTAAGAAAGAATTTTAGAAACACTGTGCAGAACTCAACAAACAATCGAATTTGATGATATTTAACCACTTTGCAAAAGATGTGCAAATAAAGCATTGGAGATAGGGTATACCGAATTTATCTACTTACAAACTGTTATTTGATTAATGGCTCTTTAAGCCTAGTCGGTCATTTCCTCCTTACAACGGTAGTGATCCACTTAAGATATCAGTTCTTTGGGTAGACCTTTCTTTAAACAATAGTCGTTACTATAGTACTGACTTCTGATGATAAAAGTTTTAATGTTTGTCACATTCATAGAGGATAAAAATGTGGCACAGAAAACATCATATATTATATGTTTCATTGAGGTTTCTCTAGCTACAGCTATTTTTTCACTAACTATAGTTACCCATGACCTTCTGAGGTCTATTGAAGACCAGAGTGTATTCGACAGCTTTCTCATTCTACTCTGAAACTCCTCAACAATACGTATCTGTGACTTCCATCAAATAACGAATCTAGGTGAGCCCACTGACCATCCAGGCGCCAGGAAAGAAGAAAGCCAAACAAGGAAGACACAGGTGCCTAGTACAGTCTGATTTTCAATAGTTCTCTAAATGATGCCAGTTCATGGTCTAACTTTAAACCAAGGAAATCTCTGAAAAGCAGTATTTAAAAAAAATTAAAGGTATAAAAACATGCGAATGACAACCAAATACACCAGACATACTAATCAAAATCTTCTCCAGGTTCTTCCAACTGTTTCAGATGATTTATTGATTGTTGATCAAGAATTGATTTGGTAACAATTCTATCTTCTGGTTGACATCTGTGATTGTAAAAAAGAGGAAAGGTGAAATCATAAAATTTCTATATTTTCCAAATAGCATGTTACATAAAAAGTCTAAAACGAGCCTTTCTGACCGTTGTAAGTATTCCAGTACTTCAAAGTACAACAGAAAATGAATAAATAGTTGAATGTTCTTCATAATTCAGTTACAATTTCAAACGACAAATGTGAATGAATGATATCTACAAAGATCTACATTTCGTGCATATTAGTAATTGTCAGGAAGACTTATCTTCAAACTTGAAAGGAGTGATGTGCCCGCCTGAGATTCGAACCTGAGATTAAACATGTTACCACTGGGCTACGCTCGCTTAATAGTTGTTAGTTTCAGAAATTCTTTCATGTTGTAAAAACAGCTGAGTTCATGATTTAACTGAAATAGTTTTTTTAACCTTAATTATGAGATATTTAAGGGAGATATTTAGGAATCATGACAGCACAGAGTTGAAACTACTATATTTAACGTTACAATTCCCCTAGGTTCTGCAGTCTTTCTTAGCTGGCCTCACGATTTCCCAAAGGCTTGCATCTATTTCCCCATGTCAGCTTCTGATCCACACCAAAATTGTTGTTCCCCACTCACTTCCCACTATGGAGCCTGAAATGCAATTTCACCTAATGGTCTCCACAATACGTGTTCAATCTATCTCCATTTTCTTCAGCATATTTGTTGGGCTATCGGTTCTTCGTTGTTTCTTTGCCCGCCAGAGTTCCTTGTCGCTACTTTTTTCTGAAGTAGAGATTTAACTGCCATTCTATGCTGCGTTCAATGATGACGCGTAGAGTTGCGATTCGATCCGCAAAAGATTTGTTCTTCTTGAATCCAGCTTGTTCCGGTCAGAGGTTTGCACACATAGTAACTTTTAGTCTTTCCAGGATGATACAATTTATTATTTTGTCTATCATGGACAGGGAAATGATTCCATGCAAGTTTTTACAAAGGCTTAATTTATCTTTGGTAGCTTGATGAGTTAACCTTTCTTCCGATCGGAATATGAACTAGTGAAAAGATGAATAACGAAAGGAGTCTCTGAGTTCGTCATGCGACATACTGAACAAGAAAAGTGAAGAAGAGTTCTAGGAAAGACAGAAGACGATTCTGATCATTCAACCGCCAACATTCACTGATTAAGAAAAAGAATTCAATCAGTAACCTAAGTAAGTATTGTCAAGAAAACATTTCTCAGTATTTCTTGCTGCATGTACGAAAATAATCAACAGAAAGTTTTAGCTTTCATTTACTAGTGTGTAATTGGTTGGTTGACAGCAAACACTTGAACTACAAAAACTCAATACTGTTAAATGATAAGTAACTAACAGATCAATGAAGAGACTGAAATCCTGATTATAATTACAGTTTGATTGTGGGCTGACAACTTTTTGCCCACATTAGTTTGATAAAATAATTTTTAAAAAAGCTTAATTTATCTGAATCGTGTGAAGTGACCGGAACACTTAGACCTACTCTGCAACTCGCCACTAAGAAGGATGTATATATCAAGCTACTATACATGGGTAATTGTAGCAATTTTGGTAATTAGACGAAGATTGAAAGCCATGGCAGACGAATCTTATATATCCATCTAAGCCATGACAGCGTACGAAAAATGATATAAAATTCCGTTATATCTACCAACTTAAATATATGTATGGTTGCATATGCATGGAAGGACCCATCGGTCTTCGGAAGCAAGAGAATCACAGTATATCCCTAAATGTCTTCCGAAGCAAATCAAAATCTTTGAACCCAATTAAAGTGAAAAGAGATGACCTAGCTCTCCCACAGTAGAATATATAGTGGAAACAGAGTATAAAATTGATGTTTACACCTCTTCCCAACCTATCTATAAGAAGTAATTGAAAGGCGAGTGTATCATTAATTTTGTGGAATCCCTAGAGAATCAGAATTTTAAACCAACTTCATAATTCCCAGACCGTTGATGTTACGAATTTCCTGGAATAATTTGAGCGACGCGCAAGACTGAATCATTATACATTAATTAAAATAATCCCAGCGTATTTAAGAAAATATCAAATATCAGATTTTTCTGGACATTTCGCTGTATAAGCCACAGCTTTTTCAGCAGAATTATTCGGATTTTATTAATAATCACAATATGTAGTCAAAACTTTTTTTTACATTCATTTAATCTGAAGGTCACTTGTCGATAGACATTTGTGTATAAAAACAACCGGTTATCACATTAAATCTTGTTTTGAAATTAGAAAAAGGTGTACTATTATCTTTCTACTTTGATTGATTGCTGTTCATTTGTTATTTTCACTCTAAATATAGCCTTTTAACGTAACCCCTTAAGGCCTCATTATTTTCATGTGTATACCTATGAAAAGCAAGTATGTGAACAGATTGTTCGAGGTTTGTTACGCGAATACAACATTGCAAGATTCAGACAAATAACGTCTTCTTATTGTACTGCCTAAATTATTCCCAAATAACCAATGTAAACGGATACTCATTTCTTTTCGCCATGTAAAACTTACATTCTAGGGTCGAAGTAAACAAAAAATTGAACAAATCAAAAATCACTGTGTTGTTTAAACTTTGAGTGTTTCAAACAAAACATTATCATTAAACATATATAGATTTACCTTAACTCTACAGGTTGACTCTCTGTTCGTCCAATCGCATTTGTTGCTACACACACATATTGTCCACTGTCATCTACTAGAGAATAACCAATTTCTAAAACGATTAATCCTCGATCAAGTACAGCATTGAAACGACTTCCTGTACAAAAGAAAAGCAAGGCATACCACTTATAAAATTGTTCAAAAGTCGAGGAAATTGGTTGATTAACATCATTTCGTGTAGGCCTACTTTGTTTCATCTCAAAACGTGTCTTATTTCATGTACCTTAGTTTTTTTCATGTGGTTGTGTTTTCTGAGCTGGATAGTTAATTTCCGAAGCTTTGATCGCCTACTACGCTACATCTTCAGCGCATACTTCAAAATCAAGTGAGCTTTAAGATATCTACACGTAAATAATACCATTAGGGGTCATTTATCAATCGGTTAAAATAACCCAAAAGAGAGAAAATATATTTGACGGAGAGATGGGAGTTTTCGGTAGCCCAAGTTTCAAACAGGCCGCCATGAATACTGTGTTAACGATTTCGTTGATTTCTTAACTATTCTCAGTATTCTTCTTATACAGTCATTCATTCTACTCTGTTTTGTAGTGAATCTGGTTAGTTTTCCTGAACAGTAGGATGTCACACTGATCGATAATTGTCAATTGGTTCTATTGAATTATTTTCAACGTTAAAGAAGTCACTTTTTATGGTAGTGTAGTGTTCACCCTTAGGTGCCTTTACTTCTGTTATTCATTCACGTAATCTTACCTTGTAATCTAAATTTATGGAGTTTCCAGATATTGATCTTAAACATATGATTTGGTGTGAATTAAACACTTGAGGTACTGAAGTTATCACCAGCCGCTGTCTGAAGAAGTTTTATGAAGTTAATCGGTACAGTTCATAATAACACTGGCATATTTACCAATTAACATCGTTAAATTAGTGAACTTTTTGAATGATGTTAACTAAGCTATTCAGTATTTTAACACACTGATAGTTATTCAGTGTGTACGTCACGCCATATCGGATTATTTGTATTGTATATTCTGATTAAGAGTATGCTGTCTTGAGATAATACTCAACCTGATTGTGTCTGGTATTATGATTATTATTTCCTTCAATTCCTAGAGGAACATAGGGCCTCGGGCGTTCGGTTCTCTGCTAGAGTTTTCACCTGGCTCCAAGTCTGCCCACATGCTTTCATCTCCTCCTCTCATGACCTCCTCCAAGTCACCCTTGCACTAACGACCAACTCGCCGCTTCTCTTTCGGGTTCCACTCGAGTGACGGCTTGTTTAGTGATGTCACTTGATGGTTTCCTCAGAATATGGCCAATCAATCTCCATTTCTTCCTGCATGTTTGTTTCACAATGGGTTCCTGGTTGGTTCGCTCCCAGAGATCCCTGTTGCTGATCTTTTCTGGCCAGCCATCTGATCTTGAGTATTGAGGGAAGACAACTGTCAATGAAGGTCTGAAGTTTGTTGAAGATGCTCTTTATGACACGCCAAGTCTCCGATCTGTAAAGTAGCATTGACTTCACATTGGAGTTGAAAATCAGGATCTTATTTTTGATGGTGACTGCTGTTGACTTCCACACAGACTTTAGAGAGTAATGGAAGCTTGTCTTGCTTTTCCGATTCTGGCTTTGATATCCTTGTCAGTTCCGTCGGCCTGTAGTTGAAACGATGCCTCCCAGTTGGGTAGGCAGGTGAGGGAGGTTGTTTCTTTCAGGTTCCTTCCATTTATGCTGGCTGATTGTTGTCTGTTGCTGTTGCTGTCGGCCAGGAATCTTCATCACCTCTGTTTTATCTATGTTCACCTGAAGTCCCTCCTATCTTTGATGCTTCTTCTGCCAGCTTGTTGCTTTTCACTTGCATATCTTCCAGTTTGTGGGGAATCAGATATATATCATCGGCGAAGTCCAGATCCTCCAAGTTTCTTTTTGTGTGAGTCCATTTTATGCCTGTTTCCTCATTGCCTGCTGTCTGTGGCATTGTGGCTGGTAAAATTAGTAAAAGAAAGGTTTCAGTCTTTGAGATAATAGAGATTTGTAGCTCAGATGGATGATTTGCAATTACTAGTATTCTCTGAGCTGGTTGTTTTAGTTGTGGAGCTTTCGTCGTCCCTCTGGACGACATCCCCCTCCAACGCAATTTTTAGCATAAAGTGAACTGATTTAAATTTTTTCATGAGTGATATAATTGCGTCTCTCAATAACCATCTTCACGTATTTATTGATCATTTTCTACTGAATTGGATTTTAAACTTTCTGGTCACATGATGTACTTTTTATTAAGTTGGTGTGCGTCGGTGACACAGTGATTAGGACTCTCGCCGACCATGTACATGGTCCGGGGTTCGATCCCCGGCCGATGCACACTTGATATCAATGGCCGGCCCGAAAAATTTGGGCTACCGATATCACATGCTGAAAATTCCATAACTGTACCAAAAAATAAGGTGTGGAATCAAGCTGAAATCAAAAAAATATATATTTGGTCTATATTTGCATGTTTGCTAATTGCATATTCATTTGAGTAACAGGCTTCTAGGAATTCTCCAGCACTTTTGGTGTTTCCCCTGTCTGAAATTTCAACATTATCCCAATCAGATTGATGTCCATAATTGTCTATATGCATTGATACTAAAGACTATATATTGTGTCTTTTCACGGCTGATTTGTGTTCTTGGATTCTGATTCGAGGGGGGTGCCCTCTTTGACCGATATAATGTTGATGGCATTTCATACAATTTATTTTGGAAATGGTATTAATTTTACCTTTGTTTCCTGTTGGATCTTTCGGCTTGCACAATATCGAATTAAGTGATTTGACTGGGTTTTGTGCTTTATCTATTTCAAACGGTTTCACTATTCTAGGTGTTATTTCAGAGATATTTTTTATATATGTTAGTATGAATTTTCTAGTAGTCTTTGAGGATGGTTTCTTGTTGGTATTGTGATTCGATTTTAAACACTTTTTGTTGAAATTGTTCGGATATCCATTCTTTTTGAAGACACTTAATACGTATTTTTTTTCCATTCTTTTCAACGCTGCAGTACTACAGTGTGTTTGAATTCTTTTGAACAATGTCTGCACACAGGTTTCAGTCTGTATGAACTTTTATCTCATTTAATCATAACAAGAAAACCACAGGCTGACATTGATTTTAGAATCTAAAATCTATATAGGTGAATCGGCACTTTCGAAACAAACCAGCCCCCTGCTTTCCGCTATCAAAAAAGACGAAAAAACACAGAAAGAGAAGATTCACCTGTCCCAATTGGCTGTCCATTTTTCAACCATTCAACTTGTAATGACGAATCACTGGTTGTGTTTAAAAATGCCTCTATCCTGACAGGTTCACCCTCCAAAACATCACTACTGCTGATTACTGGTTGTTGAGTAAAATGTGGTGCACTCTTTGGTTGACTTCTTTGATCACGTTCATATTCTTTAATTGGTGCACTTGTTGCTTGATAGAGATCAGCAAACTGAGCATCTAGTTGTTCTTGACTTGGATCAATTTCAGGTATTACACTGGAAATAATACGGGGATTGAATATTAGTATAGTAAAGAATCGGGCTGATGTGACAAGAGGATATATGTTTACCTCTCAGACACCACAAAACGTGTAAAAGGGTTATAATAACAATAATAATAACCATTTCACTTCAAACAGTAATTTATGAGGAGAATAAACTATTAAACACTTTCATAGTGAAACATTTTCACTCCTCTTACGCATAAAATCTAAATAGTTAGCCCTAAAAACCGAGGCCAGTAATACTATGAATTTATTTCAAGTTAGACAACGGATCGATATTAGTTAGAGAACCATTGAAAATCAGGGAGTACTGGACAGCTCATTCATCCTAGTCGGGGCCCAGTGACTGAATGGAATACGAGTCAGCTTGACTTGTAATTGCTAGGTCATGGGTTAGAACCCTGGCAGTGGGTGCCTACTGCCTATGATTCACAAAAACTAGGATGAAACAGCTCTCCGGTACTTCCAGATAGTTTTCAATACTTCTCTAACTGATATTAATCCATAGTCTAATCTGAAACAAGTAGAATGCCTACGAACTAAGTCTTGAAAGCTATAAATTTAGGCGATAATGACGCACAAAAATTTCTAGGAATGATTAGATGTGTATTCAACACATTTTGAAGTAGGTTTATTAGTGTATTTGACCGTAGAAGTATAAATCGTAATGAAATTATCTCAAATTTTTTTCCTGAAGGGATAGAAAGAGAAACTTGTAAATAAATAGGGTATTTTGCTTATGATAAGATGATGTTACCCAGCTGTTTGCAAGAATTCATGTATCTTTCAGCAACACTGTCAGTTAGTTGGATCAGAGGCGCACACACTTAGCTTTGCTTACAAACACGTCAAAGCCTCAAGGAATTCTGCACACTCTTATTCCTCTTTATTTATTTGAATGAAGCGAAAACAAAGCTTTGTAAAGAATAAGACAGTATCATCGTTTATTTCACTGGATTCTCATTAGCTGCATACACCCTGAAAAAATTAGTTAAGTTTATATTCAGGACAGTTTTAACATACTTGCAAATGTGACGTTAGTGTTAGTTGACCGGAGACTCTAAACTTAACGAACAGTGGTCGGAATTTACTCTTATAAAACTTATAGACAATGGAGAAAATAGTTTTCTCCAAGAAGAAGCAGTTATCAGTCTTTCTTTGGCCTGATGACCGATTGTCTTTACTATTTCTCCGTTTGATTACATAATTTTAAGATATAACCTCTTCCCTTATGCATTAATGAAATTTTGTTTGTTTTCTTGATTCTATGATTTGAGTTGCGCTCACCACACTGATATTCAACTTATTAGTTACTAATGGTCTTAAACACCTCCTGTCTTTATTATGCTAATCCTTTGACATTATATACAAGCATCGAATGTCCTCTTTAAACTTGAATCTTCTGTGTTTGAATTTTGACCACTGTTCATTAAGTTTGAAGTCTCTTTCAACTCACACCAACGTCACATTTGCAAGTATGTTAGAATTGTTCTTTATATAAACTTAATAAATTTTTGTAGGCTGTATGCAGCTGACGAGAAGACAGCCAAATAAACGGTGATACCATCAACCTTTGTTCTTGCTTATTTGAATATTTTCTATAGTTGGTTTGTAAGGATTAGTTTTATTTTGAAAAGTTGATCACGGATTGATATTACTTAGGGAACCATTGAAAACTACCACACAGTACTGAAGAGCTGTTTCATCTCAGTTTGGGAATCATTGGCAATACTCATCCGCTTGCAGAGTTCGAATCCAGGACATTCTAGTTATTTGAATATGCCATAGTCTGTTTTTTTTCAGAAGCCTAGTGTATTTCTAAATCAGAAATTCATCCAAACTTCATTCATTTAAAACTACAGGACGTCTAATATTCTTCTGTGTATATAAACTGTCTTTCATGTAAGAGTGATTATGTGTATGTGGCTGAAGTTCTATTTTCAAAACCTTATCTATTAGGTGACTGTATAAATGTCACTGAGAAAATGTCATCTACAAAAATCAGAATGATTGAAGCATTTTCCATAATTCTCGATGTGTTTAACGACCCAGTGAAGAAATATTCCTTAAATTTATTATTATCATTTCATGAATAGAACTCATGGCAAGAAAAAAAAAGACGAATTTTGACGATTCAGATTGTATCGAATGAATTCTAGACATGACATTTAGTGAAGAATTTACAAATTCGTCTTCCTACCTGTTTGGGAAACGTTTCTGGTTTATGCAGAAAAAATGGTATAGAATAATCTATTAAAAAATTGTTTATTAAACCTATCTCCTCTATAAAAAGTAATAATTAAAACGTATCTTTGAAAATCTGTTTCAAAAAAGTGATCAAGGTGGGTTGGTTCACTTATTTTTATGTATGGAATTTCTTATCTATTGATGACCTTTTCCTCGCCTGAATGAATGATATACCCACTTCTTTTGAGTCATGGGATTTCTGAAAATTCATCAGCTCCACTGTTAGTCTCTAGTGCTGTACAACAGCATTTGTTTTTTTTTTTGAATTCGAGAAGTTTCTACGACTTCCCACTTAATCCATTATGGAATAATCAAGACGCTTTTAATTCGCTTGTGAGTTGAATAAAAGCATTTTAAAGTAGAGAATATGTGATTCATAACTGTTTGTCGAGAGGTATTTGTACATCTAATTCCCTTGATAGTGATAGGATGAATTTTGAAATGTTGGTTCGCATTTTCGCGTAGCGATTCGCTTTATCCTTCTTTCTGGATATGAGACATAGATATTGAAAATGAAAGACTTGAGGAGGTTAGCTGTTATTGATCACAAGTTTCTGGATCCTATCTCCCGTTTCAAATGAAGTAAAATGTTGAGAAATAGTGAGGTAAGAAGGTCAAGTCTGTGAATGAGGTTGTCAAGGTATAGTGATTTAGGAAAACACAAGTCAGCAAAGAGATCACTCTTCATAACTTCACTTAAAATTGACATGGCCAAAATAGTTGTTACACATTCTACGCTTTTGTCATCTTTCTCTAACAACGTCGGCTGACAAAGGATTAAATTGGAAAGGAGTTAGTGTTGTGGTCATATCGAAACCTGGCATCAGTCCATCAAGCCTTTGGCTGTTAAACTCAGCCGGAGACATAGTGAGGCATACACTACCTAGCTGGAGTCCTAGACACTCTAAGAATCAATGTCTGGAGACTGCTGTTGATGAGGTACAAAATCATTTTCAACGTCACCAATGCATTTACTTCTTGTATTCGCCTAAATCCATAAAATCCTAAATTTTTTTCCGCCATATATTTCATTTCATTATATATTTGCATGGAATTTTAATTTTGCATTATATATTAGAAGCGATGAGTGGATATTCGGTGATAGGGTGACACGAAAGACATCGCTTGGCGAGGAGGAGATGATAGATTATTTGCAGACATGAACCCAGCTAAAGAGGATAGCAGAAAATGGAACAAAGTGGAGATGTCTTGTTGAAGCCCTGTGTTGTTTCACTCGGAATCCAAGGGAATAATAATAATAATAATATGTGCCCTATGAAGTGTGGTAACTTGAACTTCTGCACTTTTATGCAAACTTCTAAACTGAAAACTCAACTCACTTATTTTTCAATCTCTGGTTAAAGATTGGTTCATACTCTATTGTCTCTTATTTTCATTACTCTTTGTGGTATGTGAAGCGTGCCTTTGCATTTTATTGAAAATTCTTGGAAAGATATTCTATATTAGTCTGCTAATTTGATATAATGCAGATGTAAAGAGTGTTTTTTTTGCGTTTCTTCCGGAAGGTGTTCTGCATACGACCTATTTTTTTCTTGGGTATGTCTGAAAATCATACTAATTTCAAACTTGTCTTTTTGGTAGCATCTACCAAGCAAGTTCTGTTCACCAACTTCATGTGGCGGAGGTGCTCCTCACAAAAGTGAAATGGAGCATGAGAATGTCTAGCGCTTACAAACAGACTGGTAAACATGTTGATTTATCAAGGAGAGCCGGAAAACTATGATTCCAAACCAAAATTGCACATGGGCTCTGTAATCCGAACGGAATAAATGGCATATAGACCTGTTTTAGTCACTGGCAACGAAGAGCATGCAGTTCCTGACGCTGCCTCACCACATTGGGGCTCAGAATTCTAATCAAACGCTCGGTGTGTGACCCCTTAAGACAGATATTTGCTTAGGTATGGGCATTCGGACAGTATCCAAGTCTTTGCACAAATATTCAGATTTTGTGTGGCGTGTCTCCTGGTGACTATAATGTAACAAGTTTGTGTTTTAGTGAATAAAGAACCAAACTATTCTTATGATTTTTGTTATTATTGCTATTCTCACTCTGAACCGTTTGCAATTGTCTCACTTTTTGTTCTAAATCAAAACTGTTTTCTGCAATATTGAATTCTAACTTATCAAATTTCACACCATGTTATGTAACGTTTTATGTTAGCCTTTCTTTTTTTCTTATTGATTTACGCTTCGAGTAGAACACAGGGCTTAAATCTTCAGCTTTGAAGTTTCGGTAGCAGTGGTGAGTATTTTTACGGGATGGGGTTGCTAGTCTCATGCCCAACCTTCCCTCATTGCTAGTCTTAGTGCTGGCCTAGAGAGGTGAAGTAGTGCGTTGGTGGCCGAAAGTCGAGCCTCGGACCACCCGCGTCGTCGGCGAGCATTCATACACCACTTTTCAACATCTATACAGCCTATGAATTATTTTATTTATGAGATTAATTGTATTTCCACTTGAGACTTGATATATATATATATATATATATATATATATATATATATATATATATATAGTGTTCCGAATATTAAAAAGGGAATGATTATTCAAGTAGGTGGTTACGTGGGTAAGTCGTGACCAGTGGGGTACAGCAGATCGGGTGTGAGGACAAATACTCGCCACCGATGATACTGGCTAGTAGTCATGCTTTATCGAGAATTTGCAGAAGTTGGAATTCATGGGCCGTTGGATCAAGTCTAAGCGGCTTAATGGTCTACAAGCTTG